ACTGGGCGGCGGTGGAGGCGGTGCCAGGGTCTGGCTCGTGAGTGCGTTGGAGGATTGTCTAGACGCCGTGGCCCTCTTCTCCAACCTCGGTCTGCCAGACAAAATCCTTTCCTTGAAGCTTGCGATTTCTTGTTCTGTGCTGATCTCCAGCATGGAAGCCAGGGTATCGGCAGCCCGGCTCTGGTTCCGTTGCGCCTGGTCGCTTTCGTGGGTCTCGTATTGCGTCAGCAGGTCGCGCAGCTGGTTCACGCGTTGCTCGTCGAGGGCTTGTAGGGTCTCAAAGATGAAGGGGGCCTGCGAATCCCACTGCTGGGTGGCAGACTCGAGTCTCGCCGTGGCATCCGCCATCTTCTGGGTGTTCGTCTTCGGGCCCTTCCGGGCCAAGGCTTCGGTCTTTTTCTGGGCGTCTTCAAGGTCTCGGGCCATGGAGGTCAAGTTAGCGGTGATGGTCTGCATGTTCTGCATCTCCTTGCGGGACTGGAAGTTGCGCAGGGGACCCTCGACATCTTTTTCGAGTTGGCTTGCGAAAACGTGGTGGGAGTGGGCAGTTGAGTCGACGGATTGAAGGATTTTGTCCCAGGGGCCGGAAAAGACGCTACGTAATTTATCAGTATACGGACCTACTCCTGAGAGTCAAACGCAATGGTTCAGGGCAACCTACCCAAGCTCAGACGAGCTGTTGGGGACTTTGAAGGCCAACAATTTCTTGAGGCTCTGGACGTATTGATCTTCGACTCGGCGGCGTTCCTGAGTGGGAGGGGGTATTGTTCAGCACGGGATTGTCGTATGCTGTCGCATTGTAGTCATCGTGGGTGGTGCCTTACCTGCAACCAGTCTGCGATCTCGGTGTTGATCTTGTTTATTCTCTTCACACGATCGGTAAGGACGTTCACGGCCTGCATGGGCTGGAGGTGCTCCTAAACAAAGAGAATCAATAGTCAGCAAAACAAGTCGCAAACATTGCGCTCCTTCCAAGGCATTCGAAGTACATCAGTCGCAGGGAAGTGGATTGTGGAAGGCCAGCCTGACCTCGGCTTCTGCCCGGTAGGAAGGCCTTTCCAACACTGGGGGAAATAGTGACGAAATGACGGGAATTGATGGGGGAGAGGGGTGGGAAACATTACCAGCATGGCCGGGTACTCGGCCCTCGCGAGATCATCCATTGTGTCTAATTAGTGCGGCGCGCGCAAAGTCATGTACGATGAATGCAAGCAATGAGAGAAAAGGCGCGCATAGCGATGCTATCTATGATGGGGGAAAAGGTGTGGGCGAAGTGAGGAGCATTCGCATCGTGGGAAAGTCGTGAGGTGTGAGGAAGGTGGGTTGTCCTGCGAGACGGCGGCGGCGGGAATTGAGTGGATGGTTGGAACAATAAGGCAGGAAGGAATGGCGCAGGCTGTCGCTTCCTGCTGGCTGTTGCTGCTGTTGCCGAAGAAGAGGAAGGTCAGGCAGTCACCAGGTGCAGCAGGGTGCATGCGACTGTACTTGGTATCCGTAGGTACTCCATTCTCCGTAAGGTATCCATACCTATCTAAGGTACCTCCCCGTGCTCCGTAGTCGCCAGTGATGTGTGGGAGAGTGGGCCCTTCCATTGGATTGGTTCCATGGAAAGCCGGGAAGAACTCCTCGTAGCCACAAGTCACCCTTACATATCCAGCATAGCCAAAAGTGACTTGTTCTCATCTTCTTTTATTTAGTCTTGGGCTGATGATGAAGTGTGGAGAGGACCGGACCGGGGGGGCATGGGCTGGGCTGGACTTGGGATATTTTTTTCGGTACAAAGTACATGCATTCACAGGTCGGACTTGGACGATGCAATTACCAAGTACGAATACCTCAATGTACACTACCTTACCTTACCTTACCTTACAGTACGTGGACATGAGAAGCCTCAATCAATACCAAGACGCGTCAACTGCATATAGAGCAACGTGGTGAGTGCCGTCTAATGCTGCTTCTTGCTTTACGTTGTTCAATGCTGCTGCGTGGCCTCGACGCCTCCTTGGTCTCCCACTGGCACCTGGGTGTCAATGTCATCCAACCTCATCCTTGAGATGTCTCACGTACCTTTTTTTCTTCTCGAATGCGTCGCCAATTGGCCCGAGTGCAGTCACTCCGTGACCAAAGGTTCAGCGGATGTTCCATTGGCGCCTGATTTGAATTTATTGGATTCGGATGGGACAATTGGCCCGGGACCTGCGGACAAGGACGTACCATTCAACGAATTCGTACTCATCCAGTCGACTGTTCAATTCCAACCACACGAAGAACATTTATCTAGAATTAATCGCTACCCATCTCCTTTTCCTCTTCTTTCTTCTAGTCATCCTAGTATACATTCGATAGGAGAATAGCTGGGTCAATTAGGTCCCTTGACAGCTCATTCGTGCTAAGAGAGATGAATTACATCTCAACTCCAGTTCCACACTGACCAACCACCCTCATCTCTCTGAGCTTTGGGTCTGACAGGGCTCCTGTAGTCGAAACAGGCTAGCTCGGAGGGGAGTTCTGCGAATACGTCACGCACTTTACAGACCAAGTTAGCATTTCTCAGCGCGGATTGGCAACCGAGGAAGAACCCAATTGAGCCTTCCAGCTTGAACAAGCCCTCTTCTGATGCTGACAAGAGTACAGCAGGCAAGACATACACTTACTACGTACATGAGAACTGAAGCAGGTAAGCACCATGGCACCGCTCGTCCCCCTAATACTAGAAACAACGGCGGCGGCGGGCTGCATAACCCAGACCACCTTCCGTCAACCTTAAGCAGCTTCCCTGCTTTCACGTTGCCTTAGTCACGTTGATCCTGTTTAGCATCCCGCATCCTCCCAGCAAGGTTCAGAGGAACGGTGCCTGTATGAGATGACGGGAAGTGCCCTGACGTGTCGCGCCCGCGTAAAGTCTCTGATCGAAATTCAATTTGAACCCGCGGAGACCAAGCCAGCGAGCGCAACAGGGAAAGGAAAAGGAGTGAAAAAAAAAAAAACCGCATCACTGAGCCGCACCATCCTTGCAGCTTGTCAGCTGCGCATGAAGTTTTATTTTGGCCCTTAATTCAATCGCAAGGATCTTCAAGCCAGAACACCACCCACCAATGTGTAAGTGCTGAGAAAAAAGAGCCCTTCCTGGAGCGACTTAGTACCGGCAGCCCTCCAAGGACTGCGCAAAGTGAGACCCAAGAGTGGTGCGCATTAGCGCAGTAAAAGACCATGATAATCCTTACGCCTCGTGAGGCTAGGAGAGAAGCTAAGATTGAGTCGAAGAAATAATTAAAGACATATTTTGACGCCATGGAACGCCCCTCGTCAGGTACCCGGAATTGCGATGCCCAACCAGCTATTATGTAAGCTCATTACCTTGGATGCTCTTCCTTTTCCTTCTTTCCCCTCCACTCGAAAAGGAGGCAGCAAGTCCGCACTGTGCGAACGCTGTCATCCGGCAAGGTCCACACCGGCGGGGTCCGGCCCGGAGAGTCCTTCCACCGTCCCCGGCTTCCATTTTCTCACACGGTACGTACCTATGTCCAACTGCGCTCTTTCCTGGCTGCGTCAGGGATCATCAACGAAAGCTGCAACGACGCCTCATCCCTTCCTGTCTGGCGCTCACTAAGAACAATTAATGGAAAGCGACGCCAGTGCACCACCGTTCAAGTCTCCTAATCCTTGCTCATCCATCTTACACCGACTTCCGTCCTCGACAGCCACTCGATTCTCATGGCAGACGACGACTGGAGGACGCAACTATCGGCGTCGGATCGATATGAAAACATTCAGAGGATGTAAGTCACAACCCTCCAACATGCATTCAAGCCATACTGAGACCGGATTCTCCGCAGAAAGTCTGTTTTGGAAGCAGCTAGCCCGGATGCCAAGGCCACTTCACAGTCGGACGCATTTTCTGTAGAAAATCAGGCTTATAAGGACTCTTCGTCCAGAGTAAGTCCCCGGCCCTATCTCGCATCTTTTGCCTGTGTTCAACACTTACACGTCAATGTAAGACTCAATACGACGAAATCTGCCAGCTAGTCGGCTCAGCCAATTTGTCTCGCCCAGAAGCTTCGGCACCTGCTGATGACCAACCTGAAGACGCCGGCGTCACCATTGGTTCTTACAAAAACTGCATTTCTTTTGCAAGTGGCATAACATCAGAAGTCTACCGATGCAAAGACCGAGCCCTCAAGGTCATTGTGGAAACGCACAACATTGAGCCTCACAATCCGCAACGCGAGGCCAAGATTCTAGCGACCTTGAAACGACCATGCATTCCCCTTTTGGAAGCATTCAGGGACCAAGAACAGAGATTTGTTTTGGTGTTTCCTTACAAGCCCATGACACTTGCCGACGTCATTGACAAAGGAACCATTCCATTACCTCAGGTTAGACGTCTCTTCAAGGACATCTTTACTGCTCTTGTGGACATTCACAGCCAAGGAATCGTACACCGAGACGTCAAACCCGAAGCCATCCTGCTCGACGGCGCAGATGGGCCAGCCTACCTGTCTGATTTTGGAACAGCCTGGCACCCAACCATGTCCATTATCTCAGAGCCTGCCAAATCCAAGATTCTGGATATCGGAACTGGCCCCTACCGAGCGCCTGAAGCACTCTTTGGCGATAAAGCCTACGGTCCTTCTGTCGATATGTGGGCGGCTGGGGCCATGCTGGCCGAGTGCTGTCGCAGCCCCTCAAAGCCCTTATTTGAATCAAGGCCGGCCCATGAGGACGGTAACCAGCTGGGTCTGATCTTGAGCATTTTCAAAACCTTGGGCACACCGACACGCGAGACCTGGCCCGAGGCCGCAAGCTTCAAGACGCCACCCTTTGAGATGTACCGCATGTTTAACGGCCAGCCGTGGACAGACATTCTTCCTGAGGTTGATCCCCAAGCTCGAGACTTGATATCGAGCCTGGTGCGCTTTGACTCCAAGAGGGCTACGTCTGAGCAGGTGAGTTGTAAAGACCTCTCTCACCCGAAGCAATTGCTTTGCTGACTACACGATAGGCTTTACAGCACACGTTCATGTTAGATGCTGAAGAATGCCAAGCATAGAAGACCATCCGGTTTTCGAGGACAACGTGATAAAGAGCCGGAGTATTTGAAGATGGGTCGGCTTGAGCCTTTGGGACGGTCGAAGAAAAAGGGGCCAACACCGTGCTACAGGTATACAAAGCCGTTGCTTTGTGTTCTTGGCCTTCATTGAGTCCCGCGAGCCTTGAAACCTTTAGAGCCCTGCGACGAAGTCTCAGTGTCGAAAAACAAAGGCCCTGGAATCTCGCACGAGGTATTAATGTCTGCGGTCCTGCGCGCTCTCATCATCGAACCGCGTCAATTTCAACGGTTCCCATCTCGCAACTTCAAGTCATTTCAGCGACTATTAGTCTCATACGCACTTCGGAAGTTTGAAGAAAGCTGCCAAACAATGGCCCATCTCGGCATCAAAAGATCAAAAGATCGCCCATCTTCTGGCCCGAAGAAAGTAAAAACCTATGACGGCGCGAATGTGGGCAAACAGAACGCACCGGATACGAAACTTCTCAAGGGACAATCAGAGGGGTCAAGACGAGATGATAGAAGAAAGAGCGATGCCATACCAGCCATCACTAGCTTGTCCAAAAGAACAGCAGGAGGCAAAATCCCCCACCATTGTCTCCGGGATAAACACAAATACCACAAGGGTTGTGTGAAGGCTGGTTGTATGGTGAAGTGTGACGAGTGCATCTGGTATGTCTCTACAGAGAAAGGTAATAATGGATCGGAATGCCGAAATTGCAGGAACAACGAGAGACGTCAAAAACAGATAGAGGACCGAGAGAGGGGGGCGAGTGCCATCGCCAACAGGGTCTTGGCCACCCGACAGCCTGCTCGCGTCACTAAAAGCACCACGCGGCTCCGTAAGGAATCTCTTAGGCGTTCCTCTCAGATTGTGTGGGCCAAGAGGCTCGGGAAGGTCATATCGGTGGCCATTCCCGAGGACGTCCCGGAAACCACCGACTCCGACACAAGTATGGACGAATGCTTAGTCTCCGACGTTGTCGAATCCAATACGGCTGTGAGCGATGCCGATCAGGAGTCTGTTCCTGCATGTGTCGAGCCCATCACGGATGTCAAGGAGAAGTTGGGATTCAACCCAGAGAAACCGGGCCCTTTGTCTCTCGAAGAGCTGCGCCTTCGACGTATCCGGGAGGCCGAGGAAATTCTCAAGCTTGTTCGCGAGGGTCTCGATAGGTTGATTTGAGTTGCATGGTTTCATGGTGTTACGCGGGTTCACGGACTGTTAGGGGTCTTGCATTTTTGAAAGTGTCTGCTTTTTGTCATTTATCTACGCCTGGCATTCTAGCCTTTTGCTTGCTTTTTTCCCATGTTCTAGAATTTGATGTTACAAGGGAATATACTTTCCGTCTTTCTCATCTCATCTTCTCGATGTCATCTTCTTCGTCCGTCATTCTTCTGTTCCCTATTCCCTTTGTAATTCAACACGGCTCCCACAGTCGCAATGCACGTGAGAGACCTAGCTGCCTTAGACCACATAATCTGACTGTTGCCCCCTCCGCGCCCTGGTATCTTGGCCCAGGTAGTCAATCGGGTTACGGCACAGCGGGCACGTATTCTGGTTACTGCTCTGGAACCACTTGTACAAACACGTACGATGGAAGAGGTTCTTGCACGTCGAGCACCGCTTGTCGGGCATGCGCTTGTCGGTGGAGATGATGGAGTAGCAGATGGCGCACTCGGATTGACCCTTGAGGGCACCGACGATGTTGCGGCGGAAGGCGGAAAGGCCGTCGATGATGCTTCCGTTCTTTTTGTGATGGTCAATATTTCGACTGATGGAATGGATTAGGAGATGGGGAGGTAAGCTTACCGAGAATGTAATCACGCCCTGCGTCGTGAGAAGCCAACTCTGCCACTTGCGCTCGTTGACCGCGACACGGTTGATCCCGACGACGGAGACGCCTTCAATCGGATAACTCGCGGGGACCTTGACGGCAATAGACGCCATGCTCTCGTCGACCTCGACGCCGGCCGTGATCTCCCTTGACGCTTTGCTGACTTTCACCACGAGCTCCTTTTCGTCCTCGTCGGCGGGCGGATCCTGGGCCGCTGTCCATGCCGCCACCTCGTCGAGCGCGTCCGAGATGATGATGGGAGAAAAGTAGCGCGTCATCCAGCCCTCTACTGCGATGCGCGTCTGCTTGGAGCGGCAGTCGAGGTACCACGTCTTGAAGAGACCGGGGGTGTATTTCAGGGTGAGGTAGTACAGGTGCACGAGCAGCCAGTGCAAGTTCCGCTCGTCGGGTTCCGCGTCGGCGAGGGAGACGCTGTACGAGGTGAGGTGCTGCGTCGTCAGGCCCTCGCGCTCGAGGTTGAGCGGGTGCGCGGCCGAGTGGCCTAGCACGTCAAAGGTAAAGTCCATGAGCGGGGCAATGTAATTTTCTGTTTTGAGGTGCTCCGTGTAGTCCTGGCGAACCTTGAGGGAAGCGGTGCTGAAGGCGTCGAAGATGAGGTGCCATGACAGCAGGTAGGAGCGGATCGCGAGGGGGAACTGCGCGAGGACTTCATCTGGGTAGCGGTCTAGCGTGGGCGCGTCGAGAAGGAGGGAGAGTAGTTCGTCTGGGAGGCGGGCGTCGGTCTTGTCGAGGAGGACGTTGACGGAGAGTTCTTCCTGGCGGGCGGGGAGGGCGTAGTGGAGTAGGTTGAAGGCCGCCGTCTGGATGGAGCGGGAGTCGGCGGCGATGAGGCCGTAAAGGTCCGAGAGATCGGTGACGTGCTTTAGTGGGATCTTGTTGACTTGTCTGCAGATGATGGCGTCGACGATCTCGAGGGGCTGCGTGGTCTTTTCGCGGTCGAGCTTGAGGAGCTCGATAAGGGAGAGGGATTTGGTTTCGGCGAACTCCTTGATGGCGTCCACAAGATCGTCGTTTGGCTCCGATAGTGTCTCTAGGGCGGTCATGAGCTTCAGCGATGCGTGGATATACGGCAGCGAGTCGTCGAGGCGGTCGTCGGAGGCCCTTGCCCATAACGCGGTGGAGAACTCGATGGCCTTTTCCCAGTACGAACCGTATACGTCCTTCATGCAGGGTAGCAGTCTCTGCAAGGATCTGCAGATCTCGGCCGACAGCGCGGGGGTGAGGTTAGGGATATCGTCCACCCAAGACGTGATTTGGCGAACGGCAAAGACGATGCGGTTATTGGCCACGGGGACCTCGCCGACCTCGTAGACTTGAAGGCATGCGTTGAGGAGGACGAGGACCAGTAGTGTTTTCTCGGCCTTTTCAGACTCCACGCTGGCGCCCGCAATGTCGCTAACAAGACGGTTGCACAGGTTGTTAATGGCCTTTGAGGATTCCAGGCTCTCGCCGAAGCCGGCGAGCACAGCCGTCGCTGCCAGGATCGTTGGTGGCGTAGCCTTGAGAGTGGCCAGTTGGTTGATCTTTTCGTCTCCAGTCACAGGGAAACCATGCTTCTCGGCGAGAGTCTGGAAGAGGTCGCTCAATGCTCTGGAGCTGTAGACTCCCAACGGGGTGAGCTCCTTCGTCTCTTGTGTCATGATGGCGATGAGACCGTTGACCAACTTCGTCGAGCCAGATTCTGAGCCGTCTCTCCATCCCTTGGCTTCATCGGCGATGGCGTTGATGGTTACGCGAGTGGAAGAGACGAACGATTCAGCCGAGGCAAGGGCATCTCCCATCTCGAGGTTCAGGAACAGCTTGTTTTCGTCCATTAGTGTGATCTGGTCCGACACAATCTGAACCGAGACACAAAGGAGGTAGAGCAGCTCGACCTGGAAGCTGTCAGGCAGGCTGGAGACCGAAATGTCCGACAACAAGAGCTTGGAGGTGTAGGATGCCATTCTGGCTGGGATGGAGAGACCGTCTCGGTCTCTGCGCACACGAAGGCGTTGGTCTGACTCGGTAGATTGTACGAGGAAGTGAGCGCCTGCCAGACCGCTAGTGATCGATAATGACGGGTTAAGCTTGGCCTGGAAGAACTTTGAGAGCTGCTGCATCCAGATATTCGTGCTCGGGAACAGGTCCTCGATGGCGATAGACCCAGCTTGGGACGCCTGGAGGGCCTGTTGAACCAGTGTTTCGACGCCAAGTGACTGTGGCCCAGCGTCTTCGAGATTCCTCTGAATAATGGTAACGACTGGCGATGTGCCATCGGTGGGCTGTTCCAGTAGCGCCCTCAACAAGGTCGCACGGGAAGAGACTGCTCTGTCCTTCATTTCGGCAAGTCCCAATAGCTCAGTCACAACCGCCATATGCGTTGACTCGTCCTGAGACAAGAGTCCAGGCTTGTTGTTCGTAATGATTTCCAGGGAGCGAAGGGCCTGAGCAGAGTGCTGCTTATCTTGCGACAAGGCCAACACGCTGTTGTCTACCAATTGCTTGGCCGTCGAATCGGCGATGGCATCGTTGCCAAAGGCTGCCTCGAACAGACTCCAGGCATCCAGCTCTCCGCGGGCTGTGCTGGAGCATTTGGATTCGATGAACTTTTGGAGCTGCTCGTGTGACTGGGAGAGCTTTGACGCCTTGTGGTTCGCAATGAGACGTTCGATGCCTCTGATGGCCTGCGAGTCATCGGATAGGCTCAACAAAGCTTCGATCCAGGTCTTCCAGGTACTGGCGTAAGTTTTTTCCTGTCCCTCAAGAGTGCCCAGGGCATTAACGCAGTTCAGCAGATCGGAACCAGACCGCGAAGTCATCAACATGTCCATGCGATCCCGGCCTTGCGTTGACAGGAATTGCTCCAGGGCTTGAGCAGCTTCTGCGTCCCTCCACACACGCGGAGCGTTTTTACCCACACTGTAGAGCACTGCAGCTGCCCCATATTGCTTGAGATTTCTGGTTGCCAGGAGGTCCACGCTGCATTTGATGATAGCCCTTGAAGGCTCGATCAAGAGACTGTCTGTGGGGTTTGCCCTCTGAACTTGACCGACGAGAGTGAACCAGCGAGTACCCTCTGAAGCAATGGCCTCTTGAGACTTTTCGTAGTCCTTTGAAACCTCTGGGAGTGAGCTGGATATTCTGGTACGGAACGCCGACGAGAGCAGCCCCAACTTGTCAGTTGTTGCCTTGGCCAATTCCTCGGATGACGAGCCGACAGAGACCTCGTATACTTCTCCCAGCACCGGAAGCCGTCCATTCCCTCCAATCTCCCATGCCGAATTTTCGGGTGTCGGTAAGAGGAAATGCTCGATCAGAGGGAAGAGATGCTCTTGAACAAGCGTTGCCCTCTGACTGTCGGAAGCAAAGGATTGCAAAAGGTGCTTGGTAGTTCTGGCATAGCAGGTCCACGCCGCGGTGGAGTTCATGCGCGGCTCCTCTCTGCTTTTGATACCTATCCTCATTGACTTGAGGGCGTCGGCTGAAGCATCGACCGTGAAGAGCTCGGTTGGGATAGCCTTGATCAGGTGCTCGAGGTGCTCCCAGTACTTGGCGGAGCTACTCTGGGAGCCCTTCTCCAAAAATCCGTTCAGCCTGGTTATCGGTGTCTTCTTCTCGCTCGAGCTCGTCCAGATCTCGGAGAACTTGGTCGTCAACTTTGTGAGAACCCTGACGTACTCGACAGCCGATCCTGCTTGGCTGCTCTTGAGTCCCTCGGCAACGAATGTCTTCTTCAAACGGGAGATTTGGGAGGATACAGAGTCGGCCCTCTTGTCAAGACACGCCCATAATAGCTGGCACGCCGTCTTCTTGACCGAGCTGTCGCCCGTGACCACGCTTTTCCAGACCTTCTCTTCAGCGAAGAAGGTATCGTACGCCTCCTCCTCCTTTTGAATGTCGGTCGACTCGAGCTTTTGTAAGAGACCGAGTACAAGGGAGAGACTAGCGCCTACAACCCGAAGATATTTAGCCTCGGCATCGTCGGCTGTCGTAGATCGTTCGTCGCTTAGGGTGTCCTTGGTCTCCTGGATAGCGTCCGTCGCATATGTTAAGATCTGTGACTGACACTTGTTCCAGAACAGCGCGACCTTTTCTGGGCTGCTGAGAAACGAGGAGAGGCCATCGTTGGCCGCCCTCGACACCACTCTGTCCTTGTCATATAAGCCAGCGAGCCAGGTTCCGACGATCTTTGGTACGCGCTTTTCCATGCGCTTCCGTGCCGACTTCATCAACTCGAACTGCAGGGTGTGGGAGAGTTCGCGGACGCGACGAGAGTTGTCTATCGAAATGCGAGGGTATATTTGGACCTATTACACAAATTACCACATGATCATCAAACCATATAGTCTCCTGGGAATAACGCACCCATGCTTCCAAGATGGCCTCTTCTACACCTCCTTCCATCTCGAACGGGTGAGCCTGTACGTAGGCGAGGAGGTCCTCCAGCGCCTTGGCTTTTGTTGTAGCATCTTTCTTGAGGGCGTTCTTGAAGGAAACAACGACGTTCGCATCGGATATGGAGGTCAAGTCGGGAGGCTCGGAGAGGTAAGATAGACCACTACCACCAGCGGAGGAGAAGCCGCCGAAGCCACCAGGCGCTGGACTGCCAAAACCCCTCGCGCCGGATGATCGGCCGCTTTTACCAAAGGCACGCGACATGGTCTAGTGTGACTGAAGGCAGTGTTGAAGGTATTGTTGTCGAAGATGTTGGTGCAGCTCAGTGCAGGAGTTCGCGCGGCGCAAGGAGGCAACTGGAAAGCTCGAAAATGACGTTGGCGGGGTAGTTACGATTTACAGTGCACAAATGCGAAATGCGGCGGGCAGGGCACCACCTTTAATTTCTCGTTCGAGGTATCGGAGATAGAAGAGAAGCGAGAGGGATTGGTAGCGGAGATGGAATGCAAAGTCTATAAGAAAAAGAAAGTATTCCTACGACTGTAATCGTCCCCAAGGCAGTGAATGCAAGTGATGACCAAACGAAGTCGAATCCAAAGAAAAAAGTTCGGATCGCAATCACAGACAGGGTGCGTCTTGTTGCGCCGCAAAGAGCAGCAGCGCCGAATTGACTCAGGCCGAGTGAACAATTTGAGCCCCGGCCACGGCGAATGAAAACGGATGAGATGCCCCGCCGAAGCTCCATCTGATGATGCTGTCATACCTGCCCTGCCTTAGGTAAGCGTGCCCGTGCTCCGAGATAGCTTGTCTTAGGTCAGCAAGTTACACGTGATTTAGCCACTTTCTGGCCTCACCCGTGCACACTGCCCAGGTGCGCAGTACCTAATCTGCCCCCTGCCCTATCCATTCCCTTCGATTGGGCCGCATTTATCACAGCTCCAAATTGCTCCACTTTCCAGCCACGGGCGGAACTCAGCACCTGCGTCACTGGCCAGTTGCACCAATTCGGGGTCGTTCGGCGGTTTCAAGCGTTCCTCGGCCAAGAGGGCCACTGTCCACTGTCAACACTGCACAGAGGCTTACCCCGCAAACTGCCCTGCTGAAGGCTCTCCACTGGGGCGTGCACCTCAGTGGCTCTCAGCCCACTGTGCCCACGGTGGCCCACCCGGCTCACTGCGGGAGCAGCGCTAGGGAGCGGTAACTGTGGATCCCACCTTCCCCCATTGCGACTTACCACCTGGTCCACGTCCCAACCCGGCCAGTCGCAGCTGATTGCCGCTTGCTGCTCCCTCTGGCCCGTCTTGTGCCATCGGTCCATCCTATCCGTCCAGCACCTTTTGAACTCTCGCTACTTCTTTCTTTCCAACCTTGCTCGCCTCTCTCTTAACATCGTCAAGGTGGCGGATTGAGATTTCAATTCCTCCCTTTTCAACTCTACGTTTCAAGCAACATCGTGTCTTACAGTCTACATGCGGGTCGTGATACGAGAAGCTCTCCCCCTCACTTCTCCCTCGTGTAAGTCGTTCCGGTTTATTCACGTGCGCTCGAGTCCAAGTACTCGCTGCCGCATTTGGCCGACCACTCTCTACCCTCGAGAAAGCACGACGCGCCCGCAGTTTCAGACCGCGCTCGTTGGAATCACATTCCGCTGACCTTTGGATGTGATCAGTCTCGGGAGCATGGTAAAGGCACAAAGCTAAAACCCATCGTCATGCTCGCCACCGTCTCTCGCTCCTCGTCTCGTGCGGGCGGTCTCTACCCCGGCAGAACCTCCTCGGTGGGATCACTGATATCCTCGAACCAAACACCCATGAGGGCCAGCCACTATGGCCAGACTCACGCCTTCCGCTTCGGTGCGTGGTCTTCCTACCTGGATCCCGAGGTCCAGCGTCAGCTACGTCTTCGTCAGCGCCATATCAAATACAAGTACATGGAATCGATCAATCGCAAGCTGTCCTGGGACCCAAACTCGCGTGCTCAAGATTCGAGAATCGTGATGAAGAAGATGTTGGCGCAGTGCTGGATCAGACAAGGCCATACCCGCTCCGGCGGCAGATACGTGAGAGGGGAGGACGTGAAAAAGAGTGCATCGGGCGAAAATCTGGGCACCCGGCCCGGCCAGAACATTGAAGACGTCGAGCGCAGTGCCATCAATGCTCTATTTTCCGGCAGGCGCGCCAATCCGTTGGAATATGACTTGTGGCAGTCACCTCTGCAAAACATTCGCAATTATCTCGGTAGCCAGACCAGGAGCAAGTATACGGCTGCTGCCGGTCGCGACGTCTCATCTGACATCGACCCGATTACGAACCGAAGAATGCACTCTTCGCATGCGCCCCAGTCGATTTTTGATAACTCTTCAGACAAAAACACCCAAGAGCCATTCTTCCCAGACGGGGTCCCCCCAGCCGACGAACTCAAAGAGTATGGCAATGTCACCATTGACAGTGCCCCGTGGGCCGAAGCTGGGTCCAGTAGTGGAGTTGTGGAGACCCCGCAATATGCGGATCTCGACAAGTACAAGCCGGTCATGGATGAGAAGCTTGATGCTAAGCAACTTTCCGAGAAGCCGAAGTACGACGATCTGGCCAAATACACACCAGTTGGTCTCAAAGATTTCTTGGAGGAGGCAGACGTGACGCCCAAGTATGAGGATCTCGGCAAGTATGCCAACCCAACACTGAACGATGGCCCTCCCGAGGAGCTCTCCCAGCCTGCATACGAAGACCTCGACAAGTACCGCCCTGTGATGCACAATGAGAGTGCTGAGGTTCCGGAGCCGTACGAGCGGTATTCAGATTTGCACAAGTATGGTCCCATCATGCACAATGAGAAGGATGTAGTGGAGGAGAAGCAGCCCTACGACGACCTGCACAAGTACGGCCCAATCATGCATAACGAGAAGGATGTTGTGGAGGAGACACAGTCCTATGACGACCTCCACAAGTACGGACCGAGCAGTTTCAACGAACCTGAGGGATTGCGCCCCCGTTCCAACGAGGAGAAGTCAAAAGACTATGACGACCTTCACAAGTATCGCCCGCATTCTTTCAATGAACCCTCGGGTTTGCGTCCCATGCATCCCGAGGAAGCCTCCAAAGCCTACACTGATCTGGACAAATATGGCCCCATGTCTTATAACGAACCCCACGGTCAAGCTCCCATGCACCCAGAAGAGGCGTCCAAGACATACACGGACCTCGATGCCTACAACCCCGTTGGCTGGAATGAGCCTCACGGCAAGCCGCCGATGCACCCGGAGGAAGCCTCAAAGCAGTACAAGGATCTGGGAAAATACTCCAAAGAGTTTAAACGTGGTGATGCACCGCCACCAGAAGGTGTCATTGCAGCGGTTGAGCCTGAAGAGGCGGCCAAACATCAGCCTGTACAGTACAACGAGCCCGAAAGCCACCGCCCCAGGAATGACTGGGATCAGAAAGCTTTCGACGAGGCCAAGCAGTACGAATCTTTCCGATACAACGAGCCGGATGGGCAGCCTACCCAGGTCATCGACCCTGTATCCAAGGGTCTGGGTGACTTTGATGCAGAAATTGCTGCCAAGGCAAACAGACGCAAATCTTTTGCTCAGGCATCAGAGAAGGAGAGAGCCGACGACTTGGACTTGCTCCGTGCCAGCGATGTTCGGGCCAAGATTCCGACGTCGTCGGGCCAGTCCCGGAGAGAGTACAGCACGACGAACAGACAGATTCTCGAGGCCGATCTTCCCCGGTATGCCGTGAACTGGGATATCTCAAGTAAAGCGGCGCGAATTGCAGTGCGGCAGTCGAGAAACAAGGCGTGGGATCATATCCCCTCCAAAAAGGAGAACCTCACTGGCAACTACGTCAGGGACTTTCCTGAAGACTTTTCGCGGAATTGGAACGACATTGTAGCGGCTGCCGCAGACAGTCAAAAGGTTGAGGAGAGCCACAATCAAGATGAGGTTGAGGCTGCGTCCTTTGATGAGAGTTTTCCGAGTCTGGAGCACAAGCTGGAGCCATCCCTGGACCGGTCATCTTCCTTCAGGACCACCCGCATTGAGGGAAAGAGAGGTCAAATCGACCAGTATTCAAAAGAGCCTCAAGGCCTTGAGGTGAGCTACTCTGAGGAGTGCGGTGGCAAGCAGACCTGGCCCTCCTACGTCCGAACATATGGAACCGTGACGGATGCCATGGCCAATGCCTCTTCAACCGCACAGGAGGCCGTTGCCGCCGCCGAGAGCGAGGGCGTGGTGTCCTCGACCACAACCCAGGCACCTCGGCAACCCACCATCTACAAGATTCTTGCATACGACCCGACGATGCAGGCAATCAACACGGCCGAGACCGCGTCAGTCGTCCCGGACAGTGCAACCCCGTTGACGCCGGCAGAGGTGATTCTCCGGTTGTCGAACCCGACCAAGTTCTTCCCCTACTTTAGCACCCTACAGAAAGAGGGATATGAGATTGTTTCCGGAAGCGGAGACGTCCTGGTATTCCGCAAGGTCCGCGAGGCAGAGACGGCATCCAAGGATCAGGCTACCGCCTCTTTCGCCCCTGCGATCGAGAAGCCGACGACATACCAGGCGCCAAAGGTGAACCCCATCGACATGATGGGGAGCGACCCCGTAGTACCAAGCGCTTACTCTTCCAGTCCTACAGGCTACCTCAACTATGATTACCCCGGAGCGGAGACAACAGAGAAGCCCCCACCTCCCTTCAGCCCGCTGAGGAGGCGCAATACGATATCCTGCGACAGCCAGGATTTCGAGCCTCCGAAGCGGCCGAAGAGGAGCAGGGCCAAGAAGGTTGTTCTTGGTGCCGTGTGGGTGGGCGGGATTTCTTACGCGATTGGTGTCGTTGGAGAGTACTTCAAGACGGGAGGCAAAGATGGACACGGACCCAAGGGATTGTAGGTGGATGCCGTGCGGGTTTCGCGGGTTAGTTTGGGATTTCGTTGGGATGGTTCATATACCTTTTTCGGTTATAGGATTCGGCTGCCACTTGAGCAAGGCAAACTCTCAATTGTATCAGTAGCACGCTCAATGATGCAATAGTCACTTCTCATTCGTTATAGATCGCCGTGATTTGAATGCTACGTGTGGTTTGCAAATAGCATTGCACTGTCTAAAAGCCATACTCGGAAAAAAAAAGAGGAGGATGTGGGAAATATGAGTTATAGTGAACGCTTTGATAGGATGCAACCTAGTAATACAATTTTTGAACGCCATGCTTCACCAACCATCCGACGGCGAATTCATCCATGCCCTTTATTGCCAATTTTGTTCTTCAGGTGTAGGAATCGTATGGAAAGAAACCCTTCCCTCGAGATCATTCTTCCTCGCCAAAACCACCATCTTCAACGCATCGTCGTTGACCGAAGCGTAAGTACTCCCGTCAGCTCAATGCAGTAGTACTGTGTCTCCCGGAAGGCTTTCCCCTCATGAAAAAGTCAAACAATCTTTCTGCAAAAGGTGCCACATCAATCTTCAATCCTCCGACGAACCCCCTTTATGAACGCTCAGTAAACCCCGGACCAGTCTTGACATCCTCAATCCGACTCATCTGCAGCGCGCGCTTCTGGTCTTCCTGGCTCCAGCTCTGGCGGCGCTCGAAGGAGGGTTTCCAGCTGTTTGTCGTGGACTCGACGATGGCGCACGGGGTGGCGGATGGGGTGGAAGATTGGTTTTGGGTGGCGGGAGAGGTTGGGGAAGTGGTGTAGTTTGAGAGGTCGGGTTGGGAGGTTTGGTGGGTTTGTTCGGATGCCATTTTTGCGGTAATGTTTGTGGTTTGTTTTGGGGGGTTGAGTATTCTGGTGATTTCTGAAGGTGTGATGCTCGTGTGGTTTGATGTTGTTTGGTTTGAGGTTTGTTTGATTTGGTATTGTAGGTGCGGAGGGTGGCAGTGTTTATATCCGGAGTTGTTGGAATGTAGAGGTTTGATTACACGACGACGGTGTGATGCGGAGCAACGAAGCAGGTGAGTATCACGAGAGGAAGAGCGGGGGAACGGGAATGAGGAGATGTTTTAAACTTCCCAGACCTCTGCAGTCCTTTGCTGTGTGTGTCGTTGTTTCTTTCATTCGTTTTGAGGGTCCAATGCGCCTTCGAGGTTTGCGTTGCACACACCACCACCACCATCACCTCTTTCCGGATGTGTTTAACCCTCCTTTACGTACGCCTCCTCCCACGACTTGTCGGCGATCGTCGCTGCGGGATGCGATGTACATGAACGACCTACCTTACCCGAGGAGCACTAGAGGCAAGGTAGCGACGGGATGACGAACAGGCACGGCTAGTATTGTCATGCAACATAAACGCCGTACCTATTTCCCATACTTACGACCAGGTGCTTGAGCACGGGTGGCTTTGGAGCGAGCACATTACCTACTGCATCAGACGATGATCAGCCCAGCGGGGGTTTGAACATATAACATCATACCGCCTGGTAAGTAGGCTGCTTTACCTCGTCTGTTGGCGTAGGATATCTTAAGTAAGCTGGTAAGGTAGGATGAGCTACCAAGCCAGCCAACCATGGAGGGGGAAACAGACATATCGCCACTGACATTTCTCATCGGGGGTGAATCGTCCACTGGCTTTGTTGACACCATAAACGCACACACCCTTGCCGTCATAAAACGTCTCGAGCAACCTTTCCCTAAGTCGAGAAGACGCCTTGTTACGTAGATAGCTCCAAGCTAAGGTCCTTCCAGCAACTGGTACCAAGTGCTCCGCAGTATACCTAGATACGCACCATTCATGTCCAGCCAGCAAATTGACACCTTACCCACGCTCACCGCAATCAGCCACTGAAGGAATCCAGCTCAACATCTGTCTATGTAGTATATGCATTACGATATGGAGAGATACCTACACCACCATCGGGCACCTAAAGAAACCACCGCCGTCATTGCGGGGTAAAACAAAAGCAAAGAGTTCGGGCCCAGACCCACAGCAGATTAGGCTTATCGGACGTTATCAGTCACGCAAGGTCCGTGCATTGCACCAAGCCGGCCCCACATGAGCTCCGGGGAACGCGGCGCAAGGAAACGACATCATGCTGCAGATTCCGGCTTACATCCTCCTACGGATACAATTCCATGTTTTCATTCCGTCGTTGCTTCTGATGAGCGGTAAGGTCGAATATCTCGCTGTACTCACTTATATTATTATTGAATGAGAGGCCAACGGGATACATCTTGTGAAAATTCCACGTGAGAAAAACCAAGGTTGGTCCATGTTACCGTAGCTTGGTTTGCAAGGAAAGAGTCAAGAGTGTTTTTTCGGGCACGAGCTAAGACGCGGGCAGGGATGAGCGCGTGATGGCGGGGACCTCCCACCCAACGCATCTCTGGGTTGACCACTATCTTATTATAAGCTGCCCAGATTCAACATGAATCCCAACGTTTGTCACCAGAAACCTGATCGAGCATGAAGTCACAAGCAATGAGCCAGATCGTATACAACCTCAGTAGAAGAACATGATTTTTATTCGCCAGACCTCTGATTGAAGATAAGTCGTCAACCTTTTCTAAACCACCTCCCTGCCCGTTCATCCATCCAACACCATCCCGTCCGTCCCATCATCATTTCCATTTCCGTGACCGACCGCCCGCCAGTCCAATTCATATCCCATCTTTCTTCGTGTAACCCTTTCAACGCATCAGAAAATCAAGAGGCCCTCTTTTAAAAGACGGAAAAGCAGGCGAGTCGAGAAACAAATTCCATCAAAAATCAAAAACAGAGACACACACTCCTCGCTCCCAAATCGAATGTAACCTGGATGCTGCATGTATCTCGTCTACCCGGGGGGTTTCGGAGTCGGGGGGTTGGGGTTGTAGGCGTGGGCGTGTTATGGTGGTTTTGTTTTGTGTAATGCCTTTGGGGAATCTTTGGGATAAAAAATAAGGAGGCCGCCCGTCCTCTTCCGGAGGTATAGTAGTAGTGGAATCGTACAGTATGAATACTTTGGGGAAGTTTGCAAGGAAAAAAAAAAAAAAAAAACCGCCTTGCGCTATGCAGCCAGTACACACGAGTTGGTTTTGCCCAATGGTGGTTTTCGAGAGCCATGGTATAGACAGTAAAAGGTGTTGTGCAAGAGGCGGGAGAAATGAGAGGCCATGCTCGGTATATGCACGGCATCAGTTCAGCCTCAGCAAGGCAAAAGGGGCGTAGGAACCCCACGAAAAAAAAAAAACATGGGATGAAGAGCGATAGCTGGAACTAGCTTCAAGGTGTTCGGGGCCGCTTCCAGTAGTATTGCTAAATCCAACATGTTAACATCAACCTCCTTACACCTCAACGTTACAAAGCTTACCTTGTGCTGCTTGCGACACGCTCGTAGGCTGGGCTTGCGCAGACCATCAGTCACGGCAAGGCGACGCTGGTCGTCATCGTCGAACTCGGGGACGTAGTAGTATTCGCTCTCGAGCTGCTTGCCAGCAGCGTCCTTGCCCTGGCGTTGGATAATACCAATGCATGCGGTTGCTTCGATCAGACTCCGGAGCTGGTCCTTGGTCAACCCCTTGCGCTCTTCTGACGGCAGGTTGTTCATGATGGTTGAAAGCGGGTTGGACGACAAACGCGAGAAGGCCAGCTGGTTGACGACATGGTTGCGGACGGCGGGGTTCTCGTAAGGGGGCTCCGGTTCTTTGGCTTCCTCCTCGTCTTCGAACACCTCGCCTTCCTCTACCTCCTCTGGCGACTTCGGCGGCGCGGAAATGGGGCTAGAGGGTCTTGACTCGTCGCGAACCGTGGGCAGACCTGTCCGCTTGAAAAGGGGGAACTTGGGAGAAGCAGTAGTGATGGAGGCCAGGCGGTTAGAGATATCTGCGCCAAATGGCCCAAAAGAGTGAACGATTGGGTCATTCTCCTCGTCAGGGTCGTTCTCGTTCTCGTCCTCTGGTTCACTGAGTTCGGACGAGAAAGAGTTAGTGGCTTCGGTAGCGAAGCTCTGACCAATAATGGTGCCAGAGTCAACCAGCTTGGGAAGCTCAGGCTCGTCTGCACTCGAGTCCTCGTAGATTTGAACTTCCCCATCTTCCCTCGGCAACAGAGCCTGGAGTCGCTGCGAGCTGCTCAGGTGCGCCGTCGGTGAGTCTGGGGACTCGATGCGCGAGGGCCGGCGCAGGGGGCTCGACTGCAAGAGGTCGGCGGCAACGCGGGCAGCGGAACGAGGGGGCGAGTCACCCCATGCCGACTCGTCAGGGCTCGCGAGGCGGTCGCGACGGTCCCGCTTCGGCCATTGGATCATGACGCGAGCGTCCTGAACGTCAATCATGATTTCGGTCCCTTCTGTTTCGGACGTGAAGGAGTCGCCCTTGAGGAGCTCCCACGTGCGGCCCTGGCAGTGGAGTTTCAGCCCGTTCCAACCATTGCAGATGATTTCAATCTTGTTGGGCTCCAGGGCGGAGGGAGCAGGCACGTAGCGGGCCTTGACGTGGATGCGGGAGACGAGGCGGTTTGCGGATAGCTGGTAGTGGGACGAGTTGCTAGAGCGGCCCATGAGGAGAGTTTCGCCATTCTCGTTCAATTCGATGGAGCTGACAGCACCGAGGGGAGTGCGCTCGGAGGCGGTAGAGAGTGCCCGAGAGAGACCACCAGGTCTTGAGTGTACGCGGGGCGGAGAGGAGGATAGGATGCCGGTGCTCGAGGTCGGAATCGGGGTGGGGTATTTCAGGTACGCGTTGCTTGCTCCCACAGAACCAGGACGGGCTTGTCGCTTAGAGGGTCTAGGGAAGCCCGGGGAAGAAGAGAGAGGTTCGAATGCCGGAAGGAGGCTCGGGGCAGGACGTTTGGTGCCGGCCAGAGGAAGCGTGGGCTCCTGGGTCTTTGATTGGGGCGACGAGTCGAGCATTATGGCGACGACGGCATGCCCAGACTAGGAGAGTTGAGAGTGCCGGTCTTGGGATATAGAAAGGCGTGTCTGTTCCTTTTGCAGTGTTCCCTCTTGTAATGTCTCGAAATTGGTTTTCTTGCACGTCGTTGGGGAGGTGGGCGCGTTATTCTCGGCGCGGGTGTCGTTTCGACTATCGGACGTGGGATATTGGCGTTGTGCGGGTAAGCGTGTAAGTGGCTCACTCTTTCGGCAGGGGTGAGATGTACAGGACGGGAGTCAGGGTCTCGGAGGTATATAGGAAGGAGAGAGAAAGAGAGGTAGAGAGGAAGCTTCAACAAGTTGAATATCTTGAAAGAGGTCTCTAGGATCCAAGCCTGGCCACGGGTTAAGACCTATGGTAAGAAAGAGAGAGTGAAAATTGTCAAGTGGTTGCAGGTCTGATGGAAGGAGGCCCGGTGGTGCGGCCCTGGACCTTTTTGAGGGGGGCCCTTGCCCAAAAAATGGAAGCGTGTCTCTCGCGCGTCCACGTCTCCCGCGTGTTGCAGGGCGCGCGCCGAATTGTGCTGTGCAGGACCGGACCCGGGGGGGGGCACATTGTGCTCTTAGGCGGTACCTATGGTAGGTACTTTGGCTCCCCACTCTACGTACCTAGAGTCGCGTGCCCGCTGAAGGCAGACGGGTTTATAGCGGGAAGATGGATGGCCACAGCGGGTAGATGCGCTAAAGATGACCGTGTTTCCAGGCCATGGCCGCTGGACGCGGGCCGTTGTCTGAGCTTGTTGCGGCGGTTGCCCGCTAACCTGGGAGTTTAATTGCTTCCATCTGTATGTCTCTGGGTCAATGGACTGCATCTTCGACCTCAGTCTTTCCGTCTTCATCACCAACTCTCACTCTCACTCTCATACTCATACTCATACTCATTCTGAACCTTCGGGTTCATGACCTCTCTACCTGTAGACCGCCATTTCCTTCCAGCCTCTTGTGTGCAAAATCTGCAGTCATTAGGCCTCATAATGGCCATGATGCCCCTCATCGAGATCAAGCCAGCCTCCCCGAAATCATGTCCGAGTCTCCAAGTCCCCACCGTACACGCTTTCTTGGGTGAGAGACGAGTAAGAGACAGCGAGTGAAAAAAAAACCAATAACTCGCCAGTCCCACTTCCGGTGCGCGTCTCTCTTACACCACACCACACCACACACGCACACGCTTTTCGATCGTTGCCGATGGTCAGCATTTCATCCTTTTTCCCAGCTGTTGACGGATGAGCTAAGGCACTCTGACTGTTGGACGTTTACGGGGGCCATCCCATCCAACGGCGAAGAGCGCTGAAGAACACATTTACTACGAACAGCCGCCGCCAAACCACAACTCGCTCCACTCTGTCCAACCGTCTGGCCCATTCGAACCCCGGCGCATCCCAAGCTTGGCCGAAGTGTTTCTATGCTAACCAGGAAGGTAAGGTAACCAAGGTAAAGTACCTTATCTCCCTCAGGATGGCGTGTTGAGGACAAGATCAAGAGGCTTGCAATTTACATTACTAGTACAATGCATACCAAGGTAACTGAGGTTTCTCTCTTGCCCAAGTCTTCAAAAGGCAAGAGAGCCATGCATTCCACTACAGTGCGCTGTTCCCCCGGTCCTTCGTCTATCCCTGTGCTTCACAGGCTCACACGCCCCAAATCACGATATCGCATCGGTTCTCGTCTACAACCCTCCCCCAAAATCCATTGGTTACGAGCACGGCCGTTTCTCTCTTCTTGTGGCATATCCGCCCTTCCCTTTGCTGCCACAAGCATCATAGATGCGCCAAAAGTCCGCCCGTCTGCACTCTGGTGAGACTTTTGAGTCTTGACCCGCCCCCCATCGACTGGGGTGCGAGAATCCGGTCCCAGACTCCCAGTCTCCCACCCAGATCGCCTCGTTCCAGGCTGCCCATGCAATGCAATCCGAAGGGGTTGAAACGAGTCTCGCGAGACCGTGTTTGCTGCGCGTAAAGTGCTCTCTCTAAACCTGGGAACCTTGGGTTTTGTGATGTAATATCTGCACATTCAATATTCACCATTGCAGTCCCTTGATTCCTTTACCATGTTCCAACACATCCTATGTAATTCGTTGCCTTATTTCACCCAAACCAACATGTCTTTGATATAACGCGTACTAAGCGAACATGACCACCCGTCCCCTTAGCACGGGTGGAAATGAGCTGTCAGGAAGCGCCAGACACTTTGTACCCGAAAAGCCCTTCTTAGAGTACCAAAAAGCAGCAAAACCCACGTCTTCCCGAACCGTCAATCATCGCGTCCCGACATAACACCCCGCATCGCTAAAGCAAGTCGCGCTCCCCTCCCATCTCAATTCTCACATGACCCGCTGAGGCTTTTGGGCAAATGATGATCCCGGCATTCCCAATTGGATTTCACTGAGGAAAAAACTCGTTGGCATGTGCATGAGACCAACTTGCCAGATACCAAGGGCCAAGGCAGTTCGGCCCACAACCCACGTTGTCCACACTTTTTCTCAGAGACTGTCGGATGCCGGGACCCGTTTTCAGACTGAGACAATGATTGTGTGCTGAGACTTGAGATTGATTTCAATATCCGCTTATAGATAGCTTTCGATAAACGTGCAAAATGCTTGTCATTTCTCGGAAGGTTGCAGTTGCGATGCAATGGTTTGAGACGTTGTGCTGCTGAACGCACGTGTTGACTGCTAATCCGGATATCAACGGCTGACTTTGCGTCTGAAGACGCGATATCAACCACTCAACGCGTCGAGACATGTACAACCCGTTTTACGCAGTGATCAAGGTCTGATCGCCAATCCAAGGCCAAAAGCTTATCCAAGTCCATTTATTTCAACATTTTCTTCAAAATCGGAACGAGAACCCCAACTTGTGCACTCAATCCAGCATCCATGGGAACCAGCGAGTCGCACCGGCGCGATGGGTTTCGGTTGAAGCTAAGGTTCGTCACCGAAGCCTTCACCTCGGTCAAGTCCCATCAGACCGAGACGGGAAAGCACGGACCCCATCGGCACCGGCGCCCTGGATCCGCCGACGGGACATGATCCCTGCCGTTTTGGCCAAAAAATTTCTGGACGACGGTCCAAAGATTTCTGGTCGCCCCCACCATTATCTCTCTCTCTGTAGTCGCAGTGTTGAAGTTTTGCCAGAACCAAAAAAACACGACAAGACGAGCCTTCACCAACCCCGTCAAACCAGCAGTCATGGCTCCCTCAAAGACCGTCGCCGTCGCATCGAAAGATGTTACGCCCTCAATTGACCCCGAGCAGGTAAATACTTCCCTACTCCCAAGTCCCTTGCGTTTGCCTCGAAGCGCAAACACCCATTCAAGATTATCCCGGATCGCTAACATGCAGCGGAAAACCTTTAGACCCTAAAGGCCTCCAAGGCTCTCCTGGCACACATCAAAAAGGCCGCCAAGGAAAAGTCTGAGGAATCCGGCAAGAAGAACCTCCTCGCCGACGAGACCGAGGACCTCGCCCAGCAGCCCATCTGGCTCACCCTCACAACCAAGCGCCACATCGCCGACAGCGCCCGCCTCAAGCCCGGCAAGATCACCCTCCCGCACCCCCTCAACCAGGATGAGGACGCCACGATATGTCTCATCACCGCCGATCCCCAGCGCGCCTACAAGAACATTGTCGCCTCGGACGACTTCCCTGAAGCCCTCCGCAAGCGCATCACCCGCGTCGTCGACGTAGCCCACCTGAAATCAAAGTTCAAGCAGTACGAGGCCCAGCGCAAGCTCTTTGCCGAACACGACGTCTTCCTCGCAGACGACCGCATCGTCAACCGCCTCCCCAAGGCCCTCGGCAAGACCTTTTACAAGACCACCGCCAAGCGTCCCGTCCCCGTCGTCATCTCCGCTAAACCCCCCCGCGGCGCAGACGGCAAGCGCGCAAAGGCCCCCGCAAAGACCCCCGGCACCGTCAACGCCGGCACCCCGCAGGACATTGCCGCCGAGATCGAAAAGGCCATCGGCGCCGCCCTCGTCAGCCTCACCCCGTCCACCAACACCGCCATCCGGATAGGCTACGCCGGCTTCAAGCCCCAACAGGTCGCCGACAACGTCACCGCCGTCGTCGATGCCCTCATCGGAAAATGGGTGCCCGAGAAGTGGGCCAACGTCAAGAGCATCTACGTCAAGGGTCAGGAGACCGCCGCTCTGCCCATCTGGCTGACGGACGAGCTCTGGCTCGAGGACAAGGATATCGTTGCCGACGACAGCGAGCAGGCAAAGGCGATGAAGGAGAAGGCCAACGTCGGCAAGAAGCGCAAGTCGATTGGCGGTGCTGATGAGGAGGGCGAAACCGAGGCTGCGACGAAGCCGTCCAAGAAGGCCAAGAAGGCGGCCAAGGAGGCGGCGCAGAAGGCTCTTCCTGAGGGCGATGATGAGACCCTCAACAAGCAGATTGCCGAACGCAAGGAGAAGCTGAAGAAGCAAAAGGCCAAGGCTGCTGTCGACAACTAAGCGCTTCTAGGCCCAGGCATGCTGTAGAGATGAGAAGACTACCAGACCAAAAAAAAAGGAGGATGGTTTACGTGCGGGATTATACCATGCATGGTTTATGGCGTACGGCGTTGGTTCAGACAAAAATTAACCAAGAGCACTCGTGCTTAGAATTTACCAATAAGAACTAGTGTACAATCTTCCCTTTTGCACTTTCCACTCGTGTTGTTTCATTACCTGACTCAATCCCATTACAACTCCTCAAAGATAACCTCCTCGACCTTCTTCTCAGCCTCGAAAGTCTTCTTGAAGGGCCCAAAGAACTCTTGAATGGTCTTGTTGAGCGTCTTATCCGAAATCTGCATGTGCTCGCCAGGAATCTGGCGGAAGCGAAGCCCACCCTTACGGTCCAGCTCCCTCAGACCAATCCAGTCCTCCTTATAAATCGCCCGGGCCCGCAGCGGCAGGCTCTCGGTACCGTTGACCTCCTCGAACCACGCCGTCTCCTTGGGGATGACAGTCGTGTCGTCCTCAAACATGACCATGACAAAGTTGGCCAGGCTGGCGAGGTTCTTCGCATACCGCACATTCTTGAGCTCGCGCTCGTTGTTGATATCCGCCAAGAAGTTGGACGACTCAATGTACTTGGCATACTGGTCCGGCTGGGGGTCGCGGTAGTACTGCGCGGGAACCAACCGGTTCTGCACGAAGCCGGACCAGGTGTTGAACCGCAGCAGCGCCATGGCGCCTTTGCAGAGGAAATCGCCGTCGCCGCAGGCGCGGAACTCGACGATGCCGTTGTGCTGGCTGCCGTAGGTGACAAGAGACCTCACGGGCGGGTTATTGCAGCGCTCGACGTAACCCCGGAGAAACTGCCCGCCCTGGCTGAAGCCGATGGCGTCGACGGCGGGCGCGGTGGAGAGGATCGGGTGGGCGGCGAGCTCAGCGCAGACATCCTCGAGCTGGGTCGTGACGTTGCCGAAGAAGGTGGCGGAGCGGTCGGCGTTGGGGTCCGCGCCGACTTTGATGGTGTAGACAAAGGTGCCTGGGTTGAGCTCCTCGGCGACTTCGCCTAGGCGCTTGATACCGTCGCCGTCATACGAGTCGCCGAGGCCGTGCCAGACGATGAGGGGGATCGGGTGGTCGTCGGTATCGTCGGAGAGGGGTTTTTGGTTGTGGTGTTTGGGGGTTGCGGCCGTGTAGGCTGCTGTGGCTAGGGAGCCGACTGTGAGCAACGTTGGGATGGAGAGGGACTTCATTGTGGATTCTCGTATTCTCTGGTTATTTCGTCTAGTACTATCAAAGCTGGAAGCTGGGACTAGGGTTGTGAGGTTGGGAGAGCGACCTGTGTCCGGGAGACGTTTGTTGGTCTTTCTTTGGATGTCAAAGGGATAGAGGGGAGTGTGGCAAGGGAAAGCTGACGACACCAACCTCTACGGATACAGCTGCGCGGTGGGACAAGAGCAGGAGCTTGGCTGTTGCCGCCTGCCTATCGCCATGCAGTGCTGACTTATCGATTGAGCTTCCCATTGGCCACGGACAAAAGATGTGGGCTGGGGGATGCTCCGAGAGCAGGTCCTTAGGTAAGCGGTCTGTGCCATCCAAATCACGAGTTTCCCAGGTTTCCCAGGCTTCAAGGAGTTTAGCGTCTCAGTGGCTTCAACCTCGACAGCCCTCAGGCCTCGTCTTTGGCCCAGCGCTCATACACCGTGACACCCAATAGATGGAGCTTCAAATACTTAGCCAGACCTAACCTCCCCTGTCAACGTCGGTCAAAGTCTTGGAGGTCCGGCGTTATCCTCCGCCAAGTTCACAGCAGACAGACTAGAAGCAGTAACAGCTCCAGCCAAGTCCGTCGGGCCTTGTCAAGTGTCGGTCCTCGTTCCTCGTTCCTCGTTCCTGAGAACTAGTCGCTCCCGGATGACAGTGCCTTAGTCTTCATAACGCATGCTGATGTCCTTACGTCGATGACTCGGATGCTATCCCTCCTCAGCCGTCAACGGCGCAGAGGCGGGTAAATCCCAGGTCGGGGGCGATTCCCTGCCATCCGCCTCTGAAACGCTCTCGGTGCGAGACTAAGATGCAACCAAGAAATGGTCCCTTGTTTCACGCAACCCATCCTCTCAGGCTCTTTTACTGGTGCCCCCCGGAGTACCACCCACCACAACTACCACACATCGTCGTACAGGGACAGAGGCTGACGACGCTGAAGACCGAAGGGTGCATGAAGTAGCCTTGTGGCTGGACGACGTTGATCGGCCGATCTTTCTGCGGCCTTGGCTCGGACGACATGTGTTCGGGCGAACCGTACACGGTACCGCTGGCGGGTTTGTGTGTGTGTGTGTGTGTGTGTGTGTGTGTGTGTGTGTGTGGGCGGCAGTTCGCGGGTTCCATAAGTATGGACGACCTTCCCTTCTCGAACGACACTTGAAACATGGGAAGGAAGAGCATACTCACTGAACTGAATATCCATCTGCAGCGTTGTCGAGTTTATCTGATCTGAACTACCACATCTCTCTTTTTCTCTCTAAAACCAATTTACGCTTTTGCTGTGCATTCACTTTTCCTCTCGCTCATCAGACGTTTCCATCTCACAGTTCCTCAACCGATCAAAATGCAGTTCTCAAAGGTTCTTTACGTCCTCTTCCCGGTTGCCGTTCTGGCGGCGCCGTTCAAGACCTTCGAGGTCCCGACGCTAGACCCTAATACCGTTGCGCCGGTGGTGCCTGCTATCGACCGACGTGTTCCTCAGGCGGACACTTGTGACGAGTAAGGCGGTTCAAGGAACGGCACCGAGGAAAGATCACGACGGCTCTATCGACGTTTCTCGAATATTATGCTGAGGGATGGAAGTGGATACGTCAGTGTGTTACTCGGTGCTACAACTAGACCAGTGATATCCAAAAGGTTTGTCTTCCTCCAAGAAGAACGTTCACTTATGCCTTTCACATCTTTTCTACACGGCTTGCCTACCCTCAACAACGTTTCGATACGTGGTGCTTGAGTCTACACAATGACACCAAGCAGCACTTTGATACTGCTACCGCCCCTTTGTTGTCTAGAGACATGAGGCATGGCACATGGCTAACATTTCTCTTAGATACCCCTATCACTAGTCTACATACTCATTTCGCGAGGAGGAATGTCAAGGAGACGGGACTACTAGGTCCCATCGTCGACCCGACTTGGGTTCAAGCCCTCACCAGCCGCACCTCAACTCCCCACGCGGTTGGAGAGGATGGCTCTATTCTCCGAGTTCGTTTAGTGGAAACGGAAAACCCTTTGGGGAAGGAAAGAATATTATTGTACCTACCTTTGAAGGCGGTCTTTCGAACCTGCCCTTGGAAAAAATAGACGCCGAGATATCTACTACTTTGTCCCTAACTTTTGCTTCCTTCCACACTCAACCCATTGACGATAGCTTCACCGTTGAGTGACCGCAGTTTCGCCGTGCTCTCTCGGCCGTCGTCCCTTAAAGGTACCTATCTTGAAATCGACGATTACATGATTACTTCGAATTTCTACGAAGCCATCCTCGCTCCAACTCAACGTTTCAATACTATCCTTTCGAAGGCTTTACTTTCCTTTCGAGATCTACGTCTCCAACCGCTCGCTATCAAATCAAATTGCTTTTCATTTGCGTTATCGCGATCTATTTGCCTCTGCTCAGCTTCTTCGTCGAGCAAGTTCACGTTTACCAGCTGACAACGGGTTGATCTATGCTCTCTTCTACTCTCATCCTCTTCGAACACCATGGCAAGTTGTTTTCCTATAAGACCTCCGCTTTTCTATAGCCCTTGATAGTCTTTTCAAAGCATTTCCCCAGTCTACATGAGAGGTCTCCCCCTTTGGTGATAGGTCTTGTGGGTGGTTTCCCCCTTTCGAAGACTATTCGCGATACCCTCGAATCACCCGAGGACACTAAATAAGTAACTGTCACATTATCCAGATAGTTCCTCATGGCTCAACTGCGGAACTTGGCCCCCTGTCAGAAGCGCTCTCACAACTTGACTATTACAAGATTGGCGATGAACTAATACGATGAACAAATACAGATGAAGTCTCTCGGAGTTATCCCGGTTGGGATGATCGCTCTCAATGGTTACTATGTTCCCATCAACTCTTCAATTCCTGGAACTTCAGAACTGAAGCAACTTGACTTTACGGTGGATGGCCATCCCAAGTTGATTAGAGTCTTGCATCGACAGGACCGGTCCGTCGAGCCGCCCCTGTTCCGGGTCCGAGTCGTGGAGCACCCCAACTGGGTGACACGGTCCGTGCGCAAAAGAAAGGTCGACTGGGACGCCGCTGTGGACGCAGGTCCAGCACCGTTTCACCACCCCACTGCAACTCTGCCGGACATCTACAAGGCAGTTTTGGAGGCCCTCGGACGCGAAATCTCGGAGGCGACGCTGGAACAGATCAACAATCTCCACAAAGACGATACCACCCTCGACCTGCCCCTCGAGGGAGACAAGGTCTGGTTCGATGACTACAGCTGGATCCAGCTTCCCATCCAGCGTCCTTCGAACCTAGCCATCAGCCCAGACGTCGACGACGGTGACTCTGGCGACTCTGGCACCGTAGGCGACAACGACCGCTACCTCGACTGCGACTTCGACTGCGGCAACGCTTTCGAGGACGAAAACGAGCAGACCTTGCAGGGCGATTCAGACACAGCTGGAAAAGATTGCGACGGCGACCACACAATGGCTCCCTCCGGCCCCAAGGCGCAGAGTGTTGCGCAGAGCGCTGCTGCCACGAACAACTCGACCGCGGCACCTGCCCCCGAGCCCGCGGCGGCTAAGGGTCCGCACCCTGGCCATATGCAGGTGTCTTGCCAGTTCACGAGCGAGCAGAGATTGAGACGCATGCTGCGAGACAACAAGAGCGATCCAGCTAGGGAGGATAACTACCGTCTTCAGGGGGTGCAGCTCATCGATAATGTCCGCACCATGCTCCGCGTGTATGTTGGACTCTCGTTTTGGTTCCCTTGGCAGGAGCTAGTTGAAGTGGTGATGCTGACTTTATTCTCTCGCAGCCCTATCAAGACGTTTGACACTGCTTGTGTCTACTTTCACTGGTTCAGACTTTCGTTTCGCGACGCAGAGTACAACTATTCAGATGCCGCCATGGCCTGTCTCTTCCTAGCTTGCAAGGTCGAAGACACTATCAAGAAGTCCAAGGAGATCCTGTGCGCTGCGTACAACATTAAGAATCCCGAGCACCCCACGACCCAGGACGATAAGGTGCGTAAAAATTAGTAGTCTACTACTGAGCCTTAACTAACCTAGCCACAGATGTTCGAGCAGCCTTCCAAGATCATCATCGGCCTAGAGCGTCTGGTCCTCGAGACCGTCGGCTTCGATTTCCGCTGCCGTTACCCTCAGTCCGCTCTGCTCAAGGCCACCAAGAAGATCCTGGGTCCTCAGTCCAAGAAGGTCTTTGCCACCGCCATGGAGATGAGCGTTGACCTGTACAAGACCTTTGCCCCCGTCAAGCAGACCACCTACGCCCTGGCCTTGGGTCTTCTCGAGCTCAGCGCCCGCCTCCTCGGCCAAGGCGTCGACAAGGTGGAGAAGATCAACTACGCAGACTTCCACACGACGCGCCAAAACGTCGTCGAGACGGTCCTCGACCTCCTCGACCTCTACACCCAGCACGGCAAGTCCACCAAGCTCGGCGTCCAATTCGACCTCAACAAGTTCATCGAGGTCAAGATTGTCATCAACAGCGAGGTCGACAACGCCCCCGGCCTCGTGCGCTACGCCCACTGGTGCACCAACTGCGACGGCGGCGAGGACGAGAACCTCTCCAACGGCGTCTCTGTCCTCAAGAATATCTCTTTCTTTGGTAGCAACTCTGCTAAGCGCAACGGGCGCAACCAGGATGGCACCATGCGCTTCGTCTTTGACCCGGACCGCGCCCGCCAGGAGCGCAAGGAGGTTGAGTCTTACTACAAGGACGAGTACGAGGAGTACGAGGTCGAGGTCGAGGTTCCCATTGAGCCTGAGCAGCGCGGCGGCGGCAACAATAACAACAACCATCGTGATAAGCGACATGAGGGCGGCGGCGGTGGTGGTTGGGGCGGTCGTCGTAACCACCACGGCCGTGCCAAGGGCCGCGGTTACTACTGAGCTTGCTTGCTACTTTCTACCACCACCTTCATCTCTTTAACTCGCTCTTTGCTGCGCGGCGGCTACCACTACCTCTACCGACGCTTCCTCAGCAACTGAACATAGCTCTGCATACCGAGTGGATATGGGAAGGAAGGGAAATTTTGTCCGATTATCTGGCGTTGACGGTACCAAAAGATACCCCATGGGAAAAGAATTTGGAATGCTTTTTTTTGTTTCCAGGAAAGGGAAACACTACTTTGGCGGTTTGATTCCGCCCGCACGTCACATTGTACGAACTACAATTCATATCACAGAGCTTGTATAAGCAGATAGGAATTTAAACATAAGTATGCAAAACGTTCGTGTAACGGCTTCGCATTAAATACTCGGTGACAACTCAGCGCCAAACAACGTTGTTCAAGCCGGCGACTTTGGACAAGAACAATGAATGAATACGAAAGCCACCGGAGCTAGGGAACCGGGGTGCCTGCTTGTTTCTGATGGAGGCTCTAGGCCAGCTTGAGATGCATGCTGAGGCCACGTAGACCAGGCGGGCTGACTTAGTACTCGGGACATAAGGCACACCAGATATTCATACTCACGGGTTCACCCAATGAGCCTCGAGAGTGCAAACACCTTTTTGGGAGGTTATTGCACTTTGCTTGCCAGCAACAAGAAGCAAGCGCTGTTCCAAAGAGGAGTCCATAAATGAGACGTTGATAGGTACCGACTTTGCGGGTGGCTTGCTGAGTTGGACTGCATCGCCCGATGCCAGCGCGACATCGGGTGGCCTCGATGGCTTAGCAATGCTGAATACAGTGCATGGGTTGCTTCACCCGCATAAGTTGTTCCCCCGCATCATGGAACTGAACTCGGTAATTGGAGGCTCCGAGGTTTTCGGTGAGGCGGCCTGCTTAGCAAGACGCAGGATGCGTGTGATGATGCAGCGTGGCCTCAAGCTAAATCGAAGCTGTTGTGGAAACTAACTATTCAAGTGTGATGGTCTCAATGAACCTCAACATCATACGCATCAATTTTAGTTCCACGGCTATTTGAGCCAAGTCCAGCATACTCTTTTCCCCATAAATACCACGAATTTCCGGCGTCCCTCAATCTAATTCCTTTCGAAGGCTATGGATCAACCCATCTGAACCAACCCATGACAACGGACGCAATGTCTGATAGGAGCCAAGCTTCTCGTGATATACAACCGAGCGTGGACTTTTACTTGACCAACCGGGACGTGGAACCCTCAATCCTGAGCGGAGTACGTGGACACCCAAATTGCATTGTGCTCAATGGCAAATCTAATACGAATGTGTACCAAGGATCAAGCCTTACTCCATGCCGACAACTTAGGGTCTCAGAGACTCGGTCCTCGCCATCTACTACCCACTGGTCACAAGATTGGTAGGCTCTCCCCCTGAAAGCCTGCATTGTGAGAACTACGCTGAACCCAGGAATTCTCAACGCAGCCTCCCGAGTACGAGCCCGACCCAACGATCGAGCAATACACACTTCGCAGTTCTTGAAGATGCGGTTTACTCAGCTTCGCGATCAACAAGAACTCCGAATAACACCGCAAGCGATTTACCTGGTGTTGATTTCTATATGCAGAATGCTGGGCTCCCGCAACACGGTGTCCACGATGGATACCTCGATTCTGTCAATGTCAATGTCTCGCACCCCTTCTCTTACAATGAAGGCACTTTGTCGATGAACCGCCCGTCAGAAAGGCTTAGCATCTCGAACTCGAAGTGTAATGTCCCAGCATTGGACTTTACCGGCATGCCGTATGCCTTCGACAGCTTTCCAGTAACTATCAACCATTCAGAGACCCTCAACCATTACACCACCGAGTGGGATTCTCTGAAAAGCAACGAGGCGTTCTTCCCCAATGCACACATCACTGGCAATAACATACTGCCGACATATCGTCCAGCGGTGATCTATCCGCAAACGAACGATTGGACCACCTTGTTCGATGCGACGAATCCAGAGTCCGAGCCTTATGGACTAATTCCCGTGTTCCGAGCTTTCGAGCTGCCGAACAAGTGTGGGCTTGACGAACTGGGTGTCAAATTCGCCTACTCCGCTAGCACGAACACCCTAGAGAATCCCCTGACCAAACCCAACGATGGGAAGGGAAAGGCACCCGAGCCTCTCAATCGAGCTACTAGAGCATCGACACCTCCGATTTCCAGCAAGAAGCGAAGATTCGACTCCGACTCGGATGCATCATCTACTCCGGGCGAATGTCCGTTCTGTGACGGCTTTCGTGGAAATGCGAAACGGCTCAGGTTCGTGTGCTCGAAACGCCCTCGATTTTCGCATAACAATTTATGTGTACAGGGAGCATATGCGGTGCCATATTCGAGAGCACGTCTGTGAAGCACCTCGATGTTCTCAGCGCTTCAGCACTGCAAGGGACCTTCGGAGGCATGCCAAGTCTGCTCACCAAAAGGCAAAGCTCACCTGCCATATCTGTTCAGCCAGCATTCAGGGTGGTCGAGTGGACAACTTGCAGAGACATATCAGGAACAGACATAATGAGGAGCCCTGAGTGGGATAGTTCGATGTGAGGGAGGAAGGAGGATACTTAGACGGGGTAAAGGGAACGGGCTTCCGGATCGAGCAGTAGCAGAGCTACCACTTGTGAAGATGGTTGCATGTAATTGCGTCCAAACACGCATTGGGGCGTTGGATGTTAAAGCGATGGTAGGGGCATACGAAATAGGCCTTTCAATCATGCCATCTGGGCTAGGTTTTGAGGGATCGAAATGGTGGCTTTGGCCTGTGTTCCCGTCTCCTTCTTCTTTCATTCAGATAAAGCAATGGAATGATACACTTGTACCAGCAATATTCATCAGTGATACCTGTCGTGAGTGCCGCTGGGTTCGGAGTTCTGCTTCGCTGATGTGGAAAAGAGACATTCGGAGATTGCAATCTTCTGCAAAGTCGCGCTCCACCGTCCCCATTATTCAACTGATATTATTTGCCATATTTAGCGTTCTTTCAGGATTGATTGGTTCATATCCTAGTTGGCATGTAAAGTGAGGAGTTTGGCCCCCAACGAGTTGATTCTCTGAGGAGGCCAACATAGAAAAGGATTCTGCGAGAAGTTTATACGTCAATACAGAGACTGGTATATGTTCAGCGAATCACGGTGGCAAACCACGGCATAATAAATTATGTACAGGTATATCAGTAAAGGCTGCGCAGGCTGGACAGTCCAGCGGCCTCAAGGTTCTCCTCAATTGTTCCGTTCAACTGAACATTGAATGGGCCAAGCTCCAAAGGGCAGTAGTGGTCCTTGCCACACATGGTGTCTTGGAAGTAAGACCTAATGGCAGCAAACCCACACATATTGTTCGTGGCGACAGTGGTGTGCTACAAAAAGATTAGCGCAGTGCATCTGCAAAAGCGACGCTGAGATTGAACTTACACCCATACCATCAGTGACGACTCTTCTCGCATTGGTATACTTGGGTGCGTTCGAGATGGCGCTGATAGTTCTTGTTAGTAGGCTTCAGACTTCAGGCCAGATGAACTTACTTCTCGATAGGTGTCGTAGGATCATACGTGTTGCTGACGAACAGTATTGGGTATGAGGTATTCCCTCCATACGGACCCGTGAAAACGTCGTTGGATTTGATGGACCAATCGAGACATGCGAGCATCGTCCTGGACCAGACTTCTCCCACAATACTGGTATCCTTCAGCCCGTCCAAGAGAGGCTTGATGTCGGCGAGTGACTTCCCATACCAGATGTTACTCTGGTCAGAGCACAAAACGCCGAGAGTCTGCTCAGGGTTCTCATATCCTCCCAAGTTGGGGTCGCCGTAGATGGCGTTCGTCTGCTCTGTCCATGCGGCAATGGAGCTGGCTGCGATGGCCTTCTCCAAGGCAACGAAGACATCGGATATTCTGCTAAACTCTACCAACGGCTGCACGACCGCACTGAGGATGCTGACTTTAAAGGTAACCAGAGCCAGACCAATATCGGTAGCGTTCGCCCAGCCCTCTGCCTCGGCCTTCTGAGCATCGAGTTGCGTGAATGAAGCATTTAATCGGCCGAAGATATCCTTGGGAGTGTTTCCGGTGTAGAAAGAGCAGAGATCCGGGCCGGCGGCATGACAGTATACGAAGAACGCTCCCAAGACGCCATCTACATGGGTGATGGAGCTGGAGGTAAAGTTCGTCTGGTAGCTGATCGGATCAACTAGTCCATCGATGGCCACATGGCCAACCCTATCGGGGAACATGGACGCAAACGTCTGGCCGAGCATAGTACCATAGCTCACACCGTAGTAGTTAAGCTTACTGGAGTCCAGCACCGTCCGATTCCCGTCAGGAGAAACAGAAATGGCCTCAACAATGCTGAGCATATCGCGCGCAGTGACTGCCGTGGTCATATGCGGCCCAGCTTCAGTATCAGCACCAGCCTGCGCCTGACACTTCTCCCCAAGCTCCTTGCCAAAGTCGATGAATTGTTGGTAATACCCATCAACCACCCGTGGGGCATCTCGTCTGGCAAGGGTTCCGCTTTTGCCAATCGTAATGCCCGCAGAGCAATTGGGCCGGGGTTCGCTGAGCCCGACTCCGCGGGGATCGAAGCCGATGATGTCAAAGTTATATCCGGCTGCGGCTTGGACGGTAGTGCCGTTGTTGCGTGCAAGCTCGATGCCGGATGCTCCTGGTCCGCCTGGGTTGATGAGAATGGCGCCTCGGTAGGGGCCATCTGGGGAGTCGGTGGCGGCGGGGACCTTGAGTAAGGGGACGGAAGCTCTGCCGAGGCTTGGGTTTTTGTAGTCGAGAGGAACCTGGAAATTCTGTCAGTTGGAAAGAGAAGGAGGGAGGTTCAAGATGCGGCTCACATCGAGCTTGGCACAGAAGAATTGGTCTTCACAAGAGCACCAGACGAGGTCCCGGGAGGGTGTGATCGTGTCGAACGTGCAGTCTTGAGCTCCAATGGCTCTAAAGCCCACGAAAGTAAGCGCCGCTGCTAGCTTCCAAGATGTCATTGTGACTGAAGAAGGAGGATAATGACTGTGTTGGTACAACGAACGATAGGAATAGATCGGCGAGGGGTCTCCGGTTACTTCTTGATTGGCCTGGTTACTGATCTTACACACTATCATCGGATGGGATTTCGAATGATATATATACAGATTCTCAGCAGATCCAAACTCATTGCTGGGCGATTTCTTGACAGGGGGTATGGACGGTACACCAGTGAACTGACAAACACCCCTTCTGAGACAAAACTTGTCTTCGCTGTACCTCCCTAAGCTTTCCTCCGTCACCTTCGCTCTCATCACCAAATCTCGGTCATCACTACCTCCGATTTCAAGTTCGCCATTACCGTCGCTATACTTCAGAGGGTTAGAAGTTTACAAGGAGCATCTGCGGCTGCATAGAAAAGGAGATTGGAAATAGGCTGTGCTCGACTTGCGGGTCACTTCGCAGGGTCTAAGAATAACCCTGAGCTGGACTATGCAAGAATACGATGTCTCAAACAAGTCAAATAAATATTAAGCTTGACTTGATGTTTCCCGATGGAGAGCCTTGACGTAGGTGAGGTAGTTGACACTAGGCAGAAGCCATTCCTCCCCCATACTCCCTCCAGGCGAGCTTCAATACCACGTTGACCTACAGAGAGGTGTCTTCACCATAGCCACGATTGGGTCTCATGGATCTCGGATACGAGATGTCTTTAGGAGTTTCGGTTCCTCTTGCAGCGAAGTAAACCACTTTGATGGTAGAATCCCATGCTTGCTCGCGCCCTTTGATTGGTGGTAAGCGAGCAACGCACCCACGTCATTATTTCAAGATGCGTTTCTTCCACCGTGGCATATCCGTAAGCCGTGACATGTTAATCGTACGATCTCAAGATCTGAAAACTACTTCCAGGATACTCAGCTGGTGAAGGTGTAGTCGAGACAAGCAGGCGATCCAACACATGGAGATGTTCCCAGGATCGAGACTAATCCGCTTCGAGTTAGAGTTATACGAACATAATCGAGCTAGGGGCACTTGGCAACGACTGAGTAGCTCCGAGATACTGAAGACTGCCTTGTGTCATTTGCGATTTCCATTTCTCTTTACAAGAGAGATCAAACACGTCTCTTCATATATCGTACGAATGGTCTCCTACACTGCCTCTTGTGCGTCGCTCATGGGCAGTCGTCCCTTTGCCTTGACCCATCAATCATACCGATAAGCCTGGTACTTGGAGGCCATACTGGGCAGATTGGTTTTAACCTAGGTGGAGCCGAAAGATTTGAAAAGAGTGCTAGAAATTATCAAGGTGATGAGCGAGTGAACGGGTGTTGTTGGATAGCGGGGAGCCTCATGGCGTCCGGGCATTCGCTTGCGAGAATGTACAGAGTCCCCATATCTTGGGTGGATGAAGATCTTTGTAGAGATGAATGTTTGCGGATTATCGAATCTCTACCCTGGCTGTCTGTTTACCACCGCTATCGATTCATAAGTATTCGGGGATTGAACAATCAACTCGATGAGGCGCCATAAAGGCTCTCACTCTCGTGGAAGGAGGCCCCCAGTTCCCAAGCGACCTCACCTTCCCTTTCACCTTCACCTTCACCTTCACCTTCACCTCAGGCAGCCACTCCTTCCACCCCTTCGGTCGACCCTCCATAGCCAACACATTTGTTTGTTATTATCACCAAGGCCCGTGGCGTAGCGGGGAATGTCAGCTTGTCTGAATAGCCCCGCACCCATGGGTCCCGGGTTCGAGTCCCGCGTATAGTAAAAATCCTCGTCATCATTCAGGTGACGGCGAGGAGATTTCGTAAGCCCTCTCTGACCCTCAGAGGGGACTGAGCTTTTGCATTTTTTTTTGATTCAATTAACATTGTGTGACTTGGTGACTTGGAGAAAACAATCTGTATTTTTCCTCGCCCAATTGGTATTACGAGATTGGGCTGGCGGGCAGACAACAGCGGTGTTCTGAAGGCAGAAGGGCTTGCGAGTGAGCGTGTAAGTGAGAGGTGAGCGGTGAGCTCGGTGAAGGTGGGGTAGAAAAATGTCACCGAGGGTCCAGAAGACCTTGACCTGCGGCAGCTTACCGAGAAAGACCCAGTTTAGTTTTTATCGCAAGCAAAGACCCCACTAAAATTTTCTTATCGGGTCCTCCCCAACTCTCGATTTCTTTTGCGCCCGAGTCTGCTCCAAACAAGAACTTGTTGCTTGTTTTCATTGTACTCTCTCCCCGAGAACTTTTTCACGTTTGCTCGACCGGATCCCACTTGACAATATACTAGCAAAAGAGCCGGTCGAAAATACCAATATCACACAGCCAACATCATGTCAGGCTTCCAGATCCCCGGCCTGGGGTTCGCGAAACCAAACGAGACGCTCCCACCGGTGCCCGCCGACGTTCTCGCTGCCGCCGCGAGCTTCGAGGGCGTCGATCCCGAAATCCTCGCTGCTGCCAACGGCACCGCGGAGCAAATTCAAGACCAGAATGAGGATATCAACATGGGAGAGAACACGACCGAGTCGCAGCCTGCTCCTGCGCCTACAACAGAGCCCGTCGCAGCACCCATCGCGGCGGCACCAGTTGCGGCACCAGAGGAGGCTACCGACCCCGATGCCATGAACGTCGACGATGCCGCTGAGCCCCCTTCCCTGACAGACGCTCTCGAGGCCATGATCAGCGGTCTCGATCATACTCCCCTAGCCCAACCAGTCGAAGTCCCCCAAGAGGCGCCCGCAGCTCAGGAAGCACCTGCATCTGCGCCGTCTGCACCTGCGACCGCACCTGTGCCGGCACCCGCAGCGCCAGAGATGATTGACGCCCCCCAAATGCTCGACGCGCCCCAAATGATCGATGCCCCGGCCTCCACCACAGACCAACCCGCCGCCGAAGGTGCCGAAGACGCCCACCCCGAATGGGAAGCCGACTCCTCGCCCTACGAGTCCTCCTCCGACTCAAGCAGCGACTCCTCCTCCGACTCGGACGACGACTCCGACGCAGGCGGCTACCAGCTCCTCGGCGTGGAGGAAACAGCGCGCATGCTCATGGAGATGGAAGGCGGCTCAGACGACGAAGGCGGCGACGGCGGCAAGAACGGCGGCGCGGGCGGCGCGGGCGCCTCGGGACACTTACGGACCAAGAACGAGGTCGCTGATGTGTCGGTGCCCGCTAAGCCTGACGTCACGCTCACTGCCGACGACAAGATTGAGGAGCTGGGTCTCGTGGAGCAGATTGTTGAGAATATCATGGTGGTGAGGGCGTTTACGCCCGGCGAGTACCAGGTTCTTGATACGGGATCTGTCCTCTGCACCGAGGACCGCAAGGTGTTTGGCGTGGTGTGGGAGACGATTGGCAAGGTGCTGCAGCCGCTGTATACCGTCATGCTGGCCTCGGCCGAGGAGATTACAGCCGCTGGGTTGTCTGTCGGTGCAAAGGTGTACTACCCGCCCGCCCACGCCAAATTTGTGTTTACGCAGCCGTTGAAGAACCTCAAGGGATCGGACGCGAGTAACATTCACGACGAGGAGATTGCAGAGGACGAGATGGAGTTCTCGGATGACGAAAAGGAGGCGGAGCATAAGAGGCAGGTGAAGCAGAAGAAGAAGGAGGCGAGGTTCGGCAAGGACGGTGGTAGTGAACGCGGTGGACCCAGTGAGAAGAGGAGCAGAGGGAACCGCGAGCCGCATCCGCTGCGCAACGAGGTCAGCGCCTACGCTGCCGCGCCGCCTTCTACGGACGGCGGACTCAACTACGATGACGAGGACGATGGTCCGTACAAGCCCCTCGCGCGACCGCCTGGATTCGGCCAGGCCACGCCTGTGCAGCAGAGTTTCACCATGGAGCCCGAGCCCGGCCGCTTCGGTGGACGTAGAGGTGGGCGCGGAGACTCTAGGGGACGCGGTGATAGAGGCAGGGGAGGTGGTCGTGGCCGTGGACGCGGCGGGTACGGAGGCCGCGGGGATCACAGAGAGGGATACTCGGCACCTCAGAGACATCACGCCGGCGGAGACCAGCAACAACAGCAGCAGCAGCCTCAGGGTGGACAATGGGGCGGTGCCGGCGCGAACGGATTCCAGGCTCCTCAGAACTACAACAATAACCAGCAGCAGGGTGCGCCCGCGCCGACGGCGCCGACGTTCAACTTCCCTTTCCCCGGGATGCCTGTGCCGCAGCCGGGACAGCAGGGCTTCTCTGCCGTTCCGCCCCCGCCGCCTGGTTGGCCGGCGCAGGGTGGTCAGCCAGGGCAGAACGCGCAGCAGGGTGCTTATATCAACCCGGCCTTTTTTGCGGCGTTGCTTGGGCAGATGCAGCAGCAGGGCCAGCAGCAGGGCCAGCAGGGCCAGCAGCAGCAACAACAACAGGGAGGACAACAGCAGGGACAGCAGCCTCCTCAGCCTCCTCAACCTCCGCATCAATGGGGTGCTCAGCCGCCTCCGCGGTAGATTGGCTTCCATCGAGGTTGGAAGTATGATTCGGTTGTTGTGCTGCCGGCGGAGAGTTGAGAGTGCCGGGCTGGATGAGCTTTATCGAGCTGTACAGACCATACGAGGTGGAAGGCAGCGTGGGGGTGGATTGAGACCTCTGGGTCTCTGCACTTAGACCAGTGAAGCCATATTGGACATGTGCCAACTACGAGCACGGAAACCCAAAGTACCTTTGCAAATGAGGTCTCGAAGCAAGGGACGTGCAAAGGCTTCGATCGCATGGCTTGCTCTAGCTACCATGTTTGGCACACTGGACCAAGACGCTACCAACTAGAGCTCAAAACGCAAACTGCGAGAGAGTGACTAGAAAAAAGCGCAATTGGTGGTTATTTGTATCGCTTTGTAATGATGAGAACTGCGGGAACTCGCGACGCGACCATACGCGAGGAGGAGATAAGGATTAGATAAAAGTGAAAAAAAAGTTTCTATTTTGACGTTAGACTATGTTTGCGGCGCTCTGACTGACGGAAGAGGTGGCCTCCGAGGCGTCCACTTGAATAGTCCGAAATGAACGGGTGAGATCCATATTCTTCTAGGCTCACTCGCTCTGATGATTGAGTTGAGTGATTTGGACATTGGTGAACTGCCTTTGATCATCAACGATACGCGACGCTATATTGATCTGGTGCAGGGAACGTAGACGAGCGAGACGGGAGACAGGTTTGTCGCGCAGCTGCATAGGGCCGATGTACGGATCGCCGCGGCGGTCCTGTCTCTGGCTGTTCTCTCCCGCGTCCAAATGACCGGATTTGCAGCAGGAGATCTCCCTCAGATCAAGACAAGGAAGAAGGCAGGTCTGGTTGGGATTAATTGAAACATTCCATAACCTACCTCTCGGGTTATCCGGCTGATTGCGGGAGCATGCTGTGGCCCGTACGGATACAAAGGTAGTAAAATGACGCTGTGCAGATCTACGACGTCGAAGCCAGGTTTTTCTCGTTGCTGTTGCATAACATACTGTTCGAAGTGCTGACTCTGCTCTTTGTGTGAGGCATGGACGAATTGCTGTGGCTGCGTAGGGATACATGTCATGGATGCGACGTTCCCCATACCCGGGAATGAGGATTGCGCGGTTTCCTGCCCCCAACTTCATTCTGAAGGAGACGACTCCATTCGCAATGCTGAAGTTTGTCGGCGTGTTGGTTGCCTGCGAAGAGCTGCGGTAATTGAAATCCCCGTACAGTCGCATCCGGGTCTTTTCGTTAGATTGCCCGCTGATTAGCCATCATGTTTCCGCGTGTTCTCGCATGGATGTCATGGATGTCGATGGATAAGGCTGGTGGGCGGAGGTCATCTCCAGTGTGGAGAGATGGGCCACAACGCGAGAAAAATGCCAGCATTTGCCAGGTAACCAGGTACCGAAAGGCGCTTGGCAGTGGCATGCTGTGGAGGCGGGCAGATCATGGGGGAGGGAACCAAAGTTGCGAGTGTTCGCCGCGAGAGTGCTCTCACTGGGCGCGACGGGTACGAAATGGGCGAACCAAACCTAATGGCACGAGCGGACGAACCGGCTTGTTTCAAAAGGTCTCTCCAATTTCGGTGTCACGGGTGTGTTGGTCGAACCCTCGCGGGCTCAGGGGACGGCGGTCTGGGGCTTTAGGCTTTTTGGTGGCTTGACGGCGCCGTTCGGTGCATGTCTTAAAATTAGCCTCTTGGTTAAGAGTTGTTATGTGTTTTTGCATGTTTTCTCTCTGAAACCACATAGGAGATCTCGTTTGAAAATTTCCTCCGGCGCACGGCGGGAAGTCTAAATGCAACGGAAAAAGCAACGAGATCGAACGGTGTGCAATCCTCAGTTCTTGGGGCCTCGACAGCTTGTCGGATCTAAACACACCGACTTCTGTCAGGCAGACAGGACGACAAAAAGGACCTCGCGACAACGTGGCCTGACAAGTTCTCGTGTTCAAGACGGATGTGCGGATGCAGAGCACTGACTACTTCCTGTGACTTGAGAAGATCGAAAAGGGTCGCTCGGTGACAGAGAAAGCTGGAAGCTCCTTGCGGTTCGCGAGGGAGAAGCACAGAGCATGTCGTGTCATTGTTTCAAAGGCATGATTACTTTTTAGGAGCCTTTTAAGAGAGACAGAGGCGTAGTCGGTGGGTGGTTTGGTGACAGTTACGGTAATGCCCGTAGCATTCTACTGTAAGTTGTCAGTAGGTCAGTGGTGCCTATATCAAACCTTGCAAGTCTCCGGGCCGAATGGTGAGATGACGATGGGCAGGCCAGCTTCGCCATCACGCACGCCAGGCTCCAGCCAGTCTTTTTTTTTTTCTCGTTTGGGAGACCATCTGTTGTATCTCGTTGATGGTGGCTGTTTTCCAGCTTTTGAGGGGATGCTATTTCGGTGCATTCTTGCCATTCCTCTTGTAGCGTTAGATGGCCTTTGGGTGAGTGGCTTGCATGAACGTAGCAGTCTTGCCGTGCTTCTCGAAGGCAACGGGACGTTGTTTGCGCGGAAAAGAAAAGGGACCAGGCTGAATGGAAATAACGTCGCGTGCAGTGGCGTGGGAAAGCAAGAGACGGCGCGTATCACAGCATCTGCAGATAATAGTTATGGTGTGTGGGTGGTGTTGAATGCTGTTGGTCCCCTGTTGACGATGACGATGGGGATGTTGGAGTTTGGGGGCTGCTGGTTGTGGTTGACTGGTGGTTGAAGCTCGGGCCGGACAAACGCCTTCTTCTTCCGTCCCACCTGGCAGGGTTTGATTGGATGAACACCACAGGAACCCCGAGCAAACAATTTCGTTTATTCTGTGGGTGTGCGGTGGATACGGGTGGGTAACAGGGATAAGAGAACCAATCAGGCGGGGTCGGTACCTGACAGGCACGACAGGCACGACAGGATGGGCGTTGGGAGGCCCCTGCCTTAGCGCGGCCCGTGCAGGGCGCTGATGAAGATGGGCGCCGGTGTGGATGGGAAATGCGACCGACGGATTGAGGGTCGCCGGTCGCCTGGGTCGGTACCTCACGTCGGAAACCGATGGGATGAGTGCGGGATTTGTTGGCTTGTTCGTATCAAGATTGAAGAGTTCTCCGTAAGGCTATGCAGCTGATGGCTTCGATCAACAGTGAATGACAGCCTGTTAATGTTATTACACACCTATGTACAACGAAGGTGTCTAAAGTAGACAAATGTGTAACTATTCCAAAGTGTTTGTTTGTTTCCTCCCTGATTGTGTGTGTGTACTCTGTAAGGAGCCTAAGGTAAGGTAAAGTTCATCTTGAGCGCAGGGAGAGGCCAGAGACAGGGCGGATGGTGAAACGCTGACTCGGGGGTGAGGGCGTGGATCAGATGCATTGTCGAATGACCGTTGGAGCCGCGGTTGCATTCTTGTGCGCGTCTATCCCAATCCGTCCACCTTGGTGTGCCATTGTTGGACTTGTGCAAAATGTGATCCGAGCCCATCCCAAGCCAAGTACCGTCACCCGAGCACCGTCACCCAAGAGACATCGGCCGACTACTACTCCGTAGGTACCTTGCTTGCCTTCCTTCTAAGGTAGACTCGATAGGTATCTTACGGATAGAAGTTAGACTGTAGACTGTGATATCCCCAGAAAGCACTAACACGACAAAGACTGCAGGCCATGACATTGACCGCATCGCACGGCCGTCTTTCCTACGCGCCATTCCCTTTTCATCTTGATATCCCACGGTCCTCGTGCGGTTGCCTCCCCATCAGTTCCTGCTCCCTCTACCTGTATCTCTGCAGGAAGTGATCCTAAACTAACCTTCCATTGGGAATGAGAGAGAGAGAGAGAGAGAGAGAGAGAGAGACTGTCAGACTGAGAGAGCAAAGACCAATGGACAGTGGACGGTACCTGACGGCGGCAGGGATCTGCTTCCCATCCACACCCCAGTCGTCCGACCCTTGTCATCCGTCCAACGTTGCTTGGGGCCTCTTTCCCAAGTTCCCATTCGCCCAGCATCCTGGACTGCGAACGTGCAGTCTGCAAGTGCAACCTCACTGTCCCCGTTTCTCTTCTTCTCAGTGTCCCTTCCCACTTTCGTCAGGTGCCCTCTTCTTCCCTTCTCACCTCATCCTCTCCCGTTCCGTCCGAACTGCATCTCACTTGCTGAGCCTGACTGCTTCTTGCCGTCGCTGCACTCTCACTTCCAGAGATAGACAGAGAGACCTCATCGTCGCCCTCTCTCTTGCAGCTTCCCAAGAGTCACGGTGTGCAGATTCATCCGTTCTTTCCTCTCACCACAAAACAAACATCGACATTCCCCCGTCGTCTTCATGACAATTTACTAAGACGGTTTGTGACTGTCCAATGACTGTGAGCTGGTAGTGAGATCTTGCAAAAACAACGACCTCACCCTCACCCACCTTCTCACTTTACTCTCCTTCCACCGGGCCCAGCGCCGCTTCACATTCGTTCAATTGCACGCATACGTACGCGCAACAACACTCGACTTTCACCCACAACACCAACGCAGTCTTTCTCAATAGTCCCTCGACCAGCGACACTCCCTGGCCGGACTCATTTACTGCTTATTCATTCTTTCGACGATCGCCTCACGAACACCACACCCCTTGGAGCTGGATCCCTTGTGCATTCCCATCACCAGCCTCTCCCGTGAACGCCAAACACCCTCCCTCCATTTTTTCAGATACCCCGCCTCGACCCACGAAACTCACGATACGAATCATCACGCGCCTCACACGCCTCGTTTTACCTTCACACACTACGACTACTTCTGGCTGGAGTAGTTGGATTTGATCCATTTCCATTAACCCACGCCCGCAACCGCAGTAATGGCTCACCACCACCTCCACGCCCGCAGGCATATCGCGCCTCGCAACCCCGATTTCTGGAACGATGTTGGCAACAAGTTCAAGGACCTGAATCCCTTCGCCTCCAGTGACGAGGATTCGGGAAGCAATGGAGGTAATCTCAAAATCAGACAGGACGACGACGATGATGATGCCACGACCACACGGCGCGCTAATACAAAGAAAGGCCGCTCGACCGTTATCAAAACCATCTACCAGACCGTCACCGGTGACGACGCCGTCGCCGCCCCTACGAGCACCACCTCCACCAAGTTGATTGTCGCTCAATCACCCCTCCCCACGAGGTCGAAATCGACGACTGTTGACTCTACCGAGACCACCATTGCCAGGGCCGGCGCGCCCATCATCAAGACTGCTGACAGCTCATCCACCACCATCGATGCCGCGTCCACCTCGTCGCTTCCCTCGGTCATCGAGGACCCCTTGACCGAGAGCATCCAGACCACGCTCGCTATCGCTACGGACGCGCCAACTTTTGCAAAGACCACCAAGACTGCCGCCGCCACTGCAGACAATGCTAGCATCATCTCCAGCGCCTCTCCTAGCGCGACGTCAACCACGGAGAAGTCAACCAGCAACGAGACCAGCGGTGCCGCAAAGGCTGGCATTGCTATTGGTGTTTTGGCCGGTGTTCTAGTCGTCTTTTTGCTCGTCTTCTTCCTCTTCAACCGTCGCAAGAAGCAGATGGAGCAGCAGCGCCTGGCTGACGAGGATGAGAAGAGCCACGGATTCGGAGCCGCCGCCGCTGCCGCTGGTACCCAGAACCCCCGCGCTCCTCGCATCAGCCTCCGCCCCGTTACCCAGTTCTTGCCCAACTTGAACCTCGACAAGCGCGCCAGCAGGGGACCTGCCGGAGGACCTGCCGTCAACATGAACGCCAATCTGGCCCCCGCTGCCGCTGCTCTGGGTCTTCGCAACCCTGGTCAAGGCGCCTGGGACAGACCTGCAACAAACCAGAGCTCGAACCCCGCGAACCCCTTCGGTGCTCAAGCCGAGAGAATCAACGGCCCCATCGCCGAGGAGTCCGTCAGCTCCATGAGCCTCAACGAGAAGCCTCTTCCCAACGTCGGCGAGCCTGCTCCGGGCACTGCCGTGAGCGATGTCCCCGCCAACACCAGTGCCAACGGTGCCGCTATTGCTGCCGGTGCTGCGGCAGTTGGTGCCGGAGCTGTCGCTGCTGGAGGTTTGGCTCGCAAGGCGTCGACCCGCAAGGATGGCCCCAAGGCTCTCGACCTGACTCTGCCCGCGCCTCCCGCACCCTTGTCTACCATCCCTGCTTCTCCCTCGGGTACCACGTTCAGCGCCGACTCTGCCGGCCCCGGTCACCAATCTAGTGGATCCACTGGCTCTGCTGCCATTGCCGCCGCTGGAGGCCCCGCCAACACCACTGTTCACCGTGTGCAACTTGACTTCAAGCCTACCCTTGAGGATGAGATGGAGCTGAGAGCTGGCCAACTTGTGCGCCTTCTCCACGAGTACGATGATGGCTGGGTAAGTTTTGATGTCCACTATGATGAGTATATAAGCTAACATCCCCCTCAGGCGCTCTGCATTCGCTTGGATAGATCCCAGCAGGGTGTTGTACCGCGCACCTGCCTCTCCACTCGCCCGGTTAAGCCTAGACCTCCTCAAGCCCAGGGACCTAACCAAGGACCTCCTCGTGGTCCTCACATGGGCCCTGGTGCTCCCCGCGGCCCCGGTCCGAACTTCCCTCCTGGCCAGCGCCCCATGAACCCCCAGGGAGGCCCGCCACACCCCCGCCCCGAGTCGCCCGCAGGTCGTCCTATGAACGGTGGCGGCCGACCTCAGTCCCCCGCCGGTAATGGCCCGATGGGACCCGGAGGCCGGCCTCAATCCCCTGGTCCTCGTTACCAGGGCCCTCCGGGACAGCGGCCGCAGAGCCCCAGCGGAATGGGCGGTCGCAAGCCGAGCCCTCCCGGACCTAGCAGAATCCCTCAACCCAGCCGAATGAACCCCAATGGCCCTCCCAACGGTCCTCCTAATGGTCCCATGAACGGGCCCATGAATGGACCGATGAACGGACCGATGAACGGACCCCCCGCTCAGGGCCGTCCAGGCCCACCAATGGGTCCTGTCGGCCGCAAGCCCGTCCCCGGACAGGCTGTATAAATGACAACCAAAACAGCGTTCATATACACTGACTCCCTGCGTATATAACGTCTTTTGGCACAAAGACTGGGGATTCAACTTCGTTTGGCGATAGACTAGGGTCTACTATGCATTCTGGACAGCACGGGCACGGCGTTTCTGCGAACTACCAAAAAAAGAACTTGGGGCAGTTTTCCCCTTCTACTGGACTCTCACGATGAATCCGATCAAGGGGTGAAACGAACCCCGACGACGCGTTTATACCTTTCAAGTCACTCATTCATGACACCCATTTTTGATACACCCTTTGCAGCCTGGTTTCAGTCGTGGCTTGCAATTTTCTTTTCTTTTACGCTTCTTGACACTCGCTCGAACACCCACCGTTTCGCGATTTCGATTCACCTACCCTGGCCCTACCTTGTGTCACGCGACTGCAGCGTCGGCGATTGAGGATGGGACAGGGACTACGCCTAGTGCTTAATGTATATTGCTCACTCTTGTTGTTTGTCGTTTTTGACACTTCTCGTTTCATGCAGCTCTGGTGGCTGTGTTTGGTCGTTCGGCAAACACGCAGGGCGACCTATTTGGCAGGATGAGACGATGCTGCTGCTTTTTTTTCGTTGATCCCTTTTGAGATGCCTTGAAGCGGCATGAGTGGGGACACTATGATGGATGGAGACATGGAGATTTGGTGGCAGTTGGGACAGATGGAGAGAGAATCTAGGTCCTTCTGGAAGGGAAGAGACGCTAGAGCTGCTTCTTTTGTGTCGAGCAAGCTAGGTAGACAATGAGATGCCTATACCTGAATGTTTTGTTCCAAGTGTACATGCTTCTGATGCTTGCGAGCTTCCTGACCTCCACCTCTCCAACTTGCTCTCCTTAGTTTCAGAATGGGCGTCAAAAGAGACAGCAGTGGAAGTGTCGAGATGGGTTTTTGACCAACACAAAAAAAAAGGGATTTACGTCCTAGCAAAGTTGGCATGTGTTTTGAGCGCCTTGCCGAAGAGCGTCTTCAAAGCTTCCGGGATCCGTTGTGCTAGTCGTGATGGAATGTGATGCCGATATTATTTCCTGATTTACGCGGCTCTCTGCAGGCCGACGCCGGAGAAGATGCCCCAGCTGCTTTACATAAGAGTTGACATTCGGACGTCAGAAGAAGAACTGGATGATGTCTCAAAGGCATTACATCACGGATCTTAATCGAAGACATGGAGACCATGGCCAAAGGGGACGGGGCGTGGCAAGCCGCTCAGCCTTCCACGAGTCTCCATTTTAGGGGTAAGGTAAACATGGGAGCTGATTTCAAGTTGTCAACATGTTGAAGCTGGAGGGGGATGATACACATCGACCACAGAGTGTGCAGGGCGGGGGACGCTATGGAAATTCTCCGTAAGGTATGACGGGACATGTTTCCATTCTTCACTAGGATGTTGTCATACTTTGAGGTATCTCATCATTTCAGGACTCTCTGCTTCTGCTTGAAAATGATGTGGAGAGTTCCAGTAGCGCGGTTGCAGTTTCACGGCAACGTCACGTCTTGATGGCGGGGCTTGCAGCTTTTTTCACATGCGCAGCCGATGTTGCAATGCAGACGTGGCTGATCTTTTCATCCTGTAATCAGTTCATACTCACGCACCCCGGCTTTGCCTTTTGTAGATATAGTACTGTAGCATCAGCGGGATGCCAGCCGTGGCTCTTTATAGTGGCCGACTGAAGGAGAAATCATTGCCTTGATATTTCCGCCTGGATCCTCGACACGGCATGGCCGTACATGAACGTGGTCGAATGCTTCTGCCCGTGATGCTTACCTTCTCAACGTCTGGAGATAGCATGATATTTTCCGGGTCAGAATCGAGCGGGAGGATTCGGACAAGTTCGGGATAAGAAGGCCTACACAGTGGGAAAGGAGGTGTAAAATGCTCGAGTCTTCTGGGTATTTGGCCATATCTTGAAAACCTCATGCCTCGTCAACAAGCAAGCAAACCCTCCCCAAACACCATCTTCCACCAACCTCACCTAACATCAGATCGCCCTTGTCTCTCTGATTGCATCTCATTCCACCCACTTCCACCACGCCTTCCAACCCAAGCAAAAATAACAACCATGAAGTTGTCCGTCTTCATCCTGCCCATCCTAGCATCACGCATCACGGCGCTCTACGCCCCCAACAAGCTGGTATAAGCGTTGCTCAAGGAGTCGGAGGTGATTTGCTGCGATAAGGTGCCGTGCTTCATCGGGTGTCCTGTGGAGGGAACTTTCCGCGTATGTTTTTCTCCTTTTTCTTCTCCTTGACGCCCTTCATGCACTCCTGCTCAGCCTCGAACAAGGAAGGGGCTCGGTATACTGACACATCATTTGATGGAATAGCTTTGTTGCTGAGAACCGCGCTGAAAAAGGATCCAAGGGGTCGGTGTACGGAGTTTTCTACGAAATTTAAGCTCGACCGACATGCTAATTGGGGGAAGACTGAGGAACCGGTGCCTTTCATTTTGTTGCTCCTTTTTCTAGGACGAAGGAAGGACGGTGGTCTTAGTACCATTGATCTCCCTTGAATGATTGAATGAGGAATAACACAATTCCTTAGACCGTTTTCGACCAAAGTTCCCCGCTGTGATGTTTTGTCTTATCCTTCTTTCGCGTTTGCGCGGCAATATCCCTCTATAGACCTTGCCAGATAAACCTCTTGATATAGAGTATACGCGGTCCGTCGTCCATACTGTGGATCAAATTCTGTGTTTAATAAGGCTGTTATCAAGAATCGCTCCCTGAGGGTGGCCTAACACGATTCCAGTAGAGTAGGTCAGCCAATTCATGACATCCAACGAACGGTATGGTGTTCCTCTCTCCAATTTTATTTCGGGCATTTGGATACGATGTGATTCAAGGAAAATCCGGGGTATCCTTCCCGGCCAGAGACCATCATTTCCGGTAAAGGGGAGTTTCACGGAGACCCTGGAATATGAATGCGTCTACAAGTGTTTTCATTGTCAGTCAGCGGCTTGCAAAGGTAAAAGAGAGGTCATTTCTAGGTCGGTACCCAAGCATGCTGGCATGGTTGTGATCGAAGTTGAGACCCACTCTTGAATTACCTTTACGACCGTCGTGATTGGCCGAAGACTTGCCTATGCTGTCACCGGATGTGATTTTGGCGAATTGAGGCATACTCGCATTGCTGAGCAAAGATCTCACAATTGATGATCGGAGTAAGTGACGTGAGCATAGGCGATTTTTTGCCTCGCAATGTCTGGATCTCATTGGCCCGGAGAGGATATCGCCATACTCTCGCTTGGCGAAATGAATGATCAAGGTCCAAGCCCGCGGAAAGCTCGTAGCAATTGAACCCGTTGCTTCCCCGTAGCCCAGACACCGCCGTATCAATCCGTCTCAAGGGATTCATCACAGAGCAAGGTAAAGTGCTGCTAGTAGAAGCGAAGAGGTAAAGGATCGAGGGACCATCCAATGTTCGCAACTGCCGCTACCGCGCGGCGCTCAATTCCTGGGGTACCATATTTACATTGTACAAAAGTTTTCCGACCGTCCGAGTCGTTCGTTTATGAGTTCTGAATCGCCTCCGCCTGCGTCGTATCCTTGGCCTTCCTCGCAGCCTGTTCTCTGTCGTACTCGATCAACTGCTTCGACCAGCTGTGTTTTTGCAGTGTCAGCCCATGTTTGTCTCTCTCGTGTGTAATTACTTTCAGTCGCATGAAATCAATGAAATAAGGGGCACCTACTATCTGCTGGGGAAGAACCGGCCCTCCTGAGGCATCACGTAGCGTACCTCCTTCTCGGCGCTGATCTTCCAGATAACGGCAACGACACCGGCCATGACGGCGCCGATGACGGCGGTGTTACGCTTCCAGTTCGCGGGCTGGGCGTACCAACCACCGGCCGGCGACCAGACGTGCTTGGGGTAGCTTTCGTGGGTGTTAGAGGAGCTGCATCTCGAAGAATCGGGGTGGTTTGCGTTCGGAGGGGATATGCGGCTGGGGTTAGAACTTACGGAACCTTAGGACCGCCTCCCTGTGCACGAGTTAGCAATTGACCCGGATTCGCCGATTGAGCAGTGACATACCATTTTGACTGTGTTTTCAGTTTGAGGGGTTGGATAGTGTGGTGATGGCAATCGCTTTCCCGCCTCGACTCGATATTGGAGCTTTTGCCCTTGTACGTCGCGAATGGTGAAGTGCAGCCATCCATTCCTCCCGAAAAGTGGGACCCGAACAGTCCGGAGCTGCGGAGGAGCGGATATTCCGCGCTTCACTCTGACTGGGCTTTCTCGCCTGGCTCGTGCACGGGGTCCCCAATTCCCCCTAGCATGCTGGAGCTCACACGACTTCGAATCGGTCGGCTCCAGAAACTTTTTCGTGACGGGAGACCGGCGCTGTTCGAGAGAAATCCGGGACGTGGAACTTTTTTCTTCCCCCATTTGCGATCGAAACACCCAGCGAATACCTCAATCCACCAATTGCCCTGCGACCGCATTGTACAACACCTTTTTTCCTTCGTTGACTTGTTATTTCGTTACGTTGTTACTGGGCCTTCGAACAGCTCAGCAACAACTCAACCTCGACCAACCGAATGGCGTCCCAGATGAAGAGGTTAAGGATATCAAGATGCACCGGGCAGCAGCTCCTCAACGCCCAGGCCAGGACACACGCCTCGCCGTGCCTGACGCCCATCTCCTTTAGAACACAGCTTCACAGCAGCAACCCGGCGCGGACACTATCGACTTCCTCCCCGTCCTCGGCAGCAGTAGCAGAAGCATCATCCGACGCCTCCTCGCCCGACATCACCGCCGCCGCCGCCACGCCCGCCCCGAAGAGGTCGAACATACTCCCGTCACCCGCCCCCGAAAAGGCTCTCCAGTCAGCCAAGCTCGCCGCCCTCCACGCCCGCCTCTCCCTGCCCGGCAAGCTGCCCCTCCAGACCCTCGCGCGCACCCTCGTCGACCCCTCCGCCGACCCGAGCCCCAACTTTAACAACGCCAACCTCGCCGTCGTCGGCGGCTCCCTCATCAGCTACCACGTCTCCGAGTGGCTCATCGCCCACTACCCCCGCCTCCCCATGGCCATCCTCTACGAAGCCATGCGCGCCTACGCCGGCTCGGACTCGCTCTACCGTGTAGCCTCCCAGTGGGGCGTCGAGAGCGCCGCCGCCCCCGGAGGCGAAGTCGACCCGGGCCTGCTGCAGTTCTCCCAGAACCCCGAGGCCGAGGGCATCGTCCACGGCCGCTGGGGCTACATCCGCAAGGAACACGCCCACCTCGACAAGTTCAAGTGGCGCCGCTCCGTCTCGTCCCGAGTCGTCCTCGACGACGAATTCGGCGACGTCCTGCACAAGCCCAAACGCAACCCGTTCGAGCCCAAGCCCGACCCCCAAGACCCAGCCATCTTCAAGGAGCAGCGCGAGAAGATCCGCAACGACGCCCACGCGGCCCACGTCCGCGCCGTCACGGGCGCGGTATACGCCCACGCCGGCCGCGACGCCGTGCGCGCCTTCATCGACGCCCACATCCTCAGCCGCCGTGTCGAGCTCGAGAAGCTGTTTAGCTTCAAGTTACCCACGCGCGAGCTGGCGATGCTCTGCGCGCGCGAAGGGTTCGAGGCGCCCGTCGCGCGGCTCGAGAGCGAGACGGGCCGTCTGAGCAGGACGCCCGTGTACGTCGTCGGCATCTACAGCGGGCGCGACAAGCTCGGCGAGGGGACGGGCGCCAGCCTGGACTTTGCGCGTCTGCAGGCTTCGATGAATGTTCTCAAGGCGTGGTATTTGTATAGCCCTGGCGCCAAGGTGCGGGTGCCGAGTGATATGCTCGTTGAGGGCGCGAAGCCGTGGCAGCCTGTGCATATTGACATGGGAGAGATTATCTAAGAGAAAGATGTTGGGAAAGTGGAAAAGGGGTAAAAAAACGAAAAAAGCAAAATGTATCGACTGTAATTCATCCATCGGAGAGAGAAGAGGATAGGAGATGTGGCGGAGAACGTTGTCGAAAGGGTCGGGAGACAGGTGATCCCGGACTTACCAAGATGCCTTTTTGGGCAGTGTACATTTTGAAGCAAGGACATGTAGAAGGTCAAGCATGTCTCTGTAAGATGAATAGATTTGTAAAAACAATGACACACTCCTCGAAATGGGGCCATTTACTGAATTCCTGCATTGTCTCTTGGCCTTATTTGATATCTCCAGACGGCTGCAAAACGCTTCCAAATAACACACTTTTCATTACAATGGATCTACTTCCACTGAATTAACCTACGCTATCGTTGTAAGAGTCCTCCACCTTCTCGGGTATCTATCTTCATTCTCACAACTCTATAATCCGTCTCTTTAGCTAAACTGATCGCCTTCGCCCAGCTTGTGCGCCATCCCCCGCCTCACCAAGCTCCGGTACCGATCCTTCTTGATCCCCGCCTCCCTCTCCAGTCGAAGCTTCTTCTTTCGCTCGTAGACGGCTCTGACCGTCCCGCGAATCTGCTCTCGCCCCTCGGCATAATTCGCCCTCGCCAGCGCGGCCACTTTTTCAATCTGGTCGGGCGTGTAGACAAAGTTCCAGGTGCTCAGGTAATCCGTCGTACCGGGGTTGATGCCAGGTGCCTTGGGGTTCGCGAGGTACGGCAGGTAGATAATCGCAATTCCCGCGTCTGCCTCCATGAGCTGCCACGAGTTGGACTCGGTAATAGCCTTGGACGGCGGCGGGGTCTCGGTCGACGACCGCTCCTGCGTTGTGCCGACCCAAACGGTACAGTACCCCAGCTCGCCCGACTCCTCATCACCCGGCATGAACTTGGCCGCCTGCCCGTTCTTCGTGTCCTCATCCGGCTTGCGATGGCCTTCCTCGGCCTGGTGCTCGCGCTGATGCGCCTTGGCGTCGCGAAGCTTCTGGTCCGCCTCCTGTGCAGAGGCAGCCTGAGCTTCCGAGAGTTCGTCGCGCACTTCTTTCGGAGACTCCCTTGCCTTGGGCCAGCCTACGCCGACGGGCCAGCCCTTGATGCCGCGCTGGCGGGCGTAGCCGTCGGCGACGGCGAGCCAGTTGTCCGTCTTGATATCTGCGGAGGCATCAAAGGCGACGACGACGTCGACGTCGCGGCCGGGGCGGAGGAGCGGGTAGATGGGGAGGTTATTGGACATGCCGGCGTCCATGAGCTGGATGTACTCGGTATTGTAGGTGCTTTTCGGGGCCGTCTTGGGCAGTTTATCCTCCATGCCGTAGGCAAAGTTTGCGACGGTGCCGGGGTCGATTGGGTGGACCTTGCTGAGGTCCTCGTTGTAGCCCGAGATCATGCCGTCTAGGGCGCCAAACCCAGCGAGGCTCTGCACGAGGGGTCGAATCTCGTTGTAATAGTGGCTGAGGGTCGCGCAGAAGGCGCTGCCAAAGACGCCGAAGAGGAAAGGCATGCGGGTCTCTGGGAGGTGGAAGCCTTCTTCGGGAGGCACGTCGACGCCATTCTTGAAGCGTCGGCCCATGGCCCAGGTCGGGATGCCGGCGGAGAACTCCTCGCAGAAGAACTCGTACGGCGTAATTTCGAACCACTGGAACCAAGCTTCCTTCTTGGCGACCTCTTTCGCTGCGTCTGACGTGGCAGGCACTGCTCCACTTCCGTCAATGTCGACCTCGGGGATCTCGTGGCGGACGGCGGTGTAAATGGGTAGTGGGTTCTGGCCATATTTGATGTACTCTCGTTGGTTGGAAAGCTTGAAATCCCGATCACTCACTTCCAGCTCACCTTTGGGGACCAAGAATCTCGTCGCTAACAAGAGACCGTAGACGTCGACTAGACCAAAGTCCGCGCCAGGGTCGCCCTTGAGTTTCTCGACGAGGCCGCTTAGGAGATACTTGCTCGTTGGCGCAGAAAGCAGAGTTTGGAATGCCACGGGCGGGTAGGCGATGTGAATGCCAGCGCGGGCCTTCAAGTGCTGCAGGACCCGTGGAAGACTGCCCTCCGAGATGGACGAGTGGTAGAGGGCCTGGAGCCAACACGAGCCGCTTACACCAGAGGTATACGTGACACAGTCGAACAGACCATCTTCGTCTGCGGCAAGCATGGAGCCCGTGCCGGCGACGAGGGCCCTCAGACCACCTCCGGAGCCGCACATGGCGATGGTAGGAACGTCGTCCGGGTGGACATCCCTCTCGTCGATATCAAGGTACTTGGCTAATGCCATGGTGGTGACTCGCTTTCGCCTTGCCAAGAACTCCTTTTCCTCGTCACACAGGTCGTTGGAGACTCTGACCTTGGCGGCATATTGCACCTCCGGATTAATGAAGGGATCATGAGCTTCTCGCCAAATCTCATCTGCTAGAGATCCGGGTGCCATTGACAGCTGATGGTATTAGCCAATACTACTAGTTGATGATATATAGCAAAACTCACCTCTCTCTGGAGCTTCCGGATGTACCCGGGTACCAATCTTGACCACTCCGGCAGGATGAACCCAACAATCTTGTCCGCAGTCCATTCCATGTCGGCAGAGTCGGACAACGTCTCAAACTTGAGAGCAAAGTTGTACCACGCACTCTCGTCAGGCTTGGTGCTTCCCGCATTGCTGCGGACTCCCTTCCTTCTGTCATCCTCAGCCAGGGATAGCCGTTCAAACTCATCAGACGGGTAGAGCGCCCAGATGACAAGGCCACCGGTAACGATGGCGACCGGGATCGACGTCTTCTTGGGAGGAGCCTTGTCTCGTGCCGTGAAGAAGCCATGCCGCGACTGGCGGGACAGTGTAGGCCTCCGGTGGATTAGGAGGCCGTGAGTCCTGATGCGACCGACGGTTACGATGTGGTGGAAAGACCTCGAGGCCCGGCGCATCGCGTCGCGGGAATACGGTGCGAATAATCTCATCTTGGCGATATTAAAAGGCTGAAGTCGTGGGACATGACTGGCTGGACGAGCCAGAAAAATGAACGGTGGTGTCGACTACGTTGATCAGTTGTGATTTGGGGTTGTGTCGTGGCGTAGAGTGGGATGTTGATGGTGGTTGTGGTGATTGCTATCGTCCTAGCTTGCTAAGGAATCTTTCTTGATAGGAAGTTTACGGTTCCGGCAAATTCGTTGTCTTCATCTTAGATCGGATACCTAAACTGTCCGGTGCCACGGATGAGAGAAGTGAAAAAAATTAGAGACCAAGATGGCCGCGGCTACTCCGGGGATAGAGCACCGAAGCTGAATTAAGCGCAAAGCGCGAGGCAGTGACAGCGAGGTTAGCTCAACAACTTTCTCTTCCTCTCCCGACCCTGGTCTGCTCCTGACATCATTGAGGCACGATTCGGATTGGTGGATCGAAAGCAAGGAAAGAGCAAGGGGGTGCAAAGGGCGGACCTCTATCGGATGAGTTAGACATATACTTAATTTTGTGCGTTGTCTGCACATAAAACACAAGTACTGAAGTATGTGCCAAAATCTCCACCGTCCGTTGAGAAAGCTCCGGGCGGGTTCATTCGCCAATTGGTCTGGTGGACCCGGCCGCCGCTCTGGCCACTCTCTGGCGCCAGGTTTTCCCTTGGCCCACCCGGCCTCTGCCGCTTCCCATGTGACGATGACATGTCTGTAGTGTCACGGCTCGTCGTTCGGGTGAGTCTGGAACCTCAAAGTCTCTTCAGACAGCTCCATCACAGTGGCACGTTGATAGTCAGTTGGAGTATGTAGTGGGGAACCTTCTCGCCGCTAGGGTTGTTCTTGCTCATCGAAAAGTTGATACGCAGGAGGTCAACTGACTTTCCTTCCAGTTCGAAGTCGGAATGTCCATGCAGCTTCAGCCACAAGTTTGATGGTCTCACAACTTTGCTGAAGGCGTTCATCCAAGCTCATATGTCAAGGTGAATTCTGTCCATCGAACGACCCTGAACCTTACCCTTGTGTCCATGTCCGCGAACTGGCTCCTAGATCGGCCCATGTCCAAGTGCAATCCTACTCAGCTGGCCTCGAGTCTGTAGGAGAACGGTCCAACGTCCAAGACCGTAGAGCCACGTTGTCGCTCGTCATAAATCTCTTCTTTTGTATTCGGGGTGGAATCATTGCCGTCATCCGTCTAGCTTATAAAACGAAAGGTTTCTAAATGTGACGAGGACCATGTGCGAACAGTAGCTCTGACTTATGTTTGTCGTCCTGTCTTGCCCTGCTATGCGCAGCTTGCGCCAACGCCATCTACCTTTTGCTAACCCAATAGACAATATGCAAGAACATTTATATGACCCCTGCCTGGATGCGCAACTTTTATGTACATCCTCAAAAGCAGTTGATGTAAATCATGATACAGGAACGCTTGAGAATCCAAGTAGCGCAACAACACCAAAGACTCGCAATGAGAACTACACAGCGAAGTGGGGTTTCTTCAATTCAGTTTGCTCTTCTTGATAACTACCAGGTAGATCTCTTCATGCTAACACAGTAGACTCCCACCTGCTACATCACACGAGTCATAGCAGCCTCCTCGAGCAGACTCCTAGATCCCCAAGTGCCGGAGGTCTCCCCTCATTCACAAGCAAAGGCTTCTACGGTCACAAGCATCACTTTGAATCTGCATATGGTTAACACGCCTTGTGCAAGAGAAGATCTAGCGAGACAAATCTTGGAGGGAAGTTCTACAGCAGCCATGAATCAGATTAGAAATACTATTGCGAGGATCTGTGGTCTATGGAGCTAGGTACATTGATACGGTGTCCTTCTTCTGACGGTAGAGTTGGAGATGCTGATCCAGTACGACAATGCCAATGTCCGACAACGCCAAGGGAACATTGCACGGCACCAAAAAACTCCTTATGGAGGGTTAAGTAAAGTATCGCTGTGTCGAGGAATCTCTGAGTCGACCATCCACAAGCCAGAGCTGGTCAAGAGTATCTTGTCGAGTAAGGCAGCGAGACAGTTCGAGCGGTCATCCGGGACGATGAACTTGAACCTACTATAGACATACATCGTTACAGTGACTGTGCCAGACTTAAGACTGTCTCAACCCATTGCGCATAGAGTACACATCTTCCGCAGGGGTTAAAGCTTTGCACTCTGAAAACTGCAAGAGACTCTGGGACGTCGTGTTCCATCAAGAAGCCGCAGGCGATGTCCATACTATGGTCAGCGGCTATCAACTGTATTTCATTCCAGAAAAGCATCCCCGAGCCGAGGTGACGGGTGTACCGATTCTTGACCCAGCCGGAGCTTGTCCGAGGCGTCGGGACAAATGCCCCACAATTGCGGTGATTGAGAGCCGGGTATTTCACTTCGGGGCCGGAGCTCCTCATGCCGGGAATGACCTCAACGCCCCATCTTCACGTCTCTTTTGAACCCCTAGCAGCTGGAAAATGCTCGATCTCGCTAGGATTGGCTGCGTTGTGAATGTCAATGAAACATGAAAGTAAAGCTCTGGTCGAAGACTAGCCCGCAGTTCTGGATAGAAGATCTCGCTCTTCTCGGAGGCCGAGATGCGGCTCCCACTGGCTAAATGGAGGGATTGTTTCTTGCGACTCCATGTTGAGCATACTCTACTGCGTTCATCAATTTGTGGCTCGAACAGACGTGCCAAGGTTGCGAGCGCAAGGCTGACCCGTCAATTGGATGATCATATTGTGCTGTGTAAGTACCGCCAAATCTAGAGCGGCGAGAAGAATGCACTGCCAGCGGGGGACATGATTACCAGGCTCAACATTGAGGCGCGAGACGACCTCCTGGCCTGCAATTACAGCGTAGTGAATTTTGGGGAGTGGCTTGCTCTGGCAAATTAAAGTGGCGGGCATCAATGGTGTTTGCGGGCGGTTCTGTCACTTATAATCACTTTTTGTGTATGCCTACCTACTCTGCCCGCCTGTTTTTTGCTGCAGGATCTGCGCGAAGCCGATCAGCGATTTGTCCGACGCAGGGAGTTTGGGCAAGACAGTAGTAGTAAGACGTGAGACACGGCAAGGCTGACTGCCAAACCTGCATCCCGTTCCTTATCTTGGCTGGCTGACAACACTCAACATGCGTCAATCTTGTCGATTCGCTGCTTGAGCAATCCCTCGACCTGTTGGACGGTAGGTAGCTGATAATGATGATAAGGTGGTGACGCAGCTGATGTGGCCCTTCGAGATGGTCCGCTTCTTTTTCGGCATGCGTCAGGGAGGATTGGCCACGAAGCATTCTTGAGTTCTTGATTTCCCCCAGCGCGACCTCGTACCTGCAAGTGTGGACGAATGACACCCTCTGAACGGACAGATTCACGAAGAGACGCGGTGATGTGGATGATCCGAAGTGGCTGAAGAGAACGCAGCTAATGTAGTATAGCGGCCGGGGCACCTTTCGGCAGACGACGGGTGTGTTGCTCTAAGTTTCTTCGGGGCAAGTCCCGACTCCCGAGGCGACACACTGGGGGGAAACGAGCAAGAGAGAGCTCGAAGAGGACCATCAGGTGTGGCCCGGATTCAGGGACTACTCCTGCAGGTCCACGGGGTCTCGCTGCAGGTAAGAGTGGCCAAAAGGACGAAGGGGGTGTGAAGCCTGCAGCAACAGCAGGGCATAACAGAGGGCGAGGAAGAAGCTGGGGTGAAGCCTGTGAAGTCAGTGTCAGAAGACGGCCCGTGTGTCGGAACGTCTTTTTTCCCGTTCCTTGGAGGCGAGTGGGCCCCGGTCCCGTTTGGGGGTCCCCCAAATTTGAGATTGTGCCGTGTATGTGCCTGAGGCGCAATATGCTCATCTGCCCGGATTATGACCAGGATGCCATTGACAAGAATGGGTGAATGGCTTCCTCCTACCTATTTCCCACTTGGCCCCATTCCATCTCAGTCCACATCCACACGGCGGAATCCACGGTGGTCCATGCCTTTTGCCAGGCCGTGCTGGTTCCTGGTGGCTCCCGGTATTACTGACTGATACTGGCTCTGTCGCTGTCTCTGGCTCTGGGCACAGGCGCTGTTGGGCGTGCCTTTCTTCATCCCATGGATCATGGATGAGACGTGGAAATTGGAGGTCGGATTCCTGCTCTCCCGGCCCTCAATGCAATCATAGTGGTCACGAACCCCTAATCAGAGCTCGAGAAGGCGGCTGCTGCTGCTATAATTCGTACCGCACAGTAATATCGCTCTACAGGCTACGGGACACACAACCGCTGCGTAGGGATAGGATCTACCCAAGTACAGCATGGTTAAGCAATAGCTGCCAGTCTCATCTTCGTCCCAAGTTTTGACTTTTTTGGAGAAAGAAAGCCGAGTACGTAACTCTCTGCAGCTTGCGTGCATTGTTGACAGGTACCTTATCGCACAAGCACACGGGTGACGGGAATCCAGACAAAGCCAACAGTCCGGGAAGGAAAAACTCAACTTGTTTCATTCCTCTCGGGACACCTGTCAATGTGGTGATGCAATCCATCTCACGTGGGCTTTCCTTGGCCTTTGGATACAGATGGAGAAATGCCCCCTTCAGACTTTGAGTGTCACTGTGAGTGTGTGTTGGACGTGAGGTTACGGTGCTCAAACGCAGCCCCAGGTTGTTTCTCCTTCCGTGCTGTCTCCGTGGCCTGGCCGGCAAACAGTTGGCACTCTACTTTGTTTCTGGGTGGAGCAGATGCCAGTTGGAAAATCATCGTAAATCGCCCAAGCGTCGGGCACGAATAAGGGGTCCTCTCTGTGTTGCTGCCTTTGAAGGGACAGCGAGACACGGCCCAAAATGACAAAGATAGAAAAGACTCTGAACACAAAAGTAAAGGCAAGGAACTGGATGAATAGAGACATTGACTGCCTGCAAGAAGACAAGCTGCAAATCTTACCCAGTCTGTTGAAATTCAATGTCTGTCGTTCCTTTCCCCAATCTCCAGATGCTCCTTTTGGCGGTTTTTTTTTTCTGATGCTTCATTACGACCACCGCCCCACGGCCAATCATGTCGCGCCGTTAAGGCGGACCCCGGGCTCTAATTCTCCTGCTCCATCCATCACCCTTGCTCGGGATCCACTCAAACCAATCTAGCCCGACCGGGATTAGTCCACTTCAACCCCCTTTTGCTTGGAGAGGGAAGGGGACAGCAACGTGCTTCTCCCCCGTCTATCATGCACCAGAGCATCCGCCGTCCAGTAGCAGAACAGCACTGGCCAGCCAGGCCCAACACCATCTCCCGTCCCCCATCAGGCATGCTGGTCCCCTGTATCTGCACCTCGTAGCGGCGGGCAAGCACCGCCTGGGCACCCTCAGTTCCAGGTTCCGTCCCTTCCCAGTGGTCGTACTCTGTAGTATCTGTATGTGTACGAAGTACCTACCTACCGTAATTAGTACTGAGCATACCTTATGTACCCAGGGAGAGAGCAAGCAGAATGGAACGTGGTGCTTCAAAGGTACTGAGGTGACCTGAGGTGAACCGTGAAGGGAGCACCGACCGTCGTCAGGAAACGGGGTCACACAGCCAAATCTTTCTTGTCCCCGTTGCACCCTAAATTTCCCCTTCCCACCCCCAAAACGTACGTTCATCGAGGAACCTACTACCTACCTCACCCTACACCTCTCCTTCTCTACTTCGCAACCACCACACCTTTCTCTCCCTTGAGGTTGTGATTCTTCTTTTCGGCCCCATCATCAACTTTGCCCTCGAGCATTTCGCCATCTCCTCTTTCGGCACCGAGAGGTCCAATTGTCTGTCGCCAAACCCCACTCATCACCTTTCTCCTTTTCTATCGTTCGTTACCCATCTGCGACGCTCCTCGACACGCGACTGCTTTGTAGACGTCCAGGTACGTAAATCTTCCGTCGTCTCTTCTTCTACACTTCTCCTATCGTCCAAGGACCGGGTCGAGGAAACAAACCGGCCAAACAAATGTTCCCTTTCCCTCCTTCACCCGGCCAGCTGGCATGATCTTGCTGTTGCGCAATACTACAAACCCATCACCACTTGCGTCGTCCCATCTCCTGAGCCAACCTTCTTGCTTTCCAGCTACGTTTTGCCTCATATTACAGCCTAGCTGACACATCCTCTTTGTCTTTCAGATCCAGATATTTTTCTTGAGATAAACATCTCCAAGACAACTCCCCCGATATTCGCAATGGGTAAGCAGCTCGCGGTGTCATGATCTACGAACCAGGACCGGCAAGGCAAAACGAGAATCAGACCGGAACAACAATGGCCACATGGGAAACCGCATACGATCAACTTCAAAGAACCCCCAATTCGCTACCACTCGACGTATTCTCTCTTATCTCTCGGATGATTTCCTGGGCCCCAACAGTCGTTAGCATAGCCCGGCGACGTGAAGGCCATGGACAACAATATGGAAAGATACGAAAGGCGACCTGCCCCTTCGCAATTCGACACCAAACAACCTACACAATCTTGTTCTCGCCTTTGCCTTGCCGCTCTGCTAAATCTCAATTTCTCAAAGAGAATCATTTACTGACGTGATCGCAGCTGACGAAGGTTCTCCTGCTACCTCCCCGCCGCCCTCGGCGCCCACTTCGCCCCCCGTCGAAGAGCCCTCATCTGACTCCTATCAAGCTGGCGGTGCCCCTTCGGCCCCCTCCAGTGATCTTAGGAACATTGTTCGCCGCAAGCTGACTGGCTATGTCGGCTTTGCGAACCTGCCTAACCAATGGCACCGCAAGAGTGTCCGCAAGGGCTTCAACTTCAACGTGATGGTGGTTGGTATGTTGTTTTTCCGCTTTCTTCGATGGCATAGAACACCCGCTAATATTGCTTAATTCAGGTGAATCTGGACTCGGAAAGTCGACCCTGGTCAACACTCTCTTCAACACTTCCCTTTACCCTCCCAAGGAGCGCAAGGGCCCTAGCTTGGACATCATCCCGAAGACGGTTACCATTCAGTCCATCAGCGCCGACATTGAGGAGGCTGGCGTCCGCCTTCGTTTGACTGTGGTCGACACCCCTGGATTCGGCGACTTCGTGAACAACGATGAGTCCTGGCGCCCGATTGTCGACAACATTGAGCAGCGTTACGACGCCTACCTCGACGCTGAGAACAAGGTCAACCGCATGAACATTGTGGACAACCGTATCCACGCCTGCGTGTTCTTCATCCAGCCCACTGGCCACTCCCTTAAGCCCCTCGACATCGAGGTCATGCGCCGTCTTCACACCAAGGTCAACTTGATTCCTGTCATCGCCAAGGCCGATACCCTCACCGACGAGGAGATTGCCAACTTCAAGTCCAGAGTATGTAAATCTTCTTCATCAACTCGTGACAGTCACTAAGTTCTTCCAGATTCTCTCCGACATCAAGCACCACGGTATCCAGATCTTCGAGGGCCCGCGCTACGAGCTTGACGATGAGGAGACCATTGCCGAGAACAACGAGATCATGTCCAAGGTTCCCTTCGCTGTCGTTGGTGCCACTAACGAGATCACCAATGCCGACGGCCGCAAGGTCCGTGGACGTAGCTACCCCTGGGGTGTCATCGAGGTCGATAACGAGGAGCACTGCGACTTTGTTAAGCTTCGCCAGATGCTCATTCGGACGCACATGGAGGAGCTCAAGGAGCACACCAACAACAGCCTGTACGAGAACTACCGTACCGACAAGCTCATTGGTATGGGCGTGTCGCAAGACCCCAGCGTTTTCAAGGAGGTCAACCCCGCCGTCAAGCAGGAGGAGGAGCGCGCTCTGCACGAGCAGAAGCTCGCCAAGATGGAGGCCGAGATGAAGATGGTCTTCCAGCAGAAGGTTGCCGAGAAGGAGAGCAAGCTGAAGCAGAGCGAAGAGGAGCTTTACTCCCGTCACAGAGAGATGAAGGAGCAACTGGAGCGCCAACGCATGGAGCTCGAGGAGAAGAAGCAACGAGTCGAGAGCGGCCGGCCCATCGAGAAGGAAGGCAAGCGGAAGGGCTTCTCGCTCCGTTGAGATGCCTCCTTCTTTGGTCTCTTGACGCCACACGTTGCTCGCATTCTTCTTTCCACGACCCATGTCTAAGTACCAATGATGCCCATACAATACCAGCACACCGCGCTTCTTTGTCGATTCTCTTCATGTTCTTTCTTATCACCCCCTTTTTCTGGACCTCTTTTAATCACACACCCTCATCTAATCACTTAACGGAATCCCAGCATCATCAAAAAGTCTTTACGAAGCAGTCACGCAGGGGGCTTGATGCAGATTAAGGAGGGAAAGACGCGAAAGGAATGAGGAGTCATTGCTTCTCTTTGTCAGCTTAGTTACAGTGCTTCGAAATGATGATTCCCTAGACCTTGTCCAAAGTGCCTACTACTGTGATGTCTTCAGTCCGCTGATTTTTTCCCATCTTTGCCTTGAATTGCTGCGACGTAATGTCTTTGATTCCTTTGCATAGTCTGGCTCCTTATGCTCTCCTTTGCTCCTTCCGAGGGGGCGGGTTGGAACTACTGAATGCTGATGTTCCTGCAGCTTACAAGAATCGCTGGTGGCATTGCCATATAATTATAGAATCATGGGTTTAGTGACGATATGTTTAGTAGGTTTGATTTCTCTTCCATTGATGATGTACATAGACGACTACGTCTACACCTTTTTACATGCAGTCCTACAAGTTTTGGGGATCCATGTCCTGTTGTACACTGCCGTCTGATATTTCCAGCGGCCCTCTCCTCTCCTGTACCACAACCACTACCACTCCAAGGCACAACACCTACATCTTCACACACACGCTTAACCCCTCCTCAGGTACCAGTTGAAGGCCAACTGGTTCGTCTCGTAGGTGAAGGGAGTGGGCACCTCGGCCACACCGCGCCTCGCGACGGGGTGGCGGAGGTAGACGGCGGCGCAGATGTTTTGGTTCACCTCGAGGTAGCGTGGGATGAAGGCAAAGGGCGCCATGTAACGGCGCGGCTGCCAGGGAGTCCAATAGGGCTTGGACTCGTCGATGGGGTTCTCAGCGTTCTGGCGGAGAAGGTCGGCAAAGGCGGCCTGTTCGGCCTTGTTGAGGCCACTGAGCGCGTTGCGGACGTCCTTTGAGGTGATGAGGTCCTTGACGGCCTCAGTCTCTGCCTTTTCTTTGGCGCTCGTCGGCTTGGAATGGTCGTCCTTGACCTCTGCCTCGGGGGAGGCGACGGCCTCGACCTTGTTGCCCTCAAGCTTGAAGTCCTTGAGGAGGGCGGTGAGGTTGTCCATTACGCCGACGTGGTCGAGCGAGGCGGAGTCGGTGACGCGGCCCGATGTGGAAATGGCACGCTTGGCCTCAGCCATGAAGGCGCGGAGCTGGCGCTTCTTGCTAGGTGTGAAGCCGTTGGTTCCGTCGTTGATGAGGGTTTTGACGGAGCGGACGAGGGACTTTAGCTGCTTGTGGAGCTGGGCAGACTTGTCTGCCTCGGAGAGCTGGCTTCCCTCCTGCCCGTCGGCCGATGCTTCTGCTGCTTCGGCGGCGGCCTCGCCGCTCTCTGCGGCAGCATCGGTTTCTTCGACGGCGGCTTCGGCTTCGGGAGCCTCGAGTGCTGCGTCGCCGGATCCCTGTTTTGAGGCGCCCTCCTCAATCGCCTCTTTGTTGCCCTTGTCGCCGGAGTTCAGGGATTCATAGTCTTTACCGGCGAGCCACAGTGCGTGCTTGGGAGTCTTGGCCCGGCCGGTTGCGAAGAGGACATTATCGACATCAACCTGGAACATATCGCCGGGGTTGAGCTTGTAGGCACCGTAGCGCATCTAGAAGCGGATGATTAGATGTCTGCCGTATACATATGGTGGGGACTCGTGTGTTTGGGCATGGGAAAATGCGGTTACTCACAACTTTGCCGTTGACCTTGACGGCGCCGTGTGTACAAAACTGTTTCGCCTGGAGCGTACTGCTGGCGAACATGGCGCGGAAGATGGCGATGTCCAGCCTCCTCTCGAGGGGGGCGAACGCCATCTGCATGTAGGGCGTCATTTGCTGGACGGGACGGGCAAGCATCGCGGTCTGTGGTTCCACCCTTCTCATGCGCTCGTCTCTGGAACGATCTTCTCTGGCTGATTCGAGCTTGGAGAATTGATATGCGGTGGGCGTGCGGTCCTCTGATCCCGGCTCGGCGTGCAGGCCGGAACCGCGGCCGGCCGAGTGCTCTGATCCGTCGTACTTGGCGAGATACTCAGGCGGCATATCGACGGCGGAGAAGAGGCGGCGGGAGAAGTTGCGCGACCATTCCGCCTCCTTGACATGGGCGCCGTGGTAGGCACGGGTCATTGACTTGGCGGTCCATTTCTGCTGGAAGAAGGTTCTCGAGATACGGTTTCGATTCAACTTCAATGTGGCGAGGTTGTAAAGGTTGTACTTATTCCATGACTGGCGAATTTTCTGTTTGAGGAGAAAAGGTAGTAATGGTTAGCTTCAGTTCATCTATCGTTCGTTCCAACGTCATGCGATGGAAGTTGTCGAGGGCAAGTTCAGGGGAAAGCAGAAAGCGATTGACTTCGAGGCTCAATGGGAAAAGATGGATTATAGCTTACTGGCTTCACCAAGTTGTACCACCTTGGCTTTCTACCTCTCATGTTGGGCTAATTGGGGCTGAATGGTCGCGAACTTGGAGCTGGAGGGATGGCGACAGCTTCAGGAGCACGAGACGCAGAGACGGAAATTTTGGTGATGGAACGGCATGTCCCGGTACGAGGTACGTACTTCCTCTGGCCTGCTGTAAGAGCTGTCACGTCGTCACGTGCAGAGATTCCTAAGGCAAGGTAGTAATACCTAAGGTAAGTACTCCGTAGCATTAAGATAGAATCGAACGGGAGAAAATACTGCTTACCTAAGGACATTTTGTTCGAGGCTTTCTGAGGACTGGGATCATGGCAGTACGTACCCAGCCTCCCGCAGCATTCGCAGCCACCCGTGTGGTTGATTTTTTCAGTCTCCCCACCCTCGTCAAGTGGAGACAAGCTGCGGGCGGTGAGCTTCAAATACGCGCAAGCCGCCGCGGCAGAAACTGGAGCTCTCGCTCGTGCATGCGAATTCTGGTCGCAAAATCCTCACTACTGGAGAAACGGGGGACTTTTTTTTTTCTGCCACTCCCGCTTGACCAAGAATTATCGCCTTTCTCCGTTCACTGTCTAAACTCTGAACGTCAAAACACAATACACGAAGAACGCTTTGCTTATACCACGGTCGTCCAACTGCATTGACTGATTTCTACATTGTAAGCTTTCTCCGGATTACTCACTTTCCCCCTCTGACTCTTTGCGGTTGCCTACCCCGCCACATAATAAACACCACCTACTTTCCCCCCTCGGGTCTGTTGTCTTGTCATTCCCCTTTGTCGCGCCACAATCTACTGCTAATTGCGACCGAGAACTCACAATTGACAATTTCTCTGCTATACAGACGATTCAACATTTCTTACTTCACACCCCGACTCACCCTACGATGAGCGCCGCCGAGGAGACCAAGCCCGTCGAGGCTGTTGCCGCCGAGGCGCCCGTCCAGGTCGAGGAGCCTGCAAAGGTTGAGGAGACTGCCAAAGTCGAGGAGGCTACCAAGGAAGGGGTCGAGGCTGAGGCCAAGCCTGTCGAGTCCGAGACTAAGGAAGCCGACATCATCAAGACGACCGCCCAGATCGACCAGAAGACCCACGCCAACAATGTCAAGTTTGACCCTTCTCTCCTCAAGGAGACAGACGATCCCGTTGAGATTCGCAAGCAGGTAAGGCATTCCCAACCGAGGACCCCCAACTGACCGATTGACTAACACGATTGACTGTAGGTCGAGTTCTACCTGTCGGACAGCAACCTTCCCCACGACAAGTTCCTGTGGGAGCTTGTTGGAGGGTTCGAAAACAAGCCCATCCCCCTGAAGACCATCACCAACTTCAAGCGCATGCGTCGCTTCCAGCCCTACTCCTCCGTCGTCGCTGCGTTGAAGGAGAGCACGCAGGTTAACATCGCCGGCGAGGAGGGTGAGGAGACTATCCAGCGCAAGCAGGCTTACACCTCTGGTAACGACAAGTTCAACGCCCGCTGCGTCTACGTCAAGGGATTCGGAGATGAGGAGCCCACTACCCAGTTCGACCTCGAGTCCTTCTTCAGCCAGTACGGAACCATCAACTCCGTTCGTCTTCGTCGCACCAATGAGAAGCTCTTCAAGGGCTCCGTCTTTGTCGAGTTCCCCGATGAGGAGGCGGCTCAGAAGTTCCTTGCCCTGGACCCCAAGCCCAAGTGGAAGGAACACGATCTGAAGATGATGCCCAAGATCGACTACGTCAAAGAGAAGTCCGCTCTGATCCTCGCTGGCAAGCTCGAGCCCAACACCTCCCGCCGATTCTTCGAGGGCAAGGAGGGTGATAGCCGCGGCGGCCGCGGCGGTCGCGGCAGAGGTGGCCGTGGTGGCAACTTTGGAAACGACGACTGGAAGCAGCGCCGCGACCATGACCAGAAGAACGGCTTCAGGGGTGGCCGGGGCGGACGCGGTGGACGCGGCCGTGGCCGTGGTGGTGACCGCCGTGGCGGCCGTGGTGGACGCGACAACCGCGACAACCGCGAGAACCGCAGGGATCCCAACGAGGTCACCAACGACCGCAACGCGTATGTATCACCGTAGCTGACTGGTAGGGACAGCAAAGCTAACCAGTGTCACAGTGGCAAGCCTACCATCCAGGCCACCAACGGCAACGGCGAGGCCGTCGCGGAAGACAAGAACAACAACGGCAAGCGCGGACGCGAGGAGGACGGCGCCGCCCAGCCTGAGGCGAAGAAGGTCGACACCAAGACCGACGTCGCCGCATAGGGTAATGAGACGGAAACCCCCTCATTACGTCTCGGATTCCTCTGACACAAGATACCACTTACAAAAGCAACTTTTATCGGACTCGATTTTTTGGCTCTCCTGCCTGTTGATAAACGAGGCACACGGTCTATGGCGTTCATGGGACTTGACTTTAGGTATTACTGGTTTAGAGGTCTGGTTGTTACGAATAGCATGAGCATGCGACCTTACTCAGTAGTGCCTCTGTCTGCAACATTGCGACTGCGAGAATGGACCTACTCACCAGCAGTTGTGCAGTTCTCTGTTGGGACACAATCTAGTTCAATCAAAATATTTCTGACCACTTTTGAACAACTGTTGCCTTTCTCGGACCCATCGAACAAGTGAGCTCCGTTCTGAGACTAATCACAGCAGCGTACCTAGCTTGAGCGAGGCCATAGCTACTACAGTGCCAGCATTGCATACTCACCGCGTCCAACTTCAACTGGAGGTCTAACGGTTTTTGTAGGGATCAATCTTCTGTCCTGTCCAGCTGTCCAGGGTTCTCGTATCTATGCATAGGTACGGACAATGGCCGAGATCGCAAAAATCTGAGGCGCCCGAGGATCTTCGCCGTCACAGTCCTGAGTCCTGACGCCGAAAAGGTTGCACGCTGTGACAGCCGAAGCCGACAAGCAGCGACGTTGTGGAGATGGTTAGCTCCATCGCAAATCCAGACCAACCAACAAGAGCGGTCATCCGAACGTCAGCGACCCTGAATCGCTGCCGATTCGGCACCAGAGTGCCGTGCTGGGGTCCTTTCAAGGCCCCTAACCACCAAGGAGAGACGTCCAGACGAACGGATTACGGAGGCGGAGGCAAAATCCGGACTCAGATCTTGTCAGCTACTAGTCAGTTTTTCCTGCTATTGCGCCCACTTAGACCACGGCGTTTGTGGTTCTCTATATCCGCTTTGAGTAACTTGACTAATAGGTGCACCCAGTTTTACCTGGTTTCAATGCCAAAAATTTTAACATGCCCACCGGAAGCAAAGAGATCTTGATCCAGGTACTCGAAAAAGAGAGGGAATCGAAGCGGCTGAGTCCGTTCAGCCCTCAAGTCTCGGGGATATCTGTGCCTAGCGCCGCTTCAGACGGCGTCATGGGGCTCAAGGAGCAGCCCTCGCCCCCAACGCATCTCTCGGCCGTTGAGTCGTCGTCTTTACTTGCCAGTAGTCACACATATCTTATGCTGACCTGCCGACGGACGTCATTGGATAATCGAAGCTAACAAGCATGCTCGGCAGAACAACCACCTTCCCGAAGCCGCAAGTGCGGGCATGCGCCGATGGAGAAGCGATGTGCGGCGGGCCGCCTTCTGGGGAACACGTTGGGGCGTCCATAGTCCCGGTGTTAAGAGATTTTAATGGGAATGATTCATTCCTGTTGCCCTCCTTTCTGATGCTGCTCTACTTTTTATTTAATTGGGGCGTGTTTCCAGTTGTCTGGAACAGATTTGCTTCGAGTTGAGCCTCACCCGTTACTCATTCTTACACTATCTCAACTTAGTACTAATAACTACTACTGCTACTACTGCTACTACTACTCACTTACATACGTCATTGAATCATTTACACCTGGCAGTATCCAACCCGCGCCAAGGGGACTGGCCTGGCATGTTCAAAGGAGAGAGTGTAACTGCAGCATACACATAATTTATCAAGGAGATGGCGGATTCAAGCAACCCGCCACACTCAGCTCAGCGAGATTCACACGATGAGGAGGACCGACCCGCAACCCCTCAGCGCACGACGCTAAGGCAGCAGGTCGAAAGACACATCACAGCAGCGTCAGAGAAGAAAGTCGAAGAGAAGCAGACAGGACCCTCACGACATTCATCCTCGTCGGACGACAGCGACAGCAACTCAGAACACAGCGCAAGCGTCCTCCATGGCGCACGGAGCTCAAGGTCAAGATCCCTGTCAAGGACGGTATCCGAAGTCAGAGATGGCATCGAGAACAGACGAGACCTGGAACGTGGCGAAGAACTCGATCTTGAGAAGACACCGACGACACGGACAGCGCGAGACCCGAACCTCGTGACATGGGATGGCCCGAATGACCCCGGAAACCCAAAGCAATGGTCGATGAAGAGGAAATGGGCCGCAGTATTCTGCAGTACGTCAAACCTCATCTTACAACCCAGACGAATACTAACAACTCCACAGTATCATGCTTTACCCTGCTCTCGCCAGTCTCTTCATCCATGGTCGCGCCAGCTCTTGAGGCCATCGGGTCCGACCTCAACATTACAAGCTCCTTCGAAAAGGCCCTCGCCCTCTCCATCTTCGTCCTCGCTTACGCCGTGGGCCCCCTAGCCTGGGGTCCCCTCTCAGAACTCTACGGCCGTGTAATCGTCCTCCAGCTCACGAACCTCTTCTACATGTTCTTCAACCTTGGATGCGGTCTCGCCCAGACGAAGAGCCAGATGATTGCCTTCCGCTTCCTCGCAGGCCTCGGCGGCTCAGCGCCCCTAGCCATCGGCGGCGGCGTCCTAGGCGACTTATTCGAAGCCGAGCAGCGCGGCAAAGCCATCAGCATCTACTCCCTCATGCCACTGCTGGGCCCAGCCATCGGCCCCATCGCCGGCGGCTTCATCACTCAGAACACAACATGGCGCTGGATTTTCTACAGCACCACCATCCTCACGGCCGTCATCCAGTCCATCGGTTTCTTCGTCCTCCAGGAGACCTTCGCGCCGGTGCTCCTCACGCGGAGGAAGAAACGCCTCATCAAGGAGACGGGCAACACAGCGCTACACACCGACTTTGACCACCCGGACCGCACCATCGCCCGCACCCTCGGCATCGCCTTCACCCGCCCCTTCCGCCTCCTCGGAACGCAACCTCTGGTCCAGTGCCTCGCTCTCTACATGATGTACCTCTACGGACTAATGTATCTCGTGCTCTCGACCTTCCCGGCCCTTTGGACAGGCGAGTACGGCGAGTCCGTCGGCATCAGCGGCCTCAACTACATCTCCCTCGGACTAGGTTTTTTCATTGGCGCACAAACGTGCGCACCGCTTCAGGACCGGATCTACGCCGCCCTCAAGCGCCGCTATGTTCCCGACGGAGGACCGGGACGCCCCGAGTTCCGCGTGCCGATGATGATTCCCGGCGCGATTCTTGTGCCGATGGGTCTCGTCATCTACGGCTGGACGTCGCAGTATCACACGCACTGGATCGGGCCCAACATTGGCGCGGTGTTGTTTAGTGCCGGCGTGATTATCGGGTTCCAGTGTATCCAGGGCTTCTTGGTCGATACGTACACGCGGTATGCTGCTAGTGCCGTCGCAGCGGCGACGGTGCTGAGAAGTTTGGCTGGGTTTGGGTTCCCGTTGTTCGCGCCGAGTTTGTATCAAAAGTTGGATTATGGTTGGGGCAATACGTTGCTTGCGCTGTTGGGTATTGTTATCGGGTGGCCTGGACCGTTGTTGCTTTGGAAGTTTGGACCGAGGTTGAGGAAGAAGAGTCAGTATGCTGCTGGCTGAGTGATACCCAGTGAAGTTGAGGTTGTAAGAACCATGACATAGATTGATACTGTAGCCCTTGAACTTTTAGCCCCTTTAATCATTTCATTTTACTATACTTTCCCACCCTTGTGTATGCTCAGAACCACAACATAATGCAAATGGTCGGTGATCGAAAGGGAGTGTTCTCAATAACGGACTCAGGTAAGGCTTACTCAACCCATCTAAAGGTGGCCATCTTGCAAGCCGGTTCTGCTGTGCTCTTGCTTGCTTAAGGCAAGACTAGCCGCTGCCCAAGGTGGGCCGCGATGGTTCGGCGACCCGGTGAAGGAGGCCGGTTATCAACCTGCGACGCAGAGACTCCGTGCCGGGCCGGCCAACGGACGGAGGGCACATGCTGCGCCGCTGACTCAAAAAGCCGAACCTGCGAGCTCATCGGTTGCACTGATCTCTGATTTGCCGATTAAGTGTTAATGGTTGAAAACTTGAGATGGCGAAGGGTCTTTTGAGGTATGATAACATTCAAGTATTCCGTTTAATCATCTTCGGTGCGCGACAAGTAAAATCTCATCCACCAAACTTCCCGGGTAGTCCTCCCGGATGCTGAAAGGCAAATGTATGTCACGGAATCAGATGCTGTTGGATCTTGGCTCTTAAGCCCGTGAGGAAGGTTAAGCGACATTTGTCAGACTTCGTCAGCTTGTAGGCAACTTCACCCATTGGGCAACAATGGCGTAGGAGTTAGTTAGCATCCAGTAGGATCGTACGACGAGTGGATTTGAAGAATGTCAACTTTTCTGCAAGCAAAGCTTACGGCGTTCACGATTGACCCCATGAAGTTCGGTTTCTGGGAAACAAATGCCAAAGCCAAGGACTGATCCGTCCTAACCGAGAAGGGTTGTCGGAATGTGGGCGGGCGCAGTCGAAAAACAGCCCTTCCAAAAAGCAACGAGAGCACAGCCATGTCATTGCAAGACTGACTCGTAAAAGGCCCCTTTCGCGCCCCTTTCTCAACCCTTCCAGACCCCCTTCCATGTAACTTCAGTGCCCTTCGCGCCTATGAGATTGAAGAGTTCTCGGAATGTGGGCGGCGTTCCGTTCTGGCATAGGAAAACTTCGTGCGTTTATTCCAGCAAATGCTTCACTTACATGATTAGGCTTCAGGCCTGACCCAACAAACAAGCATTCAGGCCCGCTTAGCAACCTGTTTTATAGGCTTCTTATAGGCGCCCTCATCCGCGCGGTTGCCAAGAAATGCTTAGCTGATGGATTTGACAGATGATCGTCCCAGGTCTATGCCTGTTGAGGCTCCATGGAGTCACTATACGGGCTTCCCGAGTCTTCCACCACGCAGTGGACTGACTGGTTCAACTGTCCAACGGTCTTGACTGGATATTTCGTGGGAATGAGGAGGCGATCATCAGGGGACGAGAAAATGAACGATAAAAGGGACGGGAGACTCTTGTCTCGCAGATTGATGTCCATAGTCTCTTCACTCTCACTTCGACCGTGACAAGGACCTGAAGCCAATACATTCGTTCATCAAAACCCATTGCCTCTCTCACGATGTACTCCACTCTTTCAACGAGCTTGACGGGCCTTGCCGCCTTGGCATCTGCTGTCTCCGCGTTCCCTTTCAAGCTCGCAGAAACTGCAAACTGCGCAGCTGTAAGCGGCACATTCGAAATCGAGAACTTTAAGCTCTATCCCGAGAATCTGGATTGGGACCCTATTCACTGCAAGCTCTATATAAGGTATGGTTGCATTGCAACCCTCCGATGTCAGATCTTGTCACATCTCATATCCTAACCTGGTCGCCCAAACTTTAGTGCCAACTTCAACTCTACAGTCCTCGTCTACGATCCGTACAAGGCAACCTACAATATCCTTTCTTTTGACGGCATCACTGGCGTAGACCCTTACCATGTATCCGGCATCGACTACGACGCGACAACCAAGTCTATCCTCATTTCCGCCAATAGCGGAGAACCCTTTGTGACTTCTGGCTCGAACATGACCGGCGGCAACAAAGTCATCCGCTGGGATACCAACACAAACTCGGCCGCGTACACCGTCGACCTGGCAGACTTCACGTCTAAGCTGGCAATCGACAACTCAACCGGCGGAGGATACCAAGACTTTGCAGAGGACAAGGACGGCAACGCCTACGTCCCCTCAGTCTTCCACGTTCCCGCCATCGCCAAGATCACAAAGGCCGGCGAACTCTCAAGCTGGTACATTGGCGAGCCGAGCTCGTCCAGCAAGTACATGTACCTCGGCATCATTTTCCACGAGGCCACCAACAAGCTCGTCATCACCGCGCCCTACCTCGGCACCTTCCTCTCCTTCGACGTCGGCTCCTCCAGCCCGGCACCCACCAACATCAGCATGACCTGGCCCGCGGACGGCTCCTACACCGCCAGCGACCTCGAGTGCGACGGCCTGCTGAACCCGGTCCGCTACAACCGCGATATCCTTCTGTGCTCTGAGAACGGGCTGCAGGCCATCACCCTCTGGGCCTCCAAGGATGGCTTCGAGTCGGTTCAGTACATCGGCAAGGTTATGGACAACTCGACAACTGATATTGCGACGTGGGCGTCGCCGACTGCTACTGTGCAGATTGGCAACAGTATTTACATCTCGCACGAGTATTTCCACGATCTCAATGAGTTTGATGTTGCGGGAAACCGTTCTACATTCCCGTTTGTGGATGCCACTGCCGACTTTGATAAGCTGGTTTTGGCTGCTGGCTTCAATGTCACGGACTGCTGAAATAAAAGCAAGGATATTATTTGTAGTAATTTAACAAAAGCACAGTACTGTTGATGAGAAACTTAATCCATTATGCCCATGTGCCTATGAACTTGTGCGCTGTCGGTTGTCCCTAGAGTGAACTATGTGTTGACGGATCAACGGGGTGGCCAGAGGAGAGCCAAATTATTCTATCAGCGATATATCCCATCAATTGCTGGATGACGTCAATACATGTATTCAAAATCTCATAGAAGTCCATAACGAACTCAAAATGAACTGAATTCTAAGTCCTTTAGATCTGTCAATAAATAAGTTCGAGATGGAGCAAAATTAGAGAAATACTGGAAATAGATGAATTGACGCCATCTAGCAGACAATGGGATACAGTGGCCTCAAGAGCGATGCATGCAACTCGCCACTCTAAATTTGCCCTCTTCTCGACATGTTCGCAATCAGTATGTCACACCACCGCTCAGCTTCATCTCTTCGGCCAGCCGAACGATAGAGGTCGATAAGGTTTCGGATGGCTCTCAACGATTGGTGCTTGTCTTGTCTCTGAAAATGCTCTGCTGCATGTTCGTATGCCTTGCACCCATATGCGACAGCCTCGTCAACTGAACCAGTCTGATAGCATAGCCGAGCCATGACTTCGTAGTGAGAGAGCTCTAATAAAAGCCACGGTCTTTCAGGATTTCCTTCGTTGTCCCGTGCCTGAACCATAGAGTGTGCGCGCGCCAGTGCTTCCTTCGCCAGATCATACTCTTGCCCCCATGAATAAATCCCGGCTACAACCGAGAGACATTCGCATGAGTTTTGGTAATTACCCTCTGCCCAGTGCGCTTCACTAGCTGCAGTGTACTTGGATAAGAGCTCGCTAAACTGGCTTACGTCTGTCTCACCCGGTTTGTCGAGAATGGTTGACGTCGAGCCGAGGGCCATTGCTACCACCCTGTTCAGGATCCCCTGTTGCCCTTTGAGGAGCTGGATGCTACTACCAGCCATCATGCTGAGAGTGGTAGCACGAAGTTCAAGTGACAGACACTTGAACCTGCCCCACACAAGAGCAAGGGGATGCTGAGGGCCTAATATCGTCTCGTGCATTCTGTGGATAAAAGCAACTAATGTATCGAATATCCTAGGCCCAAGCTGCACGGTGCGGTATGCCAAGATGTAAAAGAGGAGAGGATCTTGCTCTTTGATCGAGTATGCCAGCGAGTCCAGGCTGTTGTTCAGAGCGCAGAATGCGGCCTTTGGCTTGTTCGACCATAATAAGGTGATTGCATTATCCAGATCGGTGCGCATTTCAATGACTCGCAGCTGGCTGAATTCATCGTCGAACCCGTGCATCTTGTTTTCTTCTATTGCCCACCCGCCTTCCAGACCCCCTTCAAAATAGCCCCTGAAGATTCGTAGCATTTCTTCAGGTAGCCGTATTTCAGGGGGTCCTCCTATGAAAGCGGGCAGGACAAGTGACGGAGAGGGTGTCCGGCATATTATGTCAAGGGCCGTATTGGCTGGTGTTTGGGTGGAAGTACGAAGCTTGTGGCGCAAGTCGGGGCGTCTGTCTAGATAGCGAGCAACTCTCTCCCATTGAACTCTCTGGTTTCGGATATAAAACTCCGATTCCTTTCCCATGGCCTCACGCTCCCGCTTGAGCTGGGCTATGTGCAAAGCTTCAAACTCCTTGAGCTTCTTCTCTACTCCCCAACTGCGAAGTCGAGTCTTGAACATTCTCTCGCTTCGGTTATCGTTAGCTTCCCACTAGGTACATAAAAGTTATACAGCGCTTTCAGGCGTAGCTCACGTGGCATGGACGCTGTAATCACGTTCCATAATCTGTTTAACTTGCTTCAAGGGTCTCTTATCGTCCTGGTATAGTTTGGTGATAATAGAACGGTGGCAGTCCCAGACTTCCTCTGTGGCGTAAGTCTTCCTAGTGACTAGGGGTGCCCCGGCGTCGCGTGAAGTATTCATAGCGTGGTAGACAGGCCAATGATTTTTGAGTGACTCGATAGTAGGTGCGATTTAAGCACAGTGCTTTCTTGACGGAACTCAATGGCCTTCGCTCGGTGCTCGGGAAGGGTGTGGACAGGGACCAGTCGTAGAATCGCTCCCTTGGCAGGGAAAGGTTGTCTTGGCGCTATGGAAGTTACTAAGGGCTAATTGTGCGCCTCTTCGGTAGCCAGGGACAAAAAGACTTCGCAGATCTGGCACAAAGGGGCAGTGGAAGTCGAACGGTTATCAATCAATTGGGGCATGTCACCATTGGTCGTGTATCTGGTCACATTAGGCGCAATTCTGCATGGCGGGGCTTCATCCTGGTTACTTCCAGGTTGTATCGCTCCATATGATACCGGCGGGAACCCACTCGGCCCGAGTTGTGAACCTCCAGTTGGTATTCCTCCGCAATCTGGATGATCAGTTCTCAGGTGAATGCACGTTTCAATAAGAGACGATAATACCGGTAAAACGGCGTTTATTGCTCTCTGGAGGGGCCTTTTCCAAAGTGCGTGTAGACTTTGCTCTACCTTCAATCATGATTTCGTTTTCTTGAGACGGGCAGGCTTCTGTACCTATCTCGGCATCCCTGTAACCAACACAACATCCCCGACTTCAGGCGGTTGTTCCATCACCCTTCCAACTGCGGCACATTTCATTGGTTTAAGACAAAAAGACTTCGCATTGATAAGTGGGACTCGGATATAGACCCCGGTAATACACGTTTATCCCAAGTCCAAATCGGTAGTTTGTTATTATCTGCTAGCCTGGATTGGTCACTTACAAGAAAGATCTTGGACTGCAGCTTGCTTCTGCGGATGTGAACCCTCTCACCCGAAGGACCTTTCAAAATCTTAATTTGGGATTAAGGCAGGCTGTTCTCGCAAAAGCTGACGTGAGAAAAATTATCTGGCTTGCCGCATGCATTATGCCCTCGTCTACTGTGGGCGAGTTAGTATCAAAGCCTTGTCCTTCTCCACGGTGTGCCGCTTGTGGTCCCAAGATACCCCAGCCTGCTTATCGAAACCAAACCGTTGATACGCTACTATTCCCGGAAGCATGAAATGCCTCAGGAAATTGGGACGCAAGTACTCAGCTGTGTCGATCTTACTCCCGGGAGAGGCACTTCTGATGCAAAACGGCCGACAATGGCGAGCCTGATTGTAATGAAGGTAAGGTTGCAAAGTAACTTTATCACCAATCCCTGAAGCTTCGCTTGATCTAGTCCGATCAAGATGGACATATGACACCCTGCTGATCACGCGGTTTCAATAAAGGGCTAGACAAAAGGCACAGGCAGAGCCAAGAAAGGCTGCCTCTTTTTGAAGCGGAAATCCCAGATGTGTCGAGCCTGATCATCAGGGTGCAAGATTTCAAATCACTCAGGGAGGAAAATCTTGGCTTAGGGTGTCACATAATTCTCAGACGAAGCCTTTCCTCATCCTCTCAGACTTCTGTTCTTTCCTTTGAACAATCTGTCAACTTGTCACTGCGCACACATAAAGATATTACAGCATCTGTCGCGACCTACGCCCTGTTGGAAATGGCTGGCACGCAGGCTTACAGCACACTTGAGGTAGACCCTCGTCGACCGGAGGCCGGCCTCGAGGTACACCATGTTCATGGGACGGATGCGTGGAACACCGAAGGTCATTATCTTCAGCCAGTTTCGGACATACACCAGAAGCTGGATGAACACAATTACGACCAACCCTTCCCCCAGCAACAAGGCGACTCGACAGCCAAATCTGAGCGGATTGGTACCATTTGTGGCCTTTCGCGGCGCGTATTCATCATCACACTGGTAGCCAGCCTGGTGATACTCATCGGCGCCATCGCTGGTGGTGTTGCTGGAGGTTTGCGTAGCCGTCAGCATACGACAACAAGTCAGAATTCTACAAGCTGCATCCTCAGCACATCGCGATTGGCAGCGGCGAACCGAACAATCGACGGAGTGAATCAGAGAAATGTTTTCTTCCAAGATGTGTATGGCGCGCTGATAGTAGCGAGCCTGAACGAACCTTCAACAGATTGGTTTACGACCAACCTGACGGATAAGTTCAAATCTTCCGACGGCCCCGATGATTGGCCAGTCAGCATTCGTCCCGGGTCCCCAATGACAGCGCTAGCCTGCCAAGATTATGATTGTGGCGAAACCAGATTATTCTATCTTACGCCCGACAACATTATACGCGACATTAAGGATGGCGGCGAGGAGGGCCGTGATGGTTGGAGTTCTGGCGGGTTGGTGTGGGCTGCTGGATTGAGCGCTTCACCGAAGTCACAACTTGCAGTAACATTGAGACAAATCGCAAATTCAACTGGTCCTACAAAAGTCAGTCGAATCATAGCTTATCAGGCAAAGGGTGGCAGGATTTTTGTTGCCAATGATATCGACCATTACACAACCTCAAAGGGACTAGATGGGATTCTAGAAGCAACGACCAACGCAGATTTGGCCATGGTTACGCAGTTCAGTGGCAAAGTGCTCGACCAAGTCACTTTGGTAGCAAGCGGCCCAGGAAATTCCAGCATGATCGAAGCAAAGTATGATGGCGAAACCGATGTTTGGAGTAAAAGTAAGCGAGAAAAATCTCAACGCTGTTCGCGAGACTTCAAATTGACTCATCCATACCAGCAGAGCCTGTTATCCTCGATAGCATTCCACAATCCGATGATTCATCCTCAATAGCAACACAGCAATTTGCTGTCACGATGCGGAACAATTATCTGGACAGCGTGTACTTGGCCCTCAGTTCCGACGGAACCATCAGTGGTCGGATAATGGGACAGAAAAATGAGTTGTTGAGTAATATCACTCTTGAAACGTCTGAAGGGGAGTTGGCAAAGTTCTCGGCCATTGCGACGACTTTGAATGGGTATCTCTACGGCATTGTCAACAACACCATACGCGAGTACTTGTTTGACACATCCGATGCATCTATCCTACATCTCAACAGGATTGTCTATAATACAACAGACTGTACATGATCATCTGCGAGGAACTATCAAGATATTTCTACTTGTAGATTGGGGTTTAGCCCTGAAGGGGCTGGAGAAGATTTCATGCTTGATTTTAGGCGAGCTGTTTTTCCATCAACTGTGAGATGGCCATCATGGCGTCACATACATAGGTAGGTACTTATATACGTACTGTTATAAGAGAAAGATTTATAAATCGATCCGGTCCCATTTCAATTACATGCGCCTATGAGGAGTATCAGAATGATGCAGAATTAGAGAAAGACTGGAGACGGATGTACTGACGCCGTCCAGCAGTTGATGAGATGTGGAAGTGAGTCGAGCATGTTTAGAGTATGTTGCTAGACGGTAGAGACAACAAGACTCTGGGAAAGTTTGTGCACTAGTTGATGACATTACGAGTTTACTGGAGTCAGACATGAGACGAGTATTGCGGCGCTTGCATTCTGCGAGATGCTTGTAGTATTCAAAACCGCCAACCGCTGCGCTTCAGCTCATTGATCATGGGCCATTCCCACTTCATATCAAGCTGTAAAAACCGACTTCATCCGCCTCCAGCACTCGCTCTTCACAGCGGTATGCTCATCAGTCGTCCTCAACACCGCATCGCGGTTCTCCACAGCCCTGCGAAGTAAGTACGCCAAGCACTCGCTCATAGTGCCCCAAGTAGAGCACTTGAACACAGCAGGACTCTCCATACCCTCGCTCTTCGTCTGTAGCAACGAGAAGCTGACTTGATCCGACATGCCGTGGAGCTGGCCAAACGAGATCGGGACAGTGGGCATGCCGTTCTTGACATGGTCTTGGTGTAGCTTCAACGAGGCGAAGAGGCTCTCCTTGTTGTGACTTGCTAGGAACAGATCGACTGACGGAAAGGCCTTTGATGTGCCAAACTCGCCGATGCTGCGCTTCACGGCCCCCTGAGAGATGTAGTTGTACGCGTGGTCGGTGTCCTCCTTTGTGTCGTGGATCATTGATCTGTTGTCAGAGAGAATATAGGCGCCCCTAACAAGCTTGAGTCCGAGGGTGAAACCGTCCTTAGCAGCTTCAGTAAGGTGGTTTGTGATGTTATCGGGTGTGTGCTTGAGGTAGGCCTGGTAAGTGTTGTAGATAGATGCAACTCCATCCGTGTTGAAGCGACGCATGAGCTCGAGCGTCACTCTGTCGATGGTCTTCTGGAAGTGAGTTGATTCGGCGTCGACAATGATCTTAATGCCGCGTTGCTTGCATATCGTCGCAATCTCAGTCAGTGCGTCTCGCATTTGCTGTGGCGGTAGCTCATTGTTTGCGAATGAGGTAGTAACGGCACGGCCGGCACCAGTCAATCTGGGATGTTGTTAGTAAGTTTATCTTGAATGCTCATGGGCGTGTCTTACTTGATGGCGAGATAGTCACCCCCCTCAATCTGAGCAGCAGTCTCAAGGGTACCTTTCTTCCACGACTCAATATCCTCATCAAACCCGTCCGCCGACGCACCAACAAGCTTCCCATGCTCAACAGAAGACTGCGTCAAGTGATCAAACACAGTCTCCTTAGCATACGTAAGAATCACCCCCCTGAAACCCAAATCCTTGAGACTCTGAACACACGCCTTTGTCTCCTGCGCCGTCTCACCAGTACAAAACTGATCATAAAATGTCTTTCGCAAAATCTTGTGCAAGACGGGGTTGCGGTCGACGTCAAAGAAGATCGTCCGGCCCGGCTTGGCGAGGAAAGATAAGGTTTTGAGTGCGGGGATGAGGAGGAAGCGGTTGGAGGAGATTGTGGTGACGAGGAGAGACCGTAGGAGCGTGCCTGTTGGCATGCCGGACAACGGGAACCCATCGACGGGCTTCCTCTTTGTCTTTGTCGTTGTCGGAGCTGGCTTCAATATCAAGGGAGCTGTGTCGTTTATTGCGGCGTGTGGTGAGTTGGCGGCGCCGAGGGACTGTCTTGGCTTTGTTGGCTTGCCGTAGGCGCGCTTATCCGATCTGACGGCTATCGTGGTACCCCACGGCCGCCTGGCGGCAAAGAGTCCCAAAGAGGACTTCATTTTCTTTGGCGCAGGGGCAATGTTGTGTCTCTTGTTATGGTGTGCTGGGGGATATGACGGTTGCAGGGTTGTGAAGAGAGTACTTTGAGTTGTGAAGAGATACGCTGATGGAATTGGTAGATATGGGGAGATGGCATATGGGTTGCTCTTCATAAATGCCCAACCTCTATCGCACCGGATCGTGCCGTTTCGGAGCTATGCCCATCCAAACACCACCGCAACTGGTCTAGTATACGTCCGATACCCGGAAGTAGATGCATGGTGATCCCAGTGGACGAGCGATCACGCTTCAGTCTTAGACATCCATGGCGGAGAGAGTGATTCGCTGTCAGTTCAGAAACTCTATGCTCATCCGCAAATTCGGGCGTCCTGAACTCTGGACGGCACAACGGCATCAAAGCCAACTGGCTATCGGATAAGTGTGTCGTCGCTGGCCGTGGGCCGCAGAAGCGGGCGTAGATAAGCTACGGCTCGTCCGTGAGGGGAAGCGCACGTGGCGTAGGTTGCTATTACTCCATCCGGGAAGCACTCAGTAGGAGGGACCGGAGACGACTCCGTATCGGACCCACTTACCGGGCACCCCTCCGATACGACCCCACCATCTTTCAACATCACCCCGACGTCTCTTATCTGGTCCCCCGCCTTCCCCTTTTATCATTCTCGGGGCATTGTACTTGATCTGCCGGGATTACATCTTATCTTCATCACGGATTCAAACCGGGCCGAAAAAGTTGCAACCTGTTCGTGGTTTTGATGTGCGCATTGCTCATCACCAACATCAACCCACTGTAACACGATACACACATCGCCAAGCTTGATTTGTCGAACTCGTCTATGTTACCTTCGAATTGGTTCTGCATCTGAAATGACTTCGCGGGGAAGTTTGGAGGTATAGGGAGAGAGCTCTATGATGTAGCAGCTTCAAGTCAAGTATTTCCATCGATAAAGACTCAACACCCGTCGTAAACCCGCGCCCCCGGTGACGTCGATCCCAACTCACCAACAGTCGATAAGTATCTGCACAGCAACGCTCTGATACCAGCATCCTGAAAATTCCCAGGGATTCTGATAAGGATGGTATTGCTTGCACGCCATTCGAGAATGGGGGTTGACGCAGTTCAGGGGCGTGAAATCGCGTACGAAGATAAAGTCGCATACGTTCAGGCGATTTTTAAATTACTTTAAACGGATGAAACCCGCGTATATTCTGGGACCTTGAAATGATGTAGATCAATTGAGTCTGAACACGGATACCACTTGCCCATTTTCCAGAATGACTGTAGAAGAGAAGAAACTCGACGTCGCCAGCGAAGCGGCCGTCCAGCCCACGTCTAGCAATGACGAGGGGGAGAGTGAGCCACAGACCCGGCAGTTGTCGAGGGCCCTAAAGGGTCGGCATATGCAGATGATTGCGATTGGTATGTCACTCGTCTCATACAACACCCAGAATCTGACTGGATGCTCTCCTCTCAGGAGGTTCTATCGGTGCAGGTCTTTTCGTCGGAACTGGAGGCGCTTTGAGGACAGGAGGTCCAGCTGCTCTGGTAAGTATCTCAACATCAACATTGTTAATTAATCCATTTGAGGTAGGGCTAAAAGGACAACAGCTTATAGGTTTCATCATCATTGGTTGTATGATGATGTGTACCGTTCAAGCTCTCGGAGAACTTGCAATCATCTACCCAGTCAACGGAGCCTTTTACGAATACGCTGTTCGCTTCATCGACCCAGCTTGGTAAGTTTCCTAGCTTAACAGAGAGGCCCAAGCCGATGTCTCACACCTTCCTCAGGGGCTTTGCCATGGGCTGGGAGTACTCCATCGGATGGATGGTCACCCTCCCCTTTGAAATCACAGCCGCCGGCATCACAATCGAGTTCTGGAAGAGTAGAGATGAAGTCAACCCCGGGGTGTGGTGCGCCGTCTTCATGTCTCTCTTGATCATCATCCAAGTATTTGGAGTCCGTGGATACGGCGAAGGGAAGTTCCCCTCACTTCAAAAGACTTGGAAATCCTTCTCTCTAACTAACTCTGAATGCAGTCGAATTCATCCTAGCCATCGTTAAGATCATCGCCTGCATCGGCTTCATCATCCTCGGCATCATAATCAACGCCGGAGGCGTACCCACAGACCCGAGGGGCTACATCGGCGCGCAATACTGGCACGATCCAGGCGCTTTCAGAAACGGATTCCAGGGGTTCTGCTCCGTCTTTGTGACCGCGGGTGAGACCCCATTCCCAACTCTATATCCTCCCAACCCAGTTCAAAGGGTGCAAGTCATCAGCTTCCGGGAACCTACCAGAACTGACAATTATCCTAGCCTTCTCCTTTGGCGGTACCGAAATGGTAGGCCTCGCCGCCGCCGAAGCCACAAACCCGCGCAGAACCCTCCCGAAAGCCACCCGCCAAGTCTTCTGGCGCATCACCCTCTTCTACATCCTCAACATCTTCATCATGGGCCTCATCGTTCCCTCGGACAGCGACGTCCTTCTCGGCGCCAGCGGCGCAAATACAAAGGCGTCCCCCTTTGTCCTGGCTGTCCAGCTTGCAGGAATCCAAATCCTTCCTCACATCATCAACGGGGGTACGTCCTAACCCCTGTCTCTTCCTCTCCAACTACCTCCCTCAGTTGTACCGCCGTGTTCGTACCTGACACTTCAAACAGTAATCACCTGCGCCGTCATCTCCGTCGCAAACAGCTGCACCTATGGCTCAACCCGCGTCCTCCAAGCCCTCGCCCAATCAGGCCGCGCCCCCGCCATCTTTGCCAAAATCGACAAGTCCGGCCGGCCTATCTACTGCGTCGCGCTCCAAGTCGCCTTCGGCTTCATCTCCTTCATCACCGTCGCCGCCGACAGCAAGACCGTCTTCAACTGGCTGCTCGCCGTCACGGGCCTCTCGGGCCAGTTTGCATACGCGAGCATCATGATTGCGCACATTCGGTTTCGCAAGGCGTGGAGGATGCAAGGGAGGAGTCTGGAGGAGATTCCGTGGAGGTCTGCGTTGGGGGTGGTGGGGAGTTATGTTGGTGTGTTTTTGGTTTGTTGTTCGCTTGCTGCGACGTTTTATTCTTCTCTCTTTGTAAGTCCCCTGTCTCCGCTTTTACAACTTGGGTAGTTCCCTTGCTAATTCTCGATAGCCTGTCGGAGGAAAGCCGAGCGCAGAATCATTCTTTCAGGGATACTTGGCTGCTCCTATCACCATCTCTCTCTTCTTGTTCTGGAAGGTCTATACTAAAGATTGGGGATTCGGTGTCGACTTGCACAGCGTTGATCTTGATATGGGAAGATGACCTGAGGAGGAGCTTGACGATGTCTACGAAGGGATGGAGAAGAAGACGAGCATGTGGAAGCGGGGCTTGTCGGTCATCTTTTAGGTTCAGTCAATGGTCCCCCACGATGATGTTCTAGAACTTCCACATCCTGGAAGGCTGGCTGGAACTTGGCTCAGGAACACTGATGCCTGAATTTGGAACAATGGCACAGCAATGAATATATATGTTCTTTGTATGAGCACAAACCTCGGCCCGTGCTCTGCTATAGGTGACCGCATGTGATTTCCCTTCCAGGGATCTGAGCGGCTTCATCGATAGGTGGCTCTGGAATCTAGAGGAGTTTGCTTTGCGCATCTGAGTGACTGAGTCTTCCTGCTTACAGCCTTGTCCTGACTCCAAAGTCCGACAAGTGCTGGTGGTGCTCAGACTGTCCCTATGCCAAACGACTGCCCAACAAAGGCTGTCATCCTTCTGAACCATTATCTGTCCGTGAGGCTTCTCCCACTTTCATATCCTGGATATGTTCTGTAACAGATGTGACTGTATCGCCGTCGAGATGATTGACCGTTGGGTGATGTTGATGATTGGCCAAGATCCTCAGTTTAACTGCAAGGGCCGTTCATCCGGACGGACTCATACTTCTTTCAAGAATGGCTCGAGCATCCACCTTCAGTGATAGAATCGTGAGAAAGGATCGCCTCATTTCTTGTGCTTGAGCAGACAGTGACGGCCCCACTTCCGCTTAAACTGCTCTGGGACAAACGGAAGGTTGGGCACGTAGAGGGCTCTGGCCAGAACAGGGGTGTTCTCTGCATCCAAGAAGGGGATACATTTGACAATCTCCCAGTTCTCCTCATCGGCGATGTAGTCAGGCTCGTTCGGAGGCAGGGGTGCAGTTCGTTCAGGGTACTGTGTGTCAACCATGAAACCACAGAATCGCTGGTCAACGTACTTGCCCATGTCCTCTTCATTTCTGTCGTTCATGCCATTTGTGGGCATCCAGGTACCGCTCCAGAAACCGAATCCAGTGCGAGCCTCAGAGAATTCACCAGGGAGCAGACCCCTGAACTCGGAGCGAACAAACTTTGCGTGCATATCGCGAGGCAGGAAGTAAGATGACGGGAAGCGATACCACTCCTTGCCGAAGCAGACGTTGTCGCCACGTACACCGAGGCCTTCTTGGCCACTGACACCAGCTCCAAGGGGTTTGTAAAGACTCAGCGGGGCGGAGTAGGCAGACCAAATGCCGTACACTCTAGACAGACTGATATCGAAGGACAGAAGCAGGGTAATCGTGACCAAGGATAGCTTGAGCTTGGCGGGGATCTTGCCAACGAGGGTCTTTGGATCGGAGTTGCCGAGTGCGGTGAGAACAATGTGCAGAGACATGGCTGCGTTCAGGGCAAGGAAGGGGTACGCAGGGTACATGAATCGCTCTTCCTTGTGAGGCTGAAGGGTGAAAATGCCGAGCCACAGGTAGAAAGGCGAGATGAAGACCAGTGCACGGAGGCCGGTTTGGAATCCCTGGCCAGAAGGGGAGATGATCTTCTGCAGCAAGAACAGAGGAAGGCAGACGAGCGCAAGCACGAACCAGATGTTGAAGTTCAGGGTCAGGTTACGAAAGTAAAAGGTCCAAGGTTCTGTGCCGTACAGTTCAGGCCCGCCGGATTCCGAGAAGATGTTGTACTTGACAATGTTCCAAGCTGCGACCTCGATTTTTTTGTAGAAAAAAGTGTTGATAACGCCGTCGAAGAACTAGCTAGCATTAGACTTTGGTTATTCCCAAAGGAACGAGTAGAAGGACTTACAAGAACGATGAGGCCCGCAACGACACCCCTCACCACACGCATGATAGCTTCGAGCAAGCGGTCCGTATCACTCAAGGCAGCGAAAAGAGCCTCCTCGATGAGGAATGGTGTGCAGAGTGCTGCGGCAAAGGGCCATCCCACGACCGCACCAACAGCAAACCAAAAGATGCCTTGAGCGGTCTTGAGACCACCCCGCCAGTTCATGAAGGACGAAGCACCCAGCATAGCCATGTACATGGCAAAGCTGGAGGGCAGGTACGCAGTGCTTGCATGAAAGTTTCCAGGGCTGAAGACGGTGGCCAGGATGAAAAACAGACCGATGCGCGCGTTGAGAGTGAGGCTAATGACACGGAAGAGAAGGGTCTGGCACAGGGCGCAGCTGAAAGCGAGTACGTAGCGGATGAAGAAGAACTCTCCGACCTGGTTATGGTCAGCAATTGGTCGCATATGATATCCCGTAGTGCCACGATGTACTTGCCTTGGTGGACTGTGGCATCAATCGGCGGATATTTCCAACCACGGCATGCAGAGCAACGTAGAGCCAGCTGCGGATGGCATAGGTGGGGGAATACTCCCACGTCTGCAAGCCATATCCGTGGGACAGGTAATGGGTCGGTTCATAGTAGTTGAATGTTTCATCGCAGTCTTGGATCGGAGCGTAGAGGGCAGAGATGATGTTGGCAACCAGGAAGCAGTAGAATGCCGTGATGGGCTCGATAGCGAAAGCGCTGGGGGGCCTGTTGAGAGTTGCTGTTAGTGGAGGGGTCTTGCCTAGTTTCCATGAAAACAGAGGCAAAGAAAGTGCGATAACTTACTTCTTTCGAGCATGTCCAGCTTCTGGATGGACAAACTCCCTTGGTCGAGGGGCTGCTTTGGGGGGCATCGTGGCTGATTGTGGTGTTGAGCAGTGCGCAAATCAACACGGCCGTCTGGTCGATGGACTGAGGTGAAGCCACGAAGCTGCAGCCCTCAACATTTCGAAAAGCTCGGGAGCTTGTAACGCCACAGCTTCCCCAAATGAGCAGGGGTTCTGGGGGCAGTAAGTGACATGGATATTAGCACTGTCCAAGAAGGTGTTGGTAAGCGGAGTATGTACAGTGTATGTAAGCAGGCGAAAAGCGGAGAATTGTCATTGGCCAAAGCTTTGTGGATTCGACGGAGCTACCGCCTGCAGCTGCCGCACAGACCAGGCGTGATGATGACGAAAAGAAACAAGCCGAAGATTGTGGCTTGACACCAGGCCAGGAAAGTCCGGAGCTAGCGCCAGGTGGTGATGAAAGAGTCTCGACACTCGAGTCTCCCGTCCAAGGCACAGCTGCGTCCTAAAGTTGACACGTAGGAAGGTAGGTAGGTATCTAGGGGATGGGGAATTTCGTACTGTTGGTGTCATAGTATCCCTGCCACATTTGTTCGTCATTGGAGGGAGCTCTGGCCATATCATTCCATTTTCTAATTATCGACCGCACATTGAGCGCAGAGACATGCGTGTACCACCAAGACGGCTCTCCCTTCTGCATTGCATGCACATGCTTTTTAGTGGCCTGGTGTTTGCTGATACTTCCTGCTTGAGCACGGATTTCCTCCCGTCGTCTCATCTTCACACTGACCTGACGGTTGGGTTCTCGCGGTCAGATCTTTCTCCTGTGCCGCCGTTGAAGACGGACGCGAAATTCCAAAACACTCGAAATGAAAAGAAACATTGAGCCTCTTTACATATGAGTGGCAGCGCTGATTCGCCATATCCTGTGTGTGACGTTGGGATGAGACGGGAATCAAAAGCCAGAGGGCCCTGTCTTTGCCTGCCTGTCATTTAAAATTTGGAGCAAATCCCACTCCCTCGCCCATGGCCGGAGTGCAGATCTGCCGCTTCTATGCCCAGGACCCTAGACTGGAATTTGGGGAATTTCGGATAGGTAGGATTCAAGAAACGAACCTACGGAAACGCAATACTGCGGAGTATTCGTAGCCACACAGAAAATAAGAACAGAAAATAAAATGAAAAAGAGGGACCAGCGACGGCAAGCAAAGAGGGAACCGACCAAAGGGAAGCACGAAGAAGGAAGCAGTGACGCACTGACGCACTGACCACCGCTTTCCTCAGCTGGTCTAGGCTCCATCTTCCCTCCACCCCCTCCGTCCAGCCACTCCAGTCCCCGCCGCCGCATCACTTCAACTTCTTGCGCATTCTGGCCAGCTTTCCCCAAAGTCAACCCAGCATCTGCATCTCCAAGAAAGTCCTCACACGACACAAAAACCACCAGCTCACCGTCGCAGCTTGCTTCTCTCCTACGACATAGCTATAAAGTACCAATTTCGACCGCTGTATCGATTATTCCACATACATCTGTTCCGCCCTTGAGAGCCGCTGCACTCAGAACACATCACGATGGCTCCCCCTCCGCCTGCCAACGTCCCTTTGACCCAGAGGCTTTTGCTTCTGGCCCAAACCCTGCAATGTACGTTGAATCCCGTCTTTTGCCTGTATGTCTCTGTCGTTGCAAATGGTTGCTAACAAATCTGGCAACAGTCGCTTGGTTCGCCGGGTATGTACAGACTATCCTCGTTTGACGCCTTGCCCCTCCCTGCAACCCGACGACCCGAGATACGCGGGTGGATATGCCCGATGGGCTTCCAATCAAGGATATTTATACGTGTTCTACCAGGCATTTACTGACAACTTGCTGCAGACACTTGTCGCTGATTTTCGCCGTTATCCGTTATGGCTTCTCCTACATCTCCTTCAACTACTACAGCCGTGTCGCCCGTTTCAGCTACAGACTCACCTTTTTGTCTGCTGCTCTGACCTACGGTATCGTCGTCTACAAGACTCTCCGCGCACGCAGCAAGGCTGGAGCCAAGGCTCCCCAGAGCCCTCTGGCCCTGATTGCCGATGAGAACGTTCAGTACCTTGGTGAGCTGCATCCTTGCCTTTTGATTGTGGGGGAATCGCTTCTTACTAACCCTGCGACCCCAGTCATGTCCCTGGTGTGGCTTCTGTCCCCCCAGTACCCCCTGGCCATGCTCCCTTACGCCATCTACTCGATCTTCCACGTCGCAACTTACACGCGCGCCAACGTGATCCCCACCATCACTCCTCCCAAGCCCGTCACGCCCGCTGCTGGTGCTTCCCCTAGCGGCAAGGCCCAGTATGCGAACAACCCGATCGCCGACAAGATTGGTGCCTTCGTCAAGGAGTACTACGATGCCTCCATGTCTGTCGTGTCCTCGCTCGAGATCCTTCTCTGGGTTCGCCTCCTTCTCTCTGCCATCACCTTTCAGCGCCGCTCCTGGATCTTGATTGCCATCTACACTGCGTTCCTCCGCGCTCGCTTCACTCAGAGCACCCACGTCCAGAACTCGCTCGCTCTTCTCGAGTCTCGTGTCGACTCCGCTGTCGGTAACCAGGGCACTCCCCCTGCCGCCCGCCAGGCTTGGGAGACTGTCAAGGGAGGTGCGCGCCAATTCTACGCCTATACTGATCCCAACCGCTACCTCAGCGGCACCACCGTCCCCAAGAAGACCTCGTAAAGCATTGACGAGATAGGCAAAACGATTCAAAGCCACGAATGCCTTCAAGGGTGTAATATCGCAAGCCTTACTCGAGATGAGGCTGTTTGTCTAGCGACTCCGCCGTTGCGACGAGTCAGGTTGTAAGCCAACCACGATAAGAGTGTTTCTCGGCAGGGGATGAAGAAAGGAAGAAATTTATAAGGAGAGTATACGGTCGCAAAGGAAAAGAAATGAGCGGGAGGTTTTATGGCCGGCCAAGGTTCACACGGTGTTTCGCCGGTAATTCAGGTTATTGTAGTGTAGGCGAGTTTGGGGCCTGGACGTTACCGGGTTGCTCTCTGCATCGCACGATGATTTCAGGTTTCCCGATTGCTCATTGGCTCCGGCCTTTGTTTGTTAGTTTTTGTTTGAGCAGTAAATCCAAATTCGCATGACTACACAATTACTTTCTTCGCTTTCCTTTAGATATTTGCGGTTTCCGTTGTCATCGTCGCTAGAGAAGCCAACAGCTCAAGTCAAGGGCTGAGCACATGCTGCCAAGAAGCCGGCGCGGGCGACGGCACTAGCCACACCCGAAGTGGCGTAGCTCGGCAGCTATTCCCCGGTTCACCCCACCACGAATGACGTCGCCCTCCCTATTCGGAGGCCGACGTCAAGGCTCACTTCCCGCACGCGACCAAGGCGCAGCTACGACACAGCAGACCGTCATGAGGGAGGACGCCTTGGTTGTACTTCCCTGATCGCCCATTTATACTACACGCACTGCAACAGTCCCCTTTTCCTTGGCGCCCGTTCGTCCTAAACCTTGCTGCATCAAGAAGATTTGTCTCCATCATGGCTTCTTTACTTCGTCAGATCGTTGCGGGACCTCGAGCACGGCACGCTGAGTCGGACCTGGACCTTTGCTATGTCACCAACAATATCATTGCAACGTATGAAGTCCTCGGACACCAAAACATCAAGCAACAAAGAAAAAGCTAACTTTCTTTTACGTAGATCGGGTCCATCTGGTACATATCCCCAAAGAGCTTACCGAAACCCGCTCGATCGGCTCGTAACTTTCCTCGACTCGAAGCACAAGGACCAGTGGGCGATATGGGAGTTCCGCGCAGAGGGCACAGGGTACCCGGACGAGGAGGTCTACGGCCGTGTGCGACATTACCCGTGGCCTGATCACCACCCGCCTCCGTTCCGCCTGATTCCCATGATCATGGCCAGCATGCGGAACTGGCTTCAGGGAGGCGATCTCGAGCCAGACAATGTTGCCGTTAGTGCTGCTGGCAAGACTGCCGAGGGTGACGACAAGAGAGTTGTGGTGGTTCACTGCAAGGCTGGCAAGGGCAGGAGTGGAACGGTGTCTTGCAGCTACCTCATCTCCGAATGCGGGTGGAAGCCGGAGGAAGCTCTTACGAGGTTCACGGAGAGGAGAATGCGGCCCAAGTTTGGAGCGGGTATCTCAATTCCTAGCCAACTTCGAACGATTACGTACGTCGACAGGTGGACTCGAGGTGGGAAGAAATATGTTGACCGGGCCATCGAAATCATGGAGGTCCATGTCTGGGGTCTGCGAAGTGGTGTAAAGTTCGACGTCGAAGGTTTCGCGGAGGAGGGGAAGAAGATCAAGGTCTTTCACACTTTCAAGAAGAGTGAGAGGATCGTCGTCCAGGGCGATACACCAAGCGGAGGCGGAGTTGGGTCTATGGTATCCGACCTCGCCAGCGTCAGTGTCAAACCTACGGAGAAGGCTCCCGCCGCGGCGCCTTTGTCGGAACCTACCAACACGAACAATGCAAAGAAGAGCAGCTCAGACAAGGAGGCTTCCGGACCTAAGCAGGATGATGCTACGCCTTCTCGTAGCGAGTCAAAGAAGCTACGCAATGCAAAGACGACATCCTTGATCCACACACCCGAGCCGAGCGCGGCTCAGAAGAGGAGCGATACGGATGCTGCGCTGGCAGAACAGTCGAGCACACCACCCCAAGGGAAGTCAAATGGTGGGGAAGACGGTGAGCCCGGCGGTATGGCCGTCATCCTCAAGCCGACGGAGCCTATTCACATTCCCAATAGCGATGTCAACATCTCTGTGGAGCGTCGTAACCGTACTTCATCCTCAATGGGCCTGACGATGGTGACCGCCGTCGCTCACGTCTGGTTCAACGTCTTCTTTGAGGGCAACGGCCCGGAGCAAGACGGCAAGGCTGACGCCAGCGGTGTCTTTGAAATTAGCTGGGATGCCATGGATGGTATCAAGGGCTCCAGCCGTAAGGGCTCACGGGCCTTTGATAAGATTGCCGTTGTCTGGCGCGTGGCAGACTCGCAGCGGGCTGAAGATGGTGGCGACGAGGTCATTTCACCAACGGCTGGTGAGATCATCAAAGAGCCTTCATCTGGTTCGCCCGTGCCACAGATGAAGGCTGCCGACTGGAAGGGTCATAACAAGGAGGACCCTGTCGCCGAGAAGCACCTCGGGTTGAGAAACGAGAGTCCCGAGAGCGCGGACGTGAGCCGAGCGAGCAGCGTCAAGGATGATGCGGGCGTTCTGAACGGCGGCAAGGATGGTAATGATACAGATTCGATGGAGGGTGTTAAGACTAGTGGTCCGTTTGGGGAGGAGCAGCTTGATGCTGAGGATGTTGACGTGAAGAAGGTTGAGAAGCAGGTTGGGGGAAGCTTGAACAAGCAAGCGGAGGCTGCGGAGCCTGGACCTGAGTTGTTGGACTCTCCTGACACTGCGAGCGGGACGACGGCGATTGGAAGCACCGAGGTGAAGAAGTGAGCCACGCCGCGTGAGTGCTGGCTACGGCGCTTATGTAGAGCGTTGTTGTTTCATGTATGTATATGTAGGGTTATTGATACCATGATGTGGTGGAGAATGGCTATAGACGATTAATTCCATTCATGAACTTGCTCACTGGCTATGTTCTTGCCAACAAAACTCAAATTCGCGGATTCCACGGCTGTGATTTCCCATTCTTGAGGTCCTGCCGTGGATAACTGCCAATTGACTTCTCAGGATGAGGCTGCCCACACCTTCGCTAACTTCCTCGCCGGCGTCTCTCGAGGACCGCAACCGATTCGGCAGTCGCATCCTCCGCAAGGGTACGTCAACCCGCATATCTGCCTCCCCGAGGCTCAACATGATGATCCAGAGGCGGAGAACGAACGAGAAGAGGTTCGACGCAGGCGCGAGTCAGACTAGAAACATGCCACGTCAAGCAGGCTGAGTATCTGTATTACCCCGAAATTGCACTTTCTCTTAGGTATGCAAGTTCGACCAATGATGCCGCGATGTGGACCTTCCTCGACTACGGCTGAACCCCCTCTGTTTTCTCGGGTGACTGCACCTCTTAGCTATGCACTTCTCTTTCCTTTCTTGCTCAAAAGTAGAGCCTGACCTTTACCAAGTTGAGCCCCGTCTCACCCCCCGCTCTCCATCCTGTCACAGTACGGTATTTCTGTCGTGCTTCGACTTCCCACGAGATCACGAGTAACTGAAGATCACCATGGTCCATGGCCAAGGGTCTCGCAGTCTTTGGCGGCGTCGCTGCATCGATGTAGTTGGCGGGGACCGCTGCCAAGGGCCTTATTGATGCAGTCAAGCTCGCCAAGCAACTCCGCGAGATACCGAAGAAGACTGCGATCCAGCTTGAGGACGTCGAGAGATCCACCAATCGCGTTGAATTTCGCTGCTGTGTTTCGTTGAGGAATGAACGCTACAGTCCAACCTTGTTCAATTTCGTAGAAAGTCATTGCATCAAACGCCTAATCTTGTGGATTACTCCGTCTCAGAACGACACCGTTTCTAGATCTTCCTAGAGGCCTAGTCCAACTCTTTGCCAATCTTATCAAACTCGCGACGCCACTCAGCGACCTTCTCGACCTTCTTGAAGGGGTCAAGGTTCATAGCCTCACTGTCGACGTACACGCTCTCTCCAAGAGTGAGCTCGCCTCGGCCGACAAACTTGCCCAGCTCAAAGCTCGCATACTTCGAGCTGGCACTGGAACGGTCGCCATCTTCCCAAACTCCAACCTTGAAAGTTGCACCCGGCCGGAAGAAAAAGCTGGACCCTTTGGCGGCGCCACTCCGCGTTCCACTGTTGACGATCCTTGCCGAAGTGTGGGGTTTGTTGGACTCATCTTCCTTGTGCACCTGGGAGGCATTGTATTCGTTGCCGCTAGCGGATTTTCCGTTGCTGGAGTTTCCCTTCCCGCTGCTGTTGTTGTTCCTGTTCTCGTTGCCGCAGTCACGGCAGTCGGCATCATTTGCGGAACCGTGCCTTTGAGAACCGTAGCCTTGAGAACCATACTCCGGGGCACCGTACCCCTTGGGCTGGGAACCGTTGTCCTTGGTTGACACTGAGAAAGACATGCCAGGAACACCAATTTTGAAGGCTTCTTTGGAAGAAGTGCTCTTGTAGTTCTGCGGCTCGGGCATCTTTCCGCTTTCTTTAGCGGTGTCCCCATGGTAGAAATCTTCTTGAGGAATGATGGCAGCATTCTTGCTGCAGATCTCAATGTTAGTCGGGAATGGCTGCATGGGCGCCTCGCGAACGTCCTCAATGAGAAGCACCAAGGGCTTCTTCCAGATTGAATCATCTATCTTCTTGTAGAAGTTGAGCTTACAGCGGCCGGCAGAAAGCTGCGTGTTGGGTGCTCGGGTGATGACGTGGTCAATATTGGCTTCGTTTGCTGTGGTATGGTGAGCGGACGAACGGAACCCAAATTGACATCGTGACTGTACTTACGAGTCCCGTATAGGTAAAATGGCAAGAAGGTATCCGGATACTTATCGAGACGATACTTCGAGTTCAATGGACGGCTGACGACGGTCTGGCCCAATTGAACACAAACGTCTTGGAGGATGATGCCGCTACAACTGTCAGGGTAATCCATTCCTGGCAAGGTATGTGCCAAAAGGTGTCAGACTGAACTTACGACTCCTTTGTCATGATCTGCCCATCAAAGTGTCCCTTGGCTTCGATGACATCCTTGGCCATTACCTTGCGCTGTGTCACGAGCAGCATCGGCTCGGTCGGGTTTGACTTCTTCAATTCAATGTACTTGGCCTTTGACTTCTCATCAAAGCTCGCGTTGACGATGAGCTGCTGTCGATGGTTTGCCACATGGAACATGGGTAGATGGATCAAGTATATCTCCTCTGTGCCCTGGATGAGGAAGCTATGGAAGTCCGGGGCCGGGGTGTTACGCTTACGAACGGTCTGTAAAAGAATATCAGAAAGTGGAGCAAAGCGAGTGTGAATCGTCAAAGAACAAACCTCAGTCTCCTTCGCAACGATATTATAGAAGATATCGGCGAGCTGATTTGTGAAGTTGCCATCAGTAGGGAAAGGAGACATGACGACGTTTCGCAACACCATCAAGTCTAGGGAACTCTGCTCCAAGCCCAGTCGCTTGACGTAATTCGCCTTGCATTCTCCATACAGCTCGTCAGAGAATTCGGTCGAGGTCAAGAAAAGAGGAATCTTGGTGGGATCATCGTCTGGGCTGTCAACGGAAAGAGCCTCAATGACTCTTTGCATAAGGTAGTTGGCTTCTTCGATATCATCATTCAAACGCCCATCCTCGTATCGGAAGTTCAATGCAAATGCATTGATGTTGAGGTCTGAACCCAAGCTTCTCAGGAGTTTCATGAGCTTTCCGTCATCTGGATTCTCTCTGTCTGCGGCAATGATGGCGGCGTTCGTCTTCTTGACAATGTGTTCCCGGATAAGCGCCTTTTCGGCCTCGATCTTCTCTTCAGTTGGATTTGGCTCAAGTTCAGATGGGAGCATGTTGAAAGGCACGCAGACGAAAGGGCTTTCGGCGTCTGTCAACGCTGCCCATTCCGCAGAGAGCTTAAACGAGTATTAGCATCAGGCACCGAAGGGAAGCACTGCAAACCCCCATAAGGAGCGAGAGCAGTGAGTAAGACTTACCCTGCTGCAAGTCCAAGTGACTTCTCCAAGCAAGGCACCATAGCCCTTTGAATCAAGACCAATTGTCCTGTTGGACAACCATGTCGAGACCGCAGAGGCACCGGGTTTACTGCAATGGATTCACATGGTTATTTTCGTTTCGGTTACTAATGGAACTCTTCGAATAGACTGACCTTCCCTCGACACCGTAAATGCCAATACTGGTGACCGAGCCTCGCGACAAATAAGGACTTGTCCAAGTGACCAAAAATCTCATACGATTGTCACGGTAACAAAGGCCGCCGGCCGGGTAGGGGATGTAGCCCGCTTTATGGGGATCAACGGTGATGGAGTCGGCAAAGCGCATGGCGAACAGATCATCCTGAGTCTGGGCGCGAAGTGTCGCATCCGGCACGAAGCCATCGGCCGCACCCATGTCAGTGGGGAGATTCATGACATCTCCAGGCCGATAGTCCTTAGGCAGCATGGAACAGAAATACCCACCTAGAACGAAGTTAGCGCATCCATTCCCTCAAAGCGCCGAGTTGGAAAAGCTCGGAACACCTACCCCAGGCAGCGTCAGCGTGAACCAGGAAAGACAGTCCTTTGGCTTGGAATTGCTTGCGTAGGGCGAGAACACCACTGAGAGAGTCCACAGCACCCTCTTGAGGAACAGAGTTAGCTTTTTATCAATTCAATCTCCTCAGTCAGCTCTGCCTCACCTTCCGTGGAACCTATGATAGCAACCACTGCATATACGGGCTGTCCTTTGTCGAGACTCTCCTGCAGTTTCTTCTCCAACAAGCCTAAATCCAGACGCGCTCCCGCATCAACTGGGATGCCAATGACATTGTCGGAACCCAAGCCACTAATTGCTGTCATGTTTGAATGCTGTCAGACCTCAATCAGTCCCTTGAAGGAGAGGGGCATGTACTCACCCGCACCCTTGGGCCAAGAGTAGTGTCGGGTGTTCGACAGCATGTACTGGCCTGGTAAATCGATTCCAAACTCTCTTTCTAGCTCATCCTTACCAGTGGATTGAATTGTGAACTTCTTCATCACATCAGAAATGAATGCGTTCGACACCCCATGCTCCTGATAGAGTCGATCAGGGAGATCAAGAATGTCAGATGGCTTCAGGTTGAGCAGATCCCAAGTTGATAGATCAGTGAACAACTTGGTCTCTCCCTTGCAGGTCTCGACTTTAAAGGCCTCCGACAAGAAGTTGAGTGCCTCACCATTTCCAAAGGCCTTGCGAAGCGAAAGGGGATAGAACTTCAGGTTACGAGCTGAGAAGGTATGAGTACTCGACATCATAAGGTATAAGGTAACACATACCAACCCTGAAAACCAATTGTTAGTGCATGACAGTATTTGGAGGACTCAAGTATCCTACCACATGGATTCCAGATTGGCAACGGTGCCGTCACAAGTGACATGGCCCCAGGAAGTAGGAGCTTCGGTATTGTCCTCATTGATGTTGTAGCCGAAGAGATCACATAGCTGCTCGCCTACTTCAATCTCTGCCAAGGTCGATAGCGGACTGGCTTCGAACGCGACGTTGTTTGGATTGTAAAGCATCGTCATGAAGTATCCCAGCATTGAAGCCATGCTCAGGTCAGTGCACCTAAGTTGATCAGTTCAAGAACAGCATGATGATATAAGAAAAGCACTTACATGTGAGCTTCATAGCGAGGGGACCAGAATGGTATGCTAGACTTGCCCAAAATGTTGGAGGCCATTTGAACGGCATTCTTGAGCTTGTCCATGGAATTGCGGAAAGCAGGCGTGTTCTGTGTCTGCTCATCGATGAAAATCTACTCTGTATGAGCACAAAGACCGTTTGGAAATTAGTGCGGGTTGAAATTTCATGAAACATACTCCATCTTCAGGGTAGTAATTCTTTCGCGCAGCCTCAAGCTCATCCAAGATAAGATTGATGTTTTTCCTGAAATAAGGAAGGTTCTCAGCTTGAGGACCAATGAAGTATGATGAAATTATCTGATGAGACTCATCCTCATAAGTGGCCTTGGTATTGTAGGCTGTATTCTTGGAAGCCATGATGGGATAGCAGGAGTTGGATGGTCGATAGCTTTCAGTGGTGAGCTGCGTGCAGTTTTTTCGCAAATTACGGCAAGAGTAGTAGTCTTATAAATACATTTCGGTTCCAATTCTCCCCAGTACCTAGCTGTCTCATAACTCTCACAATAACCTCTTTCGACTATCCAACAGTCAAATTAGTGGCCCGATGATACTGCATCTCTCAACTAATCGGTGACTACTGACGGAATGACAAGACGCAGGTTGGCGATCAACAACCATATTGTCCTGCTAAAATCTTCGTGCATACATCCGTAGTCATACCAAATCTGAATCGGGGGTCTTGATCGGCCAGGTCTCGCATGGTGCGGGTTTCAATATACCCCTCACGGGAATGCTTCCCACATACTCACCGGTCTCCCGCTCCGCCTTAGCGAGGTTCTGATTGACTGGAGAATGGCTTTCCATGCACAACGGCATCGAATTATTATGAGAGTTTCGGAGGACGCTCAATTTTCATGCATACCGTGCTGCCGTACGAGGTTAGCTCCGGGCGGGCTCTCCTCAAACTCGCAGCGGGAGCATGCGTGTCTCACGTAGCCGCTGCCTAACATAGGAGAGACAAGCAATGGCTGCAACCCTCGTGTGAGTGAGTAATTACCGGACACAAAGCTATTTGATCACTGCTACACTTCCTGGAAAGGGGGTGATAGGATGAGACTACCAATGCACCTCAACTTTGGGCTGAAAAGGGTTGATCCGGATCGAAAACCGATGTCAAACAATATTAGCCAACCCTATGAGGGTAAGGTGGATGGTTTATACGTCAAATGAGACAAAGATGTAATGTCCGCTGAAATGGACGGCATCAAATTTGACGAGGGGTCAAAGGTAGTCATGACAAACATGCTCAGAAGTTGATGGATTTTCCAGGAAGTCCAAATACGTATACCTACTTCGATCGGGTGTGATCCGGACTTACCACCGCCGTCCCGGGGAGATCGCTCCCAGAGTGGTACTGGGCACACAGACTGCTCGGCTACACCCGCATGCATTAGACTAACTAGATCGAGCTGGCTGCAGGAGAGGAGGGGGTCGGGCTTGGCAGTCCACCTGTTGTAGACTGTTGACTCTCGAGCTTGAGCGGTACACTCTCAAGGGGGTAAGGCAATAGGTTTCCGCTTAATACCTTGGCTCTACTTCTATAGCTCCTACTACTGCCCTCATTACTACCACTATAGTTATTATTGTTGCCTATTTCTTAGTATTTCTATAGAAAATAAACTTTAGATAATGCAATATAGAAGTAGTAATAGCGATAGTAACAAGGATAGGAGCGGTTATTTGGAGGTAGCTAGTCGGTCGCTGAGCGGCAGCTCATTTTGTCACCCACTTGCCTCTCAGATGGAGTCGCACTATTCAGAGACAGTGTGACAGGCCAAGTATTCCGACGGAAACCGATTGAGCTGCGCAAGTGAGGGGTTCATGATTCACTCGCCGCAATGCCACATGCAATCATGCATTTCCCGTATTTGCGAACCATGACGTGACAGTTAATGGTGCGGGCCAGGTATCGATGTGGTAATCTTGCTCTAAGGATCTGACTTGGACTGCTTCCCCGCTCATATGCCTCTTTCAATTCTTAAGCGCAGAGCGGACTATCTTAATGGGAGAGCAACTAGGTTTAGGACGCATGCCAATAACGACCTTCATGTTACTATAGTAGGTGAATCAGTCTAAAAACTTTGGCTCCAGCTATGAGAGACGATGCAAACAATCTACCTATTCAGCTTTTTGACTCAGGTGTAAATGGTAATCGAAAACTCAAGCCATTTACACAGCGGATTTTGTGCCTTTCCAAGTCATCCTAAATTGCGGACAGAAGAGCTTTCCACCCATCGACAACCGAACGGCTGGGCGCAAGTATTTCAATGACTTCCTTGCTAGTGGTCGAGGCCGGGCATTTGCCTTCCCACAGAGAGACGGGAGCAGCCTTGATTGAAAGGATAACATTCTTGGACTCTTTCGTTGCCGACGCCATATCGTCCACGAGAGACACATCCCTGAATTGAACGCTCTCCACGGGGGCGCCGATAGCCTCCTCCACCCATTGAACAATTTGTCGCCCAGTCACATCGGTGGGCCCGTTCAGAATGTACTTTTTCCCGTTGTGCCGAGAAGGGTCTTGGTCCCACAGCAGATGCGCAGCAAAGGTGCCGACATCGTCAGCATCAATAGTGCCCACTGGTGCGTCCTTGTCGGCGATAAGTCTAAGGGTCCCTTGCTTTTTTGTTTGACGGTATTCTTTGACAAACTCGACCGCACCGTACAGATGCAGGGAGAAGAATATGTTCGGCTGTAGGGATGTCCACTTGAGTTCTTTGAATTCAGGTGAACCCAACATAGTCTCGATGGCCCAATGAGCTCGCGGATAGTAGGCATCGGAATCCGGACGGACGTTAGGAGCCGTTGTGGAGATACGTACGACGTACTGCACGCCGGCCTTTAGCGCCGCCAGGTGGAAAGCCGATTCTTCGGCAAATTGATTTGGGCTGCTGTGAGATGCGATAAAAGCTTTGAATACTTTCTGTTCGTGTAACCATAAAGCGTCGATGTCGACCCAATTCTTTTCAGCGAATGTGATGTTAGGGAGGCTCGCAAGGCGTTGGGCGGTTGAGGAGTCAATGGAGCGTGTAAGGGCCAGGATACGGATATTAGGCGGAGCATCGCTGTTGCTCACAAATTGGGAGAGAGTCTCGACAACACTTCGACCAGTGTTGCCTGTCGCACCGGCAATGAGAATCGTAGGAGTCATGGTGACTAAGGTAGAGCCTAGAATTACGAGAACCACGTTGATGATTTTGCTGCAACAGAATCTGGCAGGTTCTTTCTGTATTTTTGCCTTCGAATCGATAACTTTCGTCTATGGCTTTCCCTATCAACGACCTTAAAGTCCTTTATAAAGCCCCGCGAAGGATTCAATGTTCTTGCGGAGATCTGCGCCGCAGCGGAGTTTGCGGACATGCCACTGAGGCGAGCCCTATTCCGCAATTTCTGCAAGATTTTGTGGTCAAAGTCTGCAATCATTTGGTAGACTAATATAAGTCGCCAGGAGGTTTAAACATTAGCCCATGAGCGGAGAAAAGGTTAGACATTCAGCGCTGGAGCCGACTATAGTTACTTCTGGGGGTGATTCAAACAGATTTCACTCACTGAACTCCTTATCATTAACATCGCTAAGTAAGCAGGAATTTGCATAGAATACCTGCCATTGGGGATTCTCAGCCTAGATGTTTACAACCACTCCTACTGACCTCAACAGTCAAGTCAATGCGGTTCGGTCATGCTTCCCTACGACTCACAAGGGACATAGAGTCTAGGTCGCCTTGAAAGCTGGGACACAAGCTTTTGGACACCGGTACTCGAATCTATGCCATCAAAATCAACTAATGACAACACTAGATATTATATGATGCTATCTGGTTTGACAAGTCGCAAACGCGCCCTGCTCTTGCTTGTAAAGCCCATGGCGTTGTGCTACATTGCCTATTTTGACTACATAACATTTACAGGGCTTTTCATAGGACCCATGACAGGTGCCAGCCATTGGATGATTTCGTAATCAAATGCAAAGCCGGCATGCGTGTGCAACACCTTGCGCAATTTCTACTAAACGCAAGAATTCCTATTCAGCAGCCCACTGAAGGTGACGTAAAGAACCCGCCGAGAGGTTTGTTTTGGAGTGTTTTAAATATGACATTTCAAAGAGATGAAGCCTGGGCTCACAAGCATTTGCAAGGAAAAGGCTTAGAACGAGGAATAGCTACAGCAGCACGTCTTTCCAGATCTTCCAAGGATCCTCTGTTTAGGTTCAGGCTGTGAGCAGCCGTCTGATCTTCAGACATGGATGCGGGCTTGACTTGGGCGGGGCTGGCAAACATCGATGGGGCTACGACTCATTAGTAGCGACACGCTTCCAGATGTTTGATGCAGCATATCAGGGCATGCGAATTATCCCATCAAACGATCCATATTCCGACCGAAGGCGCCAGGATACCGTTGAACAGCTTGAGCCGAACTTGAGAAATGCGAAGCCAGTTGGCGGAGCAAACAAGCCCGGGTGCAATCAGTTCACTGTTATTAGACTGGAGCCACGGAACTCCACGATCGCCGTGTAAGTCGGGGAAACCGACAGGCGGGCAGGCTTACGCGGACCGCGCGGATTCCAACAGTTTGGTCCAACCATCAACGTGCCCATTCAGTGTTTCCCGAACAGTTCGCGAATATGCACTGCAACATACGAAGACAGACTACCATTTGTCGTGCCGCTGCTAGCGTCTGACGATTTCCACACAGCCGGCGGGATGATTGTCCTTGACGAAGCTTTTTGGGAAGCTTAAACAAACTCTAATCGGCCCCGATTCCTTGCAGGGCGGTTTCAACCTTCCTGCGGCAACTTTTTCATGCGAAGCCAGGCGGAAGTTGACACAAGCGCGAGACACTCCGGCACCAAACAGAAAGCGAAAATTGGTGTCGTCGCAAGGCCAATTCCGTTGATTACCTAGTAGAACTTCTAGGGGGGTTTCTTGATTCAAGGTTGCCTGCCAGGGGCACGTCAAAAGTATGTCTCCCGACGAACCCAATCTGATGGCGGAACTGAACTCAAGCCTTAAGAATGCCTCGTCCGTACCCCTCTCTGTTGCGTCCGTGGACCATCACTTCGACCACTGAAGACACGGCAATCTTTCGTGGGGACTTCGGGATCTCAATACCATCCAACATCCGCGATTAGTTCAATATGAAGGACTCACAGGTTCACCGCCTGCTACTGGGCTTCGTGGCATTTCTCATCACTGCGACGGCGGTGAAGGTTCCTCAACCTGTCGGACCAGCGCATCAGGAAATCCAAGGACCGATAGTATGGGCAGCTTGTCCCGGGGATATTCGACCTTTCAAAGGCAACAACGCCACATCAGCTCTTCAGTGCACAAACTTCTCGGTCCCCTTGAACTACAATGACCTCGGGGGTCCTCAAGTTCAATTGGGCATTGTCAAGCTCCCTGCACAGGGCAAGCGTATCGGCAATCTCTTTGTGAACCCCGGCGGGCCTGGAGGGGCAGCGTCGAGCATGGTAGCGCGGATGGCTTCGAAGGGAATTTACATCAGCGACGCGGTGCGCCAGTCATTCGACATCATTGGAATGGACCCTAGAGGTGTTGGCCTGAGTACACCGCAGAGGTGCGACACGAATGCGGCCAACCAGCCGAGTGAGTTTGATGCGACAACACCGGAGGGGTTCCAGAAAGTGTTCAACTACAACAAAGCTGTCGGCGATTCTTGCCGGGCAATGACTGGGCCTTTGTTTGACAACATGGACACAACATTTGTCGCCAAGGACATGGAGGCTGTCCGTGTAGGTAAGATCATCGCTCAATCACCCTGTCCTGATCAGAGAAGTTGACGTTGGACAGCCACTGGAGGAGAGCCTATGAACTACTTTGGAGTATCATATGGAACACAGCTTGGAGCTCAGTATGCTGCACTGTTCCCCACTGCAATCCGTGCTATGGCACTTGATGGGATGTTGCAGCACACTGGCTCTTTTGCATCAAACATCATGACACAGGCTACGTCCTTGGACGCAACTATTCAGGCATTCTTCCGGTTCTGCGAAGCCAACGCTACGAACTGCGGGGAAGGAGGACAAGACATCCGGCAGACGTGGAACAAGATCCTTGAAGTTGCTGGCGCGGGTAACCTCAAGGCGGCAGAGTGTGACGGGACCATCAAAACCGGCTGCGTGCCTGCTGCAACGCCAAACAACGTAATAGGATCTGCACGGTCGACTCTGGAGTTCCCTCAAGACCGCAAAAAGTTTGCCGAAATGCTAAAGCTCGGGGCCGCGGGGAACGGCTCGTTTTTCGTTCCAGGCCTGTTGTCTGGCGACGTTTTCTCCGACTCTCGATCTTTATCAATTACAAACGTGCAGTGCCAAGACGGACATTTCTTTGCTGCCAAAGATCACCTTGAAGTGCAGCGAGTGGCTGATATGACTCGTACTTTCACTACTACCCCAGGCATGGGCGAGTTTTGGCACAGGGTCATTGACTGTACCGGGTACCCCGTTAAGATCACGAATCCTCGGACGGCGTTGAATATCAAGGGCACACCACCTATTTTACTTGTGCATTCTAGATTTGATCCGGCTACGAGCTTGGTATACGCAGCCGGTATGATGGAAGAGTTCCAAAACGCAACTTTGCTTCTCAGAGAAGGATCTGGGCATACAAGCTATCTGCTGAAGGGGGATGCTTCGCGCGTTGTAGACGACTATTTGATCAATTTGAAGATGCCGGCACCGGGAACAGTGGTTCAAAGCTAGCGGAGCGAATAAGATATTACTTCATAAACAAGGTAGGAAACTTCGTCTCCTCTTTCATTCTCGATGCAGACATTACAGAGCCGTAAGACCTTCCTTCCAAGTCTCGATACTGGCGAGCATCATCCATGCGGTTAGGACGGGAGTCAATACTGAAAGTCGTCTGAAATACATGCAACTAAGGAGCAGATGGGATTAAGAACTAGCTATTCTCTCTTCCGGAAAGCATTTTCTTGCAGAGGGTGGACTTATGAGTCTTTATCTAATTATCTCACACGACGGATAGTGATGAAATTTGGGGTGTATACGAGTTTCGAGTTCCTATTGTGTTTCGGAGGGTAAACGAAGATGAAGAATGTCCTCGTTGGAATTGCTTCCCTTATATAGATTGCGGGTCGAGTCTCGTGCAAAACTCCTGCATCGATACGACTGAGGCTGGAAAGAAGAGTATCTTTGAGATTTTTGTGGGCCCTCCATGGTGGAGGCCGGGCTTTTGCCTTTTGCGACAGTGATGAATAGAGTAGGAGGTTTGATAGGCAATACCCAAAGGCCCTACTCTTTCTCTTTTGCTCATCTTACGGACTCTATGCCCCAAAGGATCACAGGAATGTGGATATGCGGCTACTGATATCCAACCCATGACTACTTGATATTATCATGAGTTTAAACGCGACAGGTGCCAGATGTAGTAAGTAAATACGTGGTAGTATCCATATAAACATAGTCGCAAGTACATAACATACAGAGTATTGTATAGAGCAAAAAGCGAGTAGGAGAAGCCTCGCAGCTAATGTCCTTCCATGGTCTCATCGATGAGTCTTTTCTTCGGCGCCACCGCCACCATGTACACAAGTCCCGCGCAAATCTCATTAAAATCAATCATCAAGCATCGCTGATAGGGGGGGCTTGGAGAATCCATTCTCCGATAATCTTAATGGTCTTCTGGGTCTTGATCTTCGCATCCTCGAGCAGAACCGGGTCACGCACAATGCCGTCCAGATGCTGGTCGAAGCCATGGACGGTATCAGGGACCAAGAGCCACCGGTAACGGCTTCCGTCAGCGCCAGACACCTCGAAGTGGTATACCTCGTCGTCTAACACAAGCTCGCCATCGCCGACAACTTCAGGCTTTCCAACCTTTGCTGGTGGCGGTGGTCGGCCCGCAAGCCTGTGAATAAGCCTCTGGCCTTCCTGAGCAAGCATATCAAGCTCGCAGCCGATCATAAAGACCTGCTTCGGCAGAGCCTCCTTGGGCGCGAAGGTAGGGCTAAGAAGCGGGTTACGGCTGTCTTCACCAGGGATCTTGTATGCCCAATCGAACACTGGTGCAATTCCTTGCAGGAAGTCTTTCTCCTTTGCGCGGAAACCTCCGAGCTCAGGCTTGTACTGCCGCGTTGGGGCCTTCTCATCTCCCGTGATAGAGAGATCAGCCGCAGGGTACAAGGGGACGATGCAAGTGAGATGTTTCCTAACGGTCTCCAGTTGAGCGACGGCCAGAGTCAGGTTTCCGCCCGCAGACCAGCCGGCCAGGGATACTCTGGTACGATCCAAAGGAATCGAGTCATCGTTGAGCGCAGCGAGGAAGAGCTCCTCGCAATCATGAATCGGCTTGGGGAATGGGTTACCCGGAGCTTTGGCGTAGTTGAGACCAATGACAATCGAGTGGTGCTGCGAAGCATACGTCTGATTCCAGTCGTCATTGTCATTTGGGGTACCTAACACGAATCCACCACCATGGATCGTGAAAAGAACCGGCAGCTTGTCTTTGGACGTTTTGTCAAAGCATTTCGGGAAGAAGACTCTGGAACGTGTCAATCTCAGCGCCAGTGCGACGGGTAATTAGTCTGGGGTGAAATGAAAGAACGCACCTGACGGGTAAGTACGGCCTACATTCGTACGTCTTCACGATCTCTGGACGGTTCTCTGGCGGGATGACATGTGCTTTGACATCGCGAACGAAGAGCGCGGGCTTTACCAAGAGATTCTGGATCGCAAAGGCTGTAGCGCCATACCTGACCTTTGACAGGAGCGGCAACTCTGGTACGCGATGTGAGTCGTCCGTGGTATTCTGATCTTCGGCCATCGTTGGAGCCAGGCGCGCGACGGGTTGAGTTGAGTTGCTTGGGGTGCTCGAGTGTCGCAGCGGATGTTGCGTTGGAAGAAACAGGCGGGGTTGGGATGAGAAGCGTCGCTGGCTGGTGGGAACGACTCGGTAGTTGTAGTCGCATGCACCTCGGTTTCGCATTTAAAGGGCCATAGCGAGGTTCAAGCCGAGTACGAAACAAGATACGAAACCTTGTACCATGGACAACGTGATCGGATAATAGGTGCTTGGAGACGCCATGTCTTCAGTCATTGATGGCACATAAATGCAAGCCTGTCCCTCGGGTTTGAATCAAGGCGTAAGTTGCAAAGGATCTCATAAGGCCTTCAATTGCTGACGGCATCACCAGTTGACGGGGACTTGTCAGCAAGTGCCGGCCCTAGAAGCCGAACCCCCTCCGCCGGCGGAGGTCTCCACTTTGGGCCGGTGAATCGGGAAACTTCACGAGAGCGACGACTGCACAGTCCTCGACTCTTCATGCATTGCCACAACGCACGAACCGACCAGCGTCCATTTTCAACCAAGTGACGCCTCGAAAACCAGCAGCCAGTATGGCGCAGCTGCTCTCAATCCGAAAGCAACCGCAGTTTGTGGCAAACCCCTGAAGATTGCAGGACACTTATCGTCGCGAGACAGAAAAAAGAAAAGGGAGTGATGAGGCGAAAAGTAAGCTCAAGGGGCACTGCTGCCATGAATAGTTGGGAACTGTATCAAAAGCTGAGGCACATGACCAAGCAGTGGAAGTCCGCCAGACGCGGCTGAATGACAGACGCGCCTCGGGCCTCCTCAGGTGAAGTCACCGTAAGTGATGACTTCCGACAAATTTCATTTCTCCCTGTGATTAGTCAGGTTATGCACGCGGGTAGTAATCCTACCACAGCGGTGTATTTCTCTAGCTATGTGGCTTCCTCCTCAGACTCAGAGGTTCAATGGACCAGTTCATCGCACTGGCCTTGAAAAAAATGATACGGCTTATGGACATGTGCAACGAATTTAGCATTCATAACTCAGCTGGACGCAAATACATAAGTTCCGAAAGCGTGATATATTCACTTTTATCAACGGGAAGGTTCGAGCAAGGCAAATCGAAAGCCCGTTCTTGCTGGCCCCTTCCCTTTGGCGCAATGGCGAGGGCGATTGTTCATCAAGTTGAGCCTCGGGCGACAAACCCGAAGGCCTCTGCCCGAACTTCTTCGTCGGTTGCTGCTTCCTTTATTTCTCCAAGATTTGCCTCTTCAAGGAACAACTAGTTCTTCCATCACTTGAAGTTTCACGAGAGACTTAACTCAGATTTCTGCTTCCAAGGCCATTCAGCGTGGATTCACGTTTGATTGTCGGGGCAAAGTGATCTCTCTGCATCACTGGCAGAGATATTTTTAGATGCCGCAAGAGTACCTCTGTCCGTCGACTTGATGAGGGACAAGCCCGTCACCATGCCTTCAGTATGGCCTAGTATGGGAAAGTAAGTGGTCTCGTCAATTGCAATACAGGACATGCTGACATTTGATTCAAAGCATTCTCAACTCGCCACAAATCGGGTTCCGTATCGGTCACAAAGCCAAGCCATTTTCAGTTCACAAAGCTGCGATAGAATTCCTCTCCCCAAAGCTTGTGGCTCTGCAAGCTTCGGAGGAAGTCCAACCTGATCCTACTTCAATCACCCTCAGGGGCATCGATGAGGCTACCTTCACCAGACTGGTCGAATACGCCTATCGTCACGACTACACCGTGCCAGGTCTCAAAGCCAGCCCCAATCCCCCCAACCATTCCAGCGTTTCGCTTTCGCTCTACGAGAAGCTTGAGCAGGGAGATGAGTTCTCAGACACCGAGCCCTTCATCACCCGAGCTCGCATCAAGTTCCACAACGAGGCAATGAAGCCCCACGTCAATCTCAACAATGCCGTCTCTCACGATACTGTCGAGGAGATGAAAGTCTCTGGTCACTGCGGTCACTTTGACGTCTTCGATGCACACATTGCTCTCTACAACCTGGCACGACAATACGACATCCACCCATTGGAGAGTCTCTGCAAAAAGCGTTTCCGCCAAAGTTTGCTCTTCATGCACATTAATGAGCACACCATTATTGCTCTGTCCGACATCTTGGATTGCGTTGAGCATGGCGCCCTTAGCACTCCTGGCGATGAAATCCGAGACATTCTTCTGGATTACTTCCTTGCCAATTTCTACAAAGCGACAGCACAGCGACACTGCACCTGAAGTTTATAACTACGCTCCTAGCCTCCTACAAGGCAAAGACTTCTTCCATCTACTGCTCGCCAAGTTGCCAGCCGAGGATACACCCTTTGGCGATCGAAGCTGGGGCCTTGTCTACTGAGGTCTACATTGGAAAGCATTGGGACCATGAGAAATGGTTGACCCGCTTGGGATACCCTCTTCTTTGTATCAGATTGGGCTCATTGGGATATCGTAACTTCTCCTCTGGAGTTTCAGTGGCCGATTATATTCGTGAGAGGATCCGGCAGACAGCAGGTCCATGTCTGGAGTCAGACTCAGAACTACAATGGAAATAAGTTGGCATCTTCCTTTGAAACTGTCGTCCCATTCTGTGTACATTGACAATTAATTTGAGGCGTTGTTTCTCACTTCGTGAAATGTTTGTCAGATTTTCTCTTAGATACTTTACGGGTTGAAGCGAGCATCTACATCCCAAAGCCATTTCCGACGTAAGACAGCTGACGCCGGCATCTCTGGCCGATATCTTCGCCAGGAAATATCTAATCTCCATGCGAGGCGATGCCAAGGAGGTCACCGCAAGACATGAATGATAAGAAATGGCACTAGTCGTATCCATGTCGGCAGAGGTGGGGTTACTGCGGGGTTGCGCATGGTGATAGCTTCAATATCCGGCGCGATGTGATCCATGGTTCCGAAATGTCGGGATAACACCTCGTGGCTCTCCACTTTTCCCCGACCACCCTTATCTCTCCGGGCATATTGCCGATAATGGCATCTTCAAAACGCATGGCACTGGATGGTATAAAGAGAGATTGACCTTATGGAGTGGCTCAAGCTTCCTTGTCGTCTCTTGTGGAATTACTTCTCCATTTGTAGAAATGAAGATGTTCGTTTCACAAGTTCTATTGGTGTTGGGTGCCGTGGGCTTGGGCTCGGCCCATTTTATCGTCCCCAATGATAACCAAGACATGTCCGGCCTCACGGTCAACTCGATCCCAGCAGCAAAGCGAGTCGAGTACATGCAAAAGGTTTGACAGACTCGGTCTTGGCTCAACGTTGTCCTCCAAAAGCTGACATTCCGGCAGGCAAACGAGGCACTTTTCCGGCAAAGCGGACCGTAAGTGGCCAAGCCCTTTGAACGCTTACTCACGAATTTGACTGTATTTCTGGCAGTTGCCCCTTTGCCGCTTTCGGGACCATCATCGTCAACCACACCAGCGATGAAGTCGTTTGTGAAGGAGCAAACTTCCGAACTGGGGACCCTACGAGTATGTACTAGGACAACAGCAGTAATATCTGCGGGTTGCTGACAAGACGCCAGTTCACGGAGAGATTTCTGCCATCAACGCATGCACAGCCAAGTTTGCTGAACAGGGCATGACGCCAACGTAAGGCCGACAAGGTACTTTTCAAGACCAAGGGCTTACATCTTCGACAGGCAGATCTATGCCGCGTGGGGAGACCTTTCAATCTACACAAACGCTGAGTCTTGTCCGATGGTAGGTACTTTGAGTCGCCAGGGAACTAGAAGAATCACTTACTGACGGGTTATAGTGCGCGAGTGCAATTCGTTGGGCTGGTTTCAAAGGCAAGTTGCCTCTCAATTGCTACTTTCTCTTCCCACAACTAACACTGGCTTATCAGAATATGTCTATGGAACCACGATTCAGCACAACTACAACGTCGGCTGGGGCGTGATGACTCTGAGCAGCGTAAGAACCTCTGAGCCAGATACGTGCGTGGAGAAACCTGCTGAACATGTTCACCTAGTACGACGTTTTCCAACAATCTCGCCAGCTACCTGGCTTCCAAACCTCCATGATCGGACAGATCCTGACCAACGAGACGGACCCTCTCTTCTCATGGCAGTATAACGCAAGCGCGCCCTGCCCGAACGAGTGCTTCCGCGTTCCGAGCGCGACTCGAGGTGGGACGACCTGCTCCAATGTGACCGTTTCTCGCAGGGACTATGATGCGTTGTAGAGAGTCATTCAGATAAGACGAAGAATCTGGCTTGTGGGAGAGTTTTTAAGCACAAAGGGAAAGAATTAGGCTCTTTGTCCTTGTGAATGTTTTGGAACCGCTATGTCAAGTAGAGCAAGGTATTGGTATCCAGTTAGACCCCAATTTTGAGTCCTTTCTCAAGTGAATGCCGCTTCGTAATTTGCTTGCTTATCCCATTGACTTGCTTGATGGCGTCGCCACACCCGTTTCCGGTCTTTCTCTAGTTTTGCTCTATTCCGAGATTATCCATAGGTAGATATAAAAGAAATCGGGTCGGATTATTGTATTATTTGCTATCCTGTCATTGCGCCTTTCCTCTACTTTCTACTTCTCCTTCTTCCCCTGAAGCAACGCTTGTTTCTGGCTCGCCCAAAGCTTCCTTCTCGTCGCAGTTGCGCCAGGACGTATCTCAGGAGCTGCTTGGAAACTTGGAATTGACATCATCGATCGCTTTTCCCGATTGTTCCCAATACTTGGGAAGCTCAGTCATGATCTCAAAAGCTAACTCGGGTACGCCACTGAGTAGATCTTTGAAGCTAGGCATCGCTCGAACCATACTAATATCAGCGACGCATGTCTGAACAAGCAGCTTCCGAATCTTGTCTCCCGGCATGGTATTGGCGAACGCGAACTCAATGACGCCAAAGAGCAGTTGGTATCCAGGGTTGCCAAGTCTTGCGCGCGTCAAAGAGCTATGCAGTCGGTGGAGGCAGACTTCTCTCAGCTGAGCAATGTCGTACCGGTCGGCAAAGATATAAAGCTGCACGTGATGCATGCAGATTTGCCCAAACAGTTGGTTGGCGACCATGAGATCGAAGTTGACCTCGAGCTCCTCGTCCTTGTTCCACGGCAATCCGGGCGGTATAGCGTATAAGTTTCCAGGTGTGCCTTGGTTGACGAACAACAGCAAATACCTCAGGTATGGCTGTTTTGCGTGTAGTCGGAAATCTGAGTTCTGGACATGTTCGATTAGGGAATCGTACGCCTCCCCTGGAATCAATTTGGCGGCGTCAGACTCTCCAGCCTTTTGAACTTTGTGCGACGTCGGCACGTCGTAGTTTCCGTAGAATGCGAAGTTAATGAAGCTTGTGAAAACTTCTGGCTTCACGTCGTCAATCTCAGCAATTCCCTCGAGGGACTCACGCATGTTATTGGTCAACATGCGGTCGAATATTGGGGACCGAGAGGCTATGAGCTTCTCGTGGATCTGGAATGGCTTTCGGTCTTGACCGATCCGGAAGGTGACCACTCGTGAGGTAAGTACGCTGCGGACGATTAGTTTCATGTTTATGACCTGACTCAACTGCGCAAAAACGAAATTTTACGTACCCTTCAAGATCAGGCATGCCTCTAGCGGAAGAAGCCATTGTAGGAAGTTGATGTCGGGTGGGCACGTCGTCCTGTCAAAGAGCACCGAACCCGTTCGAGAGTTGCCTGTGGCGGATCCGCGACTCCTGGAGGTGAACTGGGAAAGATAAATCCTGTAGTCATATAAGGCTTTCTCGAGGTTAAGTACCAGCCGCAGAAGATGGATCAGTGGAAGGAGGTATCAGGATGCTCTTGTTGAGAATGGGTTTGAGAGTTTCAGTCCAACCCATCACGTGGCCGCAATGAATTATCAGACTTGGAATCCGCTTGTCTTCCTCGAAGTGCGGGTTTCGCAATTTTCAAGTTTCGAATACATTGGAGTTCAATTATGAAGTCTAATGGAATTCTTTGAAATGCGGACTGCCTCGAAAATAGAGATTGCCGCAGTGCGTGTCTTTGCTATGGACCGTTTAGATCTGAGATGCTGCGTTCCCCTGGGCCCTTCCCGCAATAAAAATCTCATTTCCCTTTTGAAGTGACTTCACCCTCCAATGTAGCGTCCGCCGGCATGCCACGTTCCATATTCCCCAGACAAAATCACTTGAATGAAGTGGCCCGCCCCTGAAATGGTCCCGAGCGCCCGGTGCCCCTCATACAAGTTCTTCCCAGTATGAATTAGGTATTCCGAGCAGCAGCTCCACGGCGAAGTCTGGGATCTCCTTGATCGGACTTTTGAGGGCATCATCCCCCATCGCCCAATCCATGTCTCCGATGAGGAAGTATAGTAGTAACTTGCGAAGTTCGTCTTGAGGCAGTGTGTATGTGTAGAGGAAGCGAAGAACGGAACACACATGAGCAATCAACTCATCATCTGCTATCGCATTGTAAAGCTTTCTGCAAACATCTTCGATGCATGATTTCTTGAGGTCCTCGATGATGTACTTCTCGGCAAGAATGTAAAGTTCTGCAGGTTTCATGAGGTGTTTCAACGAGACCAATCTTTTCGAACTGGCTTCGTCATCGGAATCCTCTGGTTGCTCCTTCTAGGCGCAAAACTCTTACCAGTTGAATTGACTTCCCCGATTCTGTTCTCGTTGAAGTGCTCCTTACAAAAGTTCAATACTGCGTGGGGTTGGTCGTGATCCTCTGCTGAGCAGGCCTTGATCCATGTCCGCAGTGAGCCGGTCACCTCGGTTTTTTTTTCGCCGTCTTGGTTTTCTTCCGTGTCTTCTTTCACATAGTCTTTGTTCTCGGGATAAGGAATGGGGTAGGAGCCGGTATATGCGTAGTCCAAAAGGAGGAGAAACGTGGCTGGTTTGACGTCGTCCCAGATGATCTTGCCCTCGAGAGATTCTTGCATGCCTCCAGTAAGCAAGGCTCTGAGAGGCTCCGAGAGATAAGTCAAGACTCCTTCGTGGACACGGAACTCGCGCGTCGAATCGCCTCTGCCAACGACGAAAGTGACGATCCGGGAGTCAACAATGCTATTAAATGTTGCCATATATTCAATTGAATCTGTGATTGCTCTAGGGATGGAAATTACTTACTCGTCGATGCTTCTCTTTTGTTTGAGAGACATCGTGGCGGCGTTGATGAAGACGTGTGGGTGTAGTAGTGAAAGCAGGAATGGTCGCGTGTGGAACCCTCATAGAGGCAAAAAGGAGAAGTTGAGAGGGGCCAGGATTTCGCGTTTGCCGCAGCAAAAGGAAGGAGCTGGAGTCAATCCGCTCGTTCCTTCCCAGTGGAAAGTGTGATTACTAGCTCCTGACACAGACTTCCTGTACGTTCCTAAGGAATCCACATCCATCCTTTGTCTCTCGTCTGCCTCGATGATTCTTTCGTGCAGCGTTGTAAGTCGGGCTGAGATGCTGTTTAGCAAGGTATGACAAGGGATTAAGGCTGGTGAGCTCTGCGACTGGCGAGAAGCTCAAGCAGCTCCATTCACAAAGAAAACGTTGTTCTTCGAACAACGCATTGTTCTCGAAAGAGCAGAGACACCAAACTGATAAGGCACCTCGCGCAAGGGCAAGCCGCGGCTTCCCGCAATCGAATGGTATTGATTTCTCAAGGCCTTCCCAAAATACAAGCAGACTTGGACATTGATGACTAAAGCGTGAGGCAACATGGCTTTGTGATCGCGGTCATGAGATGCGTGATCACTTGAATAACTCAAAGGCCAGAGTGGACACTGATAGACATGCTTTAACGACAACCAATATCACCAGACATAAGACGTCAATAGAAGGAGAGTTTCTTCTTTCTTCTAAGAATGATTGAGTTCAAGTCCAAACATGTAGAGATTGCCCTATGCTGTGCGAGCTACCTAGCTAAGTAAATTGTCTCTCCTGGCCGCACCATATCTCTTTTGCGTCACAGCCCCAGCGGGATTTCTCTTGAAACCCTACTCGCCATGTTCCCAGGCTCCCAAACTCATATGTCCCATCCTATAGTCCCCTGTCCCTTTGTATGTGTTCGCTTCGGTTCTCTCGTTGGTGGAACATACACCAAGTATGAAAGTGGTTAGACGGCGAGCCTGACTGTGCTTGAGACGAGAGCCTGGAGAGACATCAGTCCCCGGACACCTTCCCTGGCTTCCAAGACCAAATGCATCATCCTTCGATTCGCCCCCTCACTAGAACCGCAGCAAGCGTTGTCTCTTTTCTCTCTCTGGCCGAGCAGACGCTAAATCTTTGAGTGATGAACTGGGTTTGCGATACAGCGGCTTGCGGTTTCTGGATTCTGGATGCATGGCCATGAAGCGATCACACTCAGCCAATTCCTCTCGAACTTCGGGCGAGCGATTGAGAACCTCTATATAGATCTCGGGAGTTTTTTCCAAGACTTTGAAAATGCAGGGCAACTTGAAGGCTCTGTGGAACTCAATGCCCAAGTAGTCAATGATTAGCTCTCGAAATTGGTCATTTGGCAATGTGTTTGGCCAGATGAAGGCCATGAGGTCGCAGATGATCTGTGTGAATGAGGCGACGCCAAGCCGGATCAAGGTCCCCTGGTATTTTCTCTCCGCTCTCTGAGTGCCATGCGTAGTAGATTACGCGATGTTGGAGCGACTGAGCCGTTTCGATATTGCGCACTGTCTCCTTCTTCTCATCGGTGATAGTGAAATCCTTGCTGTATGCGAACTCCATCAATAGAGCAAAAGCATCGGAGTCGACATCAGCCCAGACAACAACGACCTCCACAGACTCCCTCATACCGTTGGTAACGAGGGCTCGAAGTGGCTTGGAGAGGCGACTGATGACTGCCCGGTGGACATTGTGTTCGGCCTTGTTTTTGCCGACGATGAACTTGATGATGCGAGACTTGGTGATCCTGTACCATGTTAGCAAACATCTCACTACTGAGCGAAGAAGGGAAAATGAAGTGGCAATTTGGGTGCGCATACTCGTAAGTGGTTTTACTCTTAGCCATCGTGAGGCATTTCGTCATAATGGCCAGCTTGTTCGGGTAATGAGGAAGCTCAAACTGGGTGAGAAATAGAGTGTGAGATGGGAAAAGACGGTGTTTTAGTGAGACAGGGAAGGGCCGTGAGAGTAGGATCGATCGAAGCCCGAAGAAGGTGTAGAAGAAAAGAAGGTAATCCCGAAAGGCCTGAAATCGGAAGAAGTATGAGTAGACTTTGCTTCCCTTCTTCTTTCCGTGCCAATTGTTTTTCAGTAGTATGGAACAGAAGGAGCAACCGAAGGTGAGGTTTTGTGGGAAGGACTGATCGCCTGTGTGTGTGGTGAGGCGGTCTTCAACGTGGCCCAGCCCTCTCTGAATACTCAATTGACGGAGGAGCGAGTATTTGTTCTAGAAGTGTAATCCTCAGGCAATTGAGAGCCATCACCTCCTTCATCTCCAAAAGACATCATGCCGAAGTTCAACAAGCCTCTCCATCAGCATAAGCAGACATATATCACCATATCAAGTAACGTCGAGTTGGTGAATGGGCAATCTTTTACATCATCGTATCCAAGTCAATCCGGCTCACAGGAAGCACTCAGGCTTGACACCACACGTCCATTCCTCTCACATGGCTCAACAACATTCATTACACAGAACCGAACGTCAAATGCCTTTGAAAGTGATTTTTTAATTTTATCTTAGGAGGCGAGCGTCCTGGGGTTGATCACAGTCGCGATCTGGTACTATTAGATACATTTCTGGCGTCGTCTCGTTATCGTGGCATTGCGATCAGGGCCCTTACTGAGGGATGCCCAACTCCTTGTAAAAGGCTTCGGTGCTAGGCTTGCGTCCAAGGAACTGCTCCAGGGTCAACATCTCCTCCTGGCTGCCACCCTTCTCCAAGACGGTGTGTCTGTAACGGCGGCCCTCCTTGCCGTTCATGGGGTCGGCCTTGAAGACGGAGTAGAACATGTCGGTAGAGTAGACCTCGGATGAGAGGTAGCCGTAGTAGCCGGCATCGTAGCCGCCAATTAAGTGGCCGAAGCAGGCTTGTCCGTTGCCCCAGGTGCTGTGTCTGTTAGCATTCTGTGATCTGAGATTGGATGGAGACTCATACCTCTTCTCGCCCTGAGCTTCGGGGCCCTTAATACCAGCAATCTGGCCGCGAAGCTCGTTGTAGGTCGCCGACAAGTCCAGGTTCTTGATCGCCTCATGGCTCTCGGGGGTGTGAACGGTCATGTCGAAAGTACCAAAGTGAAGCTGACGCAGGTTGAAGAGAGCAGCGTTGACGTGCTTGGTGGAGATCTGCTTCTCGATAAGGTCATCGGGAATCTTCTCGCCAGTCTCGTAGTGTTGCGACAGCGCCTTGATAACACTGGGGGTCCAGCACCAGTTCTCCAACATCTGCGATGGGGCCTCAACGAAGTCTCTGACGGTGCTGGTGCCGTGGAAACGGCTGTATGTGCAGCGGCCGGCCAGGTCGTGGATACCGTGGCCGAGCTCGTGGAAGAGGGTGACGACTTCGTCGTGCTTGAGAAGCGAGGGCTTCTTGGGCGTGGGCTTGCTGAAGTTGCAGACCAGAGCGGTGGCAGGGTATCTGCGCGAGCCGTTGGCTTGCAGGTAACCGGGCTGCAAGTTGAAGTTGGCAGCGTGGCCGTACTTGCCCTGGCGAGGGTGCAAGTCAAGGTATAGGTAGCCGACGAATCCTTCTCCCTCGGAAGCATCGTCCCATACACTGAAAATGATGACATCCTCGTGCCATGCGATATCCTCACCCTTACCTGTAGGGCTGAGGGCCTTGCGGTCCTCGGGCTTGAGCTCAACAAAGACGAAGCCAAGGAGCTCCTCAAAGATCTTGAGCATACCAGCAATCGTCGACGTAATGGGGAAGTACTCGGCGATCTTGTTCTCGTCGATGCTGTACTCCTTCTCAATCATCAAACGGTCGTAGAACTTGTGGTCCCACAGGTAATAGTTGCCATCGTTCTCAACGCCGCGGGCGTCGGTGTCAGCCTTCTTGAGCTCCTGGAGGTGCTCGACTTCCTTGGCACCACCGGCGGTCAGGCGAGAGCGAAGATCGCCCAAGAAGTCGTTGACGGTCTTGGTGGTCTTGGCCATCTTGTCCTCGATGCGCAGGGCAGCGTGGTTGGGGTAGCCCAGCATGCGGGCGGCCTCATCACGGAGAATGATGGCCTCCTGGAAGAGGGGAACGTTCTGGTTGCACTTGTTCTCGTTCTGAATGAAGACCTTGCGTCTCGTCTCGGGGTTCTTGGCGAACTTGAGAGTCGGAAAGAGGTCGGGGTACTTGAAGGAGAGCTTGAGCTTGCCCTCGTTCTCGCCGGTGCCCTTCTCAAGACCGTCAAGGACGTCCTCTGAAACACCATCAAGCTCCTCCTTTGTGAACCAAATGCCACCGTTCTCCTCGTTCAGGTTCTTTGTGAACTCGATCTGGATCTGACTGAGACGCTTCTTGATCTCCTTGAAGCGGTCACGCTGTGGCCCAGCAGGCAGACCCAGACCCATCTTGATGTAGTTCTTGTAGTCCTTCTCCAGCAACCTCAAGCTTTCGGGGTCCAGACCCTCGGCATCTTTGCGCTGATGGAGAGCCTCAATGAGCTTGTAGACATCCTCCCTCATGTTCACCTCGATCGAGAACTCGTCCATGATGGTATCGGCTTGGGTCGAAGCCTCGCGCAGGGCGGCGTCGCTCGAGACATATTGGTAGAAGCCGAGAATGCGGGTCGACAGTCCGCTATCGTTCTCGTCTTTGGCGATGGGCTTCATGACATTCTCGAAAGTGACCTTGTCGGCGGGGTAGTCAGCAACGAGCTTGTCGAGAAGCGCGCGGGTCTGGTCGCAGATTTTCTTGGAGTCGCCAACGATGGACTCCTTGGTGCCGGTGAAGACGGGGGGCGCCTGGGGCGGCGACTTGTACTTGTCGGGGACGGTCATGGCGGCGGTCACCAAGGGTCGGTATGTCGATAGAGATGGAGTGGCGACGAGGGGTAGCTGGACTGGTTTGAAGCGCAGCTGTGCAAAGAGAGAAGAAATTCTCGGAACTGCTCTTGGGGCCGCCAGGATGAGAGCCGTGATGAGGAATATGAGGAAGAAGGTAAGGGAGAGGAGGGGACGCTTGGAGGACGCCACGGCTACTGGACGAAACACGGTTCGATCAGTCGGTGAGTTGGGTGCGTCGAGGCGGGGGAGGGGGAGGGGGAGTAGCTGCAGGACCAGGTCTTGGACACGGGGCAGACGCGGATGGATGCAGGTGGAGGTGTCGATGCCGTAAATTGGTAGGTGACAGGCGAGGTTAAGCGCGATGGTACATGTAGCTAGGCAAAGAGGGGACTGAGAACGGTGACTTGCAGCAAGCTTCTGGTTTGCGGGACAATTCGTGTGTGTGTAAGTGGATGAAGGTTTACGTTAAATCTGACGAGTACGGAATGCAACGGGGTCCCCTTCTCTCTCACCTTCCAGTTGGAGGTTTCCTTGGCGGGCAGTCGCGGCCTGCCAGGGGAGCTTCACTCGAGCTCCCGGCGCTACGACGTTCCGGGCTGGGACGCCCCACGCTGAAGCAGGCGGGGTCTCAATGATGGGTGTACATATCACCAGGGGCCATGCTCTGCGCCTACGCTGTTGCATCCGTTCTGGCAAGTCTATCTGTATGTTGTCAGAAAGATGTGATCATGTAGAAAAACTCCTCAGCAAGTCCAATATCGAAGGATGTAACATTTTTGACACTTTTCATTTTTTTATTTTTTATTTTCTTAGGACGATTGAGTTGAAGTATCTCGATGAACTGGTAACATTCGGCACCGCAATCCTGCCGGTCCAAGATGCAGGCCACATCGCCTGAGGGAAGCGAGCTTACATAAGTCGGCCGTACCACCGGATTGTGCGGGGTCCTTTGTTGCCGGGCAGACGGGCCAAGGCCTGGTGCGACATCATGGCTGAGGCTGATGGATCAACATGGCCGGATCACGGAGGCCGCAGGGAAGCCTTAGAGTTGCAAAGATTAGTCCTTCATATGGAGTCTTCCGTTATCATGGACATGGTGCAGTGATTGTCGATGCATTTCCATCTCGTCCCATCATGCGCTTCAAAGCAGGCACAACCCCTAACCACTTCAGTGACGTCCACCCTATGGCGGCTTTGCAAGCTGGATGATGTATCATGGTATTTATTTCTTTTGGTATCGGTTCTATTCAGTCCCGTACATGTGTCATGTGGTCCGGAGCAACGCCTTTGAGGAGGCGGGTGTGAACTCCAGAATACCCAAATTCCCTACAATAGCGAACAACGCAATCGCAACGCAAAAGCAAACGCCATTTCCCATCGTGCCAGCCATGCAAGTGTCTCTTTCTTCTCTGTTCGTAAACTGCCTCCGGCTCGTTCCTCTGATCTGTTCGTACAACGCTCGCTCGCTGGATGAATCTAGTTGGCGAGAATGGTTCGGACAAGCTCTGTCGCGCAGGCGTCAGTAAACACGGCCTGCATGCCTTGATACGTTTTCAGTATGCTGAAAGATAATGACTTACCGGTGTAGTTGACCTGGCCAGAGCTGGTGTCGACAGCCTTGAGCAGCTCATCGACCTCGTCGTCGGACATCTTCTCGCCGAGGTTGGTCAGGATGTACTTGAGCTGACCGACGCCGATGAAGCCCGTCATGTCCTTGTCAAAGACCTGGAAACCGCGGCAGTACTCCTCGGGTTCACCTGGGTCGCGGAAGCCGCCGGGGCGGTTGAGGATGCGCTGGAAGGTCTCGAAGTCGACTGCGCGCGCAAACATCGCTGGTCAGTATCGTGTGTCTCTCTGCCGTTGGCATACATCTGTTTTCGATGCGCGGTGGATGCAAGAGACAAAACTCACAGTCGCCGCCGACGTTCTTCTCGAGGTCGCGGATCTCGGTCAGGGTAGGGTTCTGGCCGCAGGCGCGGAGAAGGTCGCCCAAGCTGTCGATGGCGACACGGCCATTGCCGCGCTTATCGAACAGGGAGAAGGCCTCCTTGTAGTTGGTAGAAGCCTGAGCGTCGTACTGGTTAGAAGACATTGTGATATGTTTGTGAGGTTGTGTTTTGCGCAAATAAGGTCGCGATATGCGGTAGAGAGGAAGCGACGTTTCGCGGGGCGGTTGTGGAATTATCAAGTTTGGGATGTAAGGTGGGAAAACGGGGAAGAGGAATGGTTGTAGGATGAGGAATGTCGTGATGCAGCCGCAAGTTGAATGGCCCAATGGTTCGCGCGGGAAAATTGGCGCTGATCTTCTGTCCTTGGCTAGCTGCGCTGGCAGTTGGTGTCCGATCCGTTGTTTGGGTTGCTACTGTTGGCTGGTGAATGGCGCTGCTGCTGCGCTGGTGGTGGTGGTGGTACTGCTGCTGCCGGCGTCGGGTGCTGGTAGTACTGCGCCGTTGTGTGTCGCCCTTTGCTGCAAGGTTCGTCGCTGAACCAAGCTGGCGCTAAGCCTGTTTTTCGTCGGCCATCAAAGGGGTCGAAGGACTCGAAAGGGGGGTATGGAAGCCGCTGAATGGCTGGATCGATTTCCTTTGTTTACATTCCGGCCGATGGTGGGAGGGGTGCCGCCGTCCGCGGGGGGAAAACACAACAAAAAAAAAAGCAACAGAGGGGGAGGGGGCCCGGATTGGAGGGATAGAGACTCACCATTTTTGGTCTGTGTGATGTGGTATGTGGTATGTACGTGGGGGAGAGAAAGTAAACAACAGGTAAAGAAAAGTTATTTGCCTTGGGATATCAGAAAGGACGAAAAAAAGACAGAGAAGAGACGTGATGATGTTTCCTGGAGGTTGTTGTCTGCCAGTCGAAACACTTTATGCTTGCACTTTCCCTTTTCTTCGTTTCCTTCCCCCAGTCTGTCAGTCGGTCACCACCTTCCGCTATCTGTTATGTACCCTCAGGCTCAGTATTATTTTTATCCAATGCATCGAGTGCACACACACCCAATTGGTCTTGTATTCAAGTGTCATGGGCCATGGGCATTCCCAGTCTCCGTTATTCATGCGTTTTGGGCTGGCGGTGGCAGCAGCGGTGTGCACCGGCACCCAAAACTATCGAGGGCCCCTGGAGGCGGTCTACGGCAGGTACGACTGACTGTACAGATGGGTGATGCCTTCCTCATACAAACACAGTGCGTTTCTGCCGCACCAGGCCAAAACTCCTGAAACCTGACGGGGCAACCACCGCCGAGGGCTCCTCTTTCCTAATCTTGCCGGGTAGCCAGAGCCAATCACGGCTCTCGGATGAGTTGCTGCCCCCCTTTCCTTTTTTGCTCAGTCCCAATGTCCACCTGCCCAATGGTCCACGACTCCATCTTCCAATATTCTGTCATGGCTGGAGACTTGCACAAACGCTATCGACGTCTTTCATTGCGGTGAGTCGACATGATCTACTAACACATTTAGGTACGAGCCATGTCTTTGCACTAAATTCGAATTGTGCCTAACCACGGTTACCAAGACCGCCTAAACTCTCAATCGCCCCAAACTTGCACGTTGCGGTTCGTCCCGACTCTTCAGACTGCCATATCGGGCTCGACCTGCGAGTCATCTCACTTCACTTTCGGCACAAACGGATCCCTTCTCCATGGCCTCTCTCGATCCCGTCACATCATCTCTACTCGTACGTACAGACAGAGTCCGAAGCCTTAGTTTTACTTCCTCTTGGCCAGGATGATGGTCGTTCCCCACACAGCCTCAACCTCGATATCCCGCCACTTGTCTCCCGCAGCCATCCACTCTGGCACCGCCTCCAGCAACCGATCGAACAACAGATCCGCAATGTCCCCTTCCGCCCCGCCCTCCGCTCGGCTCTTCACCTCCGGATGCGCGTCTCTCCACCCGCGGTACGCGCTGAAAGTGTGCACATACCCCTCAAACTCGCCCAGCTTCATCGTCTTCCGCTGCTGCCACGCCGCCCGCGGATCTTCAGGATCCATCGCCTCGGTATTTGCATCCGCCTGGGAAGTCTTCCTATCCGGGTCGTATACGATGCGCTTCACCTTCTCCCACTCCGACTCGGGAGGCACAACCGCCGCCAGGTTATCCCGCAGGATCTGCCGCCCGGGCTTCTCCCAGTACGGCCCCATCGTCTCCACTCCGCTGCCGGGCGACGACTCCCCTTCGCCGTAACAAAAGTGCATAAAGATATCGTTAACCGCTGGGAACCCGACGAGGATGTTGTCTTTATATCCCCAAAACGCCAACGTTCCGCCGCTCTTGACCACTCGCGCCAGCTCAGGCCATACCTTGTCGTAGTTGAACCAGTGCGCCGCCTGGCCCGCGACCACGAGGTCTACCGAGGCGTCTACCACAAAAGATAGATCCTCAGAGCTGGCTTGGCGAAATGTGATTTTCGGGTCCGAGGTTGAATCTGCTGCCTGCTTCACCATACCCGCACTAGGGTCAATGGCGATGACGCGAGCGAAGCTCGGGCTGAGCTCTCGCGAGATGAGGCCGTGGCCACAACCCAGGTCCAGCGCCGTGCCGCTCGTCGACTGGGTGTTGTGATACGCCAGCACCGTCCTGAAGAGTGATGCAGGGTAGGATGGGCGAAAGGCCGCATAGCCTGCGGCCGAAAAGGTTGAACGTCTGTAATTACATGTCAGCTTGAGACTGATGGCATTTGGAATTCTGCTGCCAAGATGAGGTCGTCCACGTACGCAAAAACAGACATCATTAGCCGTGTAAGGAAGGTAGGTTATGACAGTGAAGCTGCAAGGTTGTAGTTGCTAGCCCTGGCGATTTTCGTGGGTTGGTTGATGGTCCAATGAAGACTCAATGATGTGTAATGCGGATACTCGCAACCGTCTCTTTGACCGAAAAGGAGGCGGCCATCCTCCATTTTATTCCCATGCTTCTCTCGGGCGGGATCCTTCCGACGATTCAGGGACCACGGCTATCCGGAACAAGACCGTCAAAGAAAACCTGCTATAATAGATTGCCACGAGGGCATTCGAAGGTCTCACAGACTCAATCTCACATATCGAAACCCAAGCCTGACTTAGTTTCTAGAATAAGGCAGGTAGTAGCCGCGGCTCCGTGGTATGCATGGCAGACTTACAGTGGCAGGTCGCGTCATCAGCCGTGGCCCGCACGCCTCGGCCGCCCCCCCAAAGGGCCCACTGACGTGCTCGGGGGTCGGAGCTCTCAGCCTGGCCCCTCGAAACTCCATTTCAAGGTCCGAGTCGCCCGCCCGAGGAACCCCTCCATCTCCGTCCTCCTCGCTCTTCAACAACTCCCGTCCCTGTGCCTCGAATACACTTTCCACACCTTGGTCCATCCCGAAACTAGTGCCCGACATGTCGACCGAAGCCACGGCCCGTCTTTTCTTTTCGCAAAAGTTCATTGCGGTGGTGGGCGCCAGCTCGAACCCTGCCAAGTTTGGCAATAAGAGTGCGTTGTTCCCTGAGGCTTATTTCCGTTCGACACTTGCTGGAGGTTCACGCTTGGTCTAAGCTCGAGGAGCTGTCACTCACTCATTCACTCACTCACTCTCACTCACTCTCACTCTCACTCTCACTCTCACTCTCACACCATCTCACTTGTGCAATCTCACTTCACTTCCACTCACAACATCCCCTCAATCCTCACTCAAATCTCTCCTCACTAACATCCCCACGCAGTCTTCGCCTGGTACCTATCCCACTCCATCCCAGCAACCCCCATCAACCCGACCGCAAGCACCGTCAACGCCCTCGGAAAAGACCACCCGGCCCTCCCCAACCTCGCCGCCCTGCCTCACCCCAAAGACACCGCCGTCTCCATCATCACCCCGCCGCCCGCGACCCTCAAGGTCCTGCAGGAGGCGAAAGAGCTGGGCGTGCCCGCCGTCTGGCTGCAGCCGGGCACCTTTGACGACGCAGTGCTCGAGTACGCGCGCGGCGAGGGCGGCTTCGAGGCCGTTGTTGCCGGGTTCGGGGGCGGGACTCGCGGCGGGGAGGGGTGGTGTGTCCTTGTCGATGGGGAGAGGGCTATGAAGGCTGCGGGGAAGCTTTGATGGGTCAAGATATCAGACTCGTGATATGAACCGTGGACCGTTCTAGAGTATGGAAGTGAAGTCCTGCTGAACGAGGGGTTCATGAGATGAGATGCTGTTACGAGATGAATGAATACTAGTTTCCTCCATAAAGGGTCACCAGCAACCCCAATGCGAGACTATAGAAGCAGACTACGCTTGGGTTCTGTTGATCCATGAACTAGACTCTGAGCCCCAGCGAACCCTTCGTTCGTCCTCCATGGATTCCCCATCGTGAGAGATGCCGCGTTGGCGATCCCGTGCCGAGATAGCTCCGTCCTGGTGCTGTCTTTAAAGTTGTGACGGGCGCATTCGCAGCGTTTTTGGGCCGGCATTTATACCAGGTCACACCACCCCCCTTCCCCCTCTATCGAAATTCAAATCTCCAACCTTTCTGATGCGTCGACAGGACGATCGCTCTTGGGATCTTGGGTGTCACTTCATCACTCGTGATCGAGTCAAGGGCTATGCTGCCAAATCTGGGGTAACGGGAGCGTCTGTTGCTGTGGGCCGCATCTGCCGCTTCGCCCTCCCATCCTTTTTTCCTCCCGGCGGCGCCTCCCAATTGAGCCTCAAGTGATTCCATCATGACATGTACACTCTGAATTCCAAGCCTACATGCCAAGTCCATTGGGTGGCTGGGTTGCATGAGCACCAACCATCCCACTGTCAAGTCTCGGAGTGTTGAATAGTCTTTCTCAGACCACATCGCCCGTCTTTCAGGTTCAGCATCCCATCTCATTCTGAATCCCAACTAAACTTCACGGTTCCCCTTGTTCATCCTCGCTGCCCTTTTCCGTCGTGCCGCAAGTTCATGGAGTAGGCAATACTTCTGAACATGCAATGATGGAACGCACACGCCTCATCCGCTACCCCGACGCTCCTCATCCCCTTGACCCGTCACACCCCCTAGTCAGAAAGCGACAAAGTGTGGTGAGGTGTAGAGCTTTCCCCGCAATACCTCTAGCCCGGGGGCAGTCCCAAGCGTGCCCCACACGAGCTGAAGCTTCCCTTTCCCCCCTCCTCCGCAAGGTTTCTCCCAAAACTCAAACCAACCAAACCCAGCTTCCCCTTTTCGGAATACTAAACGGACTTACACTCTAGAGTCTCCAGTCTCGACGTGGTAGATCACGGATAGATCATGGATAATGGTGGACCGTGGGAGGGACAGCAAGCGATGGAGGACGGACGTAATTGCTGGCGCTACTGCAAGACCGGTCAAATAAAATGTTGTGTTCGCTCCCGTCAAGCCAAGGACCTCACGTCAATCTTTCTTATTCCCAGACTACATCCATGTGCCGCTCAATGCCGGGTAGTCCTTTTCCCCTGTCGTCCTCCAATCCACGCTATTCTGCATACCAGAGTCAGAAAACTTCCGTTCCTCCATGTCGTTCATTCGTCTGCTCGTTGATTCGTTGGTTCGTTTGTGCGGTTCCGCATCCTTACCCCAGCTTTGCCCAGGTCCTCCATTGAACGAACCAACTCAGCCATTTCCCCAGGAAGCGCCGCTGGTTTCTCTCCCTTACCTCCACGCGAGATTGTTCGAGTAAGTCTCAACTGGGGCATGGCAGGTTATTGACTCGGTCAGAGCCTCAGACAAACGCGCCCAGAAGAGTCCAACAGTGACGCCTCAAACGCACAATTCTGCATCCGCGCGAACCCTTGACGACTCACCAGTGTGATTGTGACATGAGCTCAGGCAGGCGTGGCAGGCGTGGCAGGTCTCGCCGTTTCCTCTTCCCCTCAGCCCCAAATGTGTTCAACTGAGACATTGACGGGTTGACTTTTCCCAGACCGCGTGCTTCACACCCTCAGCTGGGAAAGAGAGAGAGAGAGAGACAGGAGAGACGTTGTTGGTCCAAGACAGGACGCAACGCTCCAAAGTAAGGCAAGCAAGCACCCTTCTCTCACATATCCCAAGTTCCTTGCCTTTCGCTCCCAGCTTCAACCAAACCATGTCCCAAAACCCCAAACGTGCTGCCCTCCAATCCGATAATCTTTCCAACGGATTACCTCTCAGTGTCACCGGATGGTTACTCGTAACTCGTTTGAACCATGCTCTTGCGGCAGCAGTTCCAACGAATCATCCTCGTAGATCCTGCATCATGCCACCCTCCAGATTGAAGCAACCCATCCCTTGTCCCGAATCCTGGGGTATCCGTCTGCCGGTGGTCCTAGCCCCAAAGTGGGTTCGGTCGATGTGGACTCGTGGAGGAGCCTCCTACCCTATTGCGTTCTCGCCCACTTCTCCTCCTCAGAGTCCACGGATGCGTTTGTGTCGTTGGTCGTTCTAGTTCAGGAAGACCTACCACCAGATAACCCAGTCGTGGTCCTCATAAACCCCGGTATTCCGTTTGACGTGTGGGTGACCGGGGTTTTGGGGAGGAGGTGGGGGCGTGTGAAGTGGTGATCGTGGGAAAAGACTATCCTATCCGTCTCAACCGTCCTGGCCCAGTGCCAGCAGGGCTCCCAACTGCCAAGACGGCCCTGGTCGTTTGCTAAACCCCCCAGTCTTTTCTTTTTTACGTCTTGGAAACGCTCTTTAGGGTGTGTGAGAGAGAACGAGAGAGAACGCCGCAACGCGAGAAATACTGAAAGAGATGGGTGTGGAGGACTAGACCCGTTACGGCCGGCCTGGACCTTTATACATCTAATGGCCCAGTCCTCCTCTCGGATGCTTGCGTTCAATCTTGGTTGTCATTCCTGTCATCTCTTATTTCCTCCGTTCATCCAAAGAACATAGTGTACCATTTGTATCATTATCCCTCTCCTCGAGCTCATCGGTCGGTCAATTCCTTTGATATCTCACTTAATCACCCCCCCCTACGAAACGCCAGAAATACCACCTTCGCAATGGATAACAAGGAAGACATTCACGAAGTCCGCTCCCACTCCCACCACAACGAGCATCGCCGTCCCTCAGACCAGCACCAACGCATCGATAGCCACCATCGTCGTGTACCCAATGGCGGCGGCTACAACGAGTACCCAGAGGACGAGTACGTGGCGCCCCAGATGAGCCGCGATGACGCTCTCAGGAGGATGAAGACGGCGGGGTCAATCTCCATGTCACCTGAGTTGTTTGAGAAATTGTATCTGTCTCCGCAGAACAACGTCAAGGGGGACCTACGCAGGACCTTTGGTAACCCAACTCCAATGTAAGAGACTCTCGCACCTTTGATGGATGATCATCAGTGTATTGGCATTGACTAACACTTACACAGCGCCATTGTCGGATTTCTCATCTCACTGACGCCTCTGGCCTGCGACTTGATGGGTTGGAGAGGAGCAGGCGGAAGCGGTGCGGCAGGCATGTAAGTCATCCTCCAACACCCCACCTCACGGTTCTTGAACTCACATGTATTCTTTTTCACAGCGGCTCATACTTCTTCTTCGGCGGTCTCCTCATGTTCGTTGGCGGTCTCCTCGAATGGGTCCTCGGCAACACCTTCCCCTCAGTCGTCTTCCTAACCTTCTCCTCCTTCTGGTTCACCTTTGGCGCGACACTGAATCCCTCCTTTGCGGCCTTCTCATCGTACGCTCCTGCGAACGCGACGTCTGGGGCTGAGGGATTGACTACGCAGGGGTTTAACGCTAGTTTCGGTCAGTACTTGATCATTACCCTTTCCTCATACCACAATGGACTTGAACTGACAGAGGTTATTTGAACAGGTTTCATCACCCTCGCGATGGGCATGATCTGCGTCGTATTCCTGATTTGCTCGCTCCGCACGAACATCGTTTTCTTCGTAATCTTTTTGACGCTCGTTGCTGCTTTCGGGTTAATTACGGCCGCGTATTGGTTCCTTGCCATGGATTACACTAGTAATGCTGCTTACGCCGCAAAATTGCTCCAGGTCAGTCTTAAGCGCGTGTGATATGCGAGAAAGTAAGTACTGATACCATCTTTGTAGGCTGCCGGTGCTTGCGCCTTCGTAACTTGTGCTGCTGGTTGGTGGCTCATTTTCGCCATCCTCTTGGCTTCGCTCGACTTCCCCTTGGAGCTTCCTGTTGGAGATCTCAGCAGAGTGATTCGGGGCAAGAGCGAAAAGAGCCAGGTCTAAAGGGTCTTTCTCAAACGGTGGCAAGGCTCGTTTCAGGATCTATCTTTACTAGAGCAGGAGGGCAAATTCGATCTTGTCGATGACTTGTATCATCATATATCTGTGCATGGTGGAGAGTGAAATTCATATTCTAATCTTACGGGTCAAAACACGTACACTGTTCACACATCAAACAGCTGTGTCAATGACTGCATGTCACTTAATCTATCCATGTTGAAAACCCGCTTCGTCACTTTGTTATAGCGTCCTGGGTATAATTCGAAAAGGAAAGACTGCAAGCTATGTGGTGGTTTTTTTTCCAGCTTTACAGGCGCAAAAGATCAACCTCAGCGGGATCAGCTTTCAAGGGAAATCACACAAGACGGTACACAATACAACTATACAATACGCGCAGTGTGCCCCATACACGCGCTCAACTCAATATAGTGATTTCAATCCAAAAGACACGATGCAATACGGGTGGGTAGGTTCCCTGCCGCTCACATGGCGGCGCGGGCCGTCAAGGTCGACGGCAGAGGTCGACCGTCAAGGTCGGCAAGACTGCAAGCTATATATTATAACTTTCACCCCTCCGTAGAACGGCCCAGGAATGAATGCAAAAACGACATTCGGGGCAACGTGAATGATTGTCAGCCAAGCTGAGCTTCGTGCAATCTTCATCTGCCTCATTGTTTGGTTTAGAGCCTAGCCTTCCCATCCATTATCTTCCAGTTCGTCAGCACCGTCACTCAAGTCCGCCCAGCAGCTGCGGGGGATCTCGTCAAGCAAGTCCAGAGGCGTGCTTCTTCGCAGTGCTTTGAACCTTGCACCGGTATCAATCCAATCCATATTGGAGATGAAGTAATGTGTAACAAGCCTCCGTAATGAGTCTCCATGGACTGTCCATGAATAGATGACCGGCACGAATCCGAAAAGCACGGTCTTCAGTTGGTAAGTTCCGGGACATTCTGATAGGAACTGTCGAATCCTAGCCAGGCAAAGCCACTTGAGATATTCGATGGTGTACTTATCAGCGGAGAAGTAAAGCCGAACGGGTTACATGTACATTGGCCTCAGGCGGTCAACATGACGACAAGCCTTCTCGAAATCCTCAACGCCGGTAGCAGTCTTAAGAATGCGCAGCTTCTCCTCGTTCTCCCACCATTTCCGTTGGGGCTATGGACTCTGTCCAAGGAAGAACTTGTCATTCACAAAGCCATGTTGCGAGCCTCTGTGTTTGGCGGCGTTGAAATAACCCTTCATTGAACGGGGCAATTTTCCAGCGGTGTCGCCATCTTCAGGCGTCTCATCATCTTCGTCGGGGGCTGGCAGTGAATAGTCACCATTGTAGGCGTATTGAACCAGTAGGACGAAAGTAACTGGGTTAGTATCGCCCCAGATTACCTTGCCCTCCTTGGACTCTTGGAAGCCTCCTGTCAGAAGGGCGCGAAGGGGTGACGAAAGGCTGGTGAAGCGCGATTCATGGACGGTGTATTCTTTCTTCTCCGGACCGACAATGAACTTGATGTTCCTGGACTGGATCGCTCTTGGCCATGCGTTAGCTAGAATGGTATAAAGTGGAAGGTGGTGTGGTTGTACATACTCATCCAAGTCTTCGAATGTGTCGAGTCGTTTCCGTTTGCCTAACATATCTGCGATGCGCGGTGTACCGCGTGACTTTGACCGGTGTTTGAAAAGGACCCCTAATGCATTTTGCAATGAGAATGTGGGATTCCAAAGCCTGCTTTCTGGCCTAGGTATTCATCTGCGGCGCAAAAGATTATTGATGGTTAAGTTGATGGGTGGCAGTAAGGAGTAAGAGCGGGCACTGTGAGCGTAAGTGGACGATCGGAAATCTTCAAATCCGGCTTCTTCTCCATGGAACTGTGAAAAGGGACTATTTAGTTGGAAGACACCGCGGGGCCACGGGTGAGAGCCTCTCTGTCGGTCCTTCCCAGATGGTTTCCATTGCAAGATACAATCAATAATAACTTTTTCAGGCAAGGCAAGTACGTTACCTGGGGGAAAATCGACTCACTCCTGTAGACAATACTAGCAACTTCCTGAAGTCTTTTCAAAGTCCAATGGCTGTGGACAGGGTCTGTTAGACTCAAGGGACTCATTTAAGAGATCTTAGTTTCAACGTTGTATTGCGTTGTCTTGCTTCGAAAGAAAAATGCCCAGCTCTTTGCTTGCCAGGACATTGCTCGTAGTTTTACTTGGAGCAAATCACTAAAGGTAGAACCTATAGGTAGGCCGCGCTTGGCTGATAACTATGAGTTGAAAGACATCATTCGAGGGTATGTCTTCGTCTCAAAGTATGCTCCAAACAGTTCTCAATTAGCTTTGCGGCCTCTCTTGGAATACCTTAAAACAGATGCAACGGACCGGCCCGCATAATCCTTCTGTCTCCAATCATCAAGCATTCTGGGCTGGTATTAGTATCCACAAATGCCGACTTCCTTCCCAGATGATCACGGAACGCAATGACGCCGCACTCGATCCTCGGCCGAGAGGTCTTGATCTCCAGAGCCGATTTAAATAAACGTCCGTGCGTGACATGATGTTCCTGTGATCGGATCTGCCCCACAGATCTACGAGCGGTAGAAGCAAACTCCGTTAATCTAGAACGGCGGGGGGAGTGCGTGGCATCGCCGGGAACCATGAAAGTGTCGACGTGTACACATGGCCGACTTGCCGGAAAGTCAAGAGAACCCAGTAAATTACCATGTATATAAGTCATCTTTGTCGCCAAGGAATCATGAATCGATAGCTCACCACCGACGACATTCATTCTTGATCAAGTTCTCAGCCATGTCTCTCCTCGCCAAGGCCGCCGCCATTGCTTGCACTTTGCCTGCTCTCGTGCAAGGTAGCAATGGCCCTATTGCCCGCCGTCAGACCCTCAACACCACTTGCGCTGACATCCACTACTTCGAGGCCCGTGGAACGACTCTGTCTTACCCCGGAAGCTTGATCACGGTCATCGATCCGCTCATGGACGCTTTACCCAACAGCAACTATGAGGATATTGTCTACCCGGCCACGGACGAGTCTGGAAGTGACAGTTACTTTGTTGGAGTTCGTGATGGCGCCAAGCAGATCATCTCCTACGCAGAGGCTTGCCCCGAGTCCAAGATCGTCCTGATGGGATACTCCCAGGGCGCCATGGTTCTTGGAGACATCTTGGCTGGCGGTGGCGATGGCAACATCCTGGGCAACTACACTAAGCCTCAGTTTGATGCTCACACTGTTGGTAATCACAGTAAGTTTCACTGCAAAATGTGCTCTGGGAGTAATTTGCTGACGTGGCTGTCTAGTTGCGGCGATCCTGCTGTACGGCAACCCTCGACACATGCCGAACCAGACTTACAATGTTGGCGACGCTTCTGCGTTCGGTGCCACCGGCGTAAGTTTCAACCTTGCCAGGCCGGCACCTGAAGCCTATTTGTGACTGACTCTTTGAACAGAAATACCCTCGGACTGCTGGACAACTTGCTTCCTTCAACATCTACGCCGACAGAGTCCACGACTACTGCAACTACCACGACGGAGTATGCGATGCTAGCGGCGGTAACCTCACCGCTCACATGGCATATTCTTCGGATTATGATACCCAGGCAGTTGCTTGGCTGGAGTCTAAACTCCAGGCATGCTGAAGAGCACCCAAGACGTTGCTGAAATCCCCTCGCTTGGTGCGCGCAGTAGACGTTTGATAACCAGTCTTCATCATCTAGAGAGACAAAACTTGGCAGTAGGTGGCAATGATCTCATTCTTTGGTTTACACTACCATCAGTAATACGCGTTTGGCTGTAGACAAAATATATTTATAGTGGCTAGGAGCCGTACCTCACCTGACGTAGTCCAATGTTGAATTGAAACTTTCAACTTCGTGGCAAAACACTTTCTTCTTTGCTTTTCTACCCTTTCCTCTGAACGATTAGTCCACACTATGAAAATCGCAACGAAGTACTCTTTACCTTGCTGTTTTTTTCGGTCCATGACATCACGTGAAGTTTGTCAGTGTTGAGAAGCCTGAGGTCAATCCCACGTGGAAGGAAGGCAGACCCTAGTCAGCCTCACGTTCCTTCCTTCCTAGAGACGGATTCTCAACCTCAAACCCCCCCCCCCCATGACACCTTCCTTAAATTCCTTCCCTCCTACGTTGCTTTAGTACCTCAAGTCCCTGGGCCTACCTTTTCCAACTTAGTCTTTGAATCAAGACTCCGAAGAATCACTTCAAGTTGATCAATCATCATTCCCGAGCTTTCTGAAAACTTTTCTTTTCCCTTCATCTCTATCCCTCCAACAATAATCCCACTCCAGCGAGTTCGCAACGAAGCCTCGCCTCCGCAGGATCATCAAACATGTCTCTAAAGCGCAAGCGTGACATGAGCCGGTTGGCCCCCATTTACCTCGACGCGTCTTGACCAAGTTAAGCTAACGCGAGACTACAGGATCTTTCGATCCAGGACCCTTAAGTTCGTCATCGGCAAAGACCAGATCAACCATATCGGTCACGAATCTGCCTTCTTTGCTTTATCCCCATCTTTCGAGGATTTCGTTAGACGGAGCACAGCTATCCCTGTTGGCATTGCCAACGAACGTGTCAACGAAAGAGACTCGTCGTCTCTCATGTTCTGGCCTCAGATCGAGCCGGCTACTTTTGTTAACTTGATGGAGTATGCTTACTCCATCGACTACACAGTGCCTGCTTTGTCCAAATGCAAGCAGAACAGCACCTTCAACGCGGCCGAGGAAGAGAATGGAAGCGATCATACACCTAATCCGGCGAGCGACGATGGCAAAGGGAACGTCAACACACCCGGAGATACGACCCACGCGAGACCTTCAAGAGCGGGGAGTTCCACGCCGCTGCGCCTCGGGACGGGAGCTGCAGTCACTCGACAAAATACTCAGCAGCCTGAGATATCGTCATTGTACATGTGGATCAGGAGTGTCTCAAACGATTTGCAGTCTCAGCAGCATACCAGTGCTCAGTACAGGTTCTGTGAAGAGCATTTCCCCATTCCTTCTGGAGCCACCGAAGCGACAACTGAAGACTGGCTAGAAGACGTCCAGCAACAACATCGAACTGGCTATAAGGAAGTCTTCCTCGCACATGCCAAGCTATATCTCGTTGCAAACCAGTTCAAGATTGTCGAACTCAAGAGACTCTGCTTGCACAAACTTCGCCAGAGCCTCTTGTATGCTCCAGGCACCGACGAGATGTTGCGAGCCATAGCCGTTACAATTCAGCACGTTTATTCCAATACCACATCCCGAGATGACGATCTCAGAAAGCTACTCCTGCAATTCTGTCTCACCGACATGGAGTGGATGATGAGGGATAAGGATCTGGAACCAGTACTGGAGAGTGTCCCTGGTTTTGCCATTGATCTGTTTCGCGAGATCCCCCATGACTACTGGAGAGAGCTCAGAGACGGAGGGCCCGCGTAAGAGGTGGTAGCGAGTGCATTAGAATATGGACATGAAGGAAGCGTTGGCTCAGCCGAGAAAGGCGTAGTCGAGGGCCTCTTGCTGCTCAGACGGGCGAGCCTCTCTTCCTTGGCTAGAGCGAGAAATCTGCCGGGCAAAACCGTGCAAGCTGAGGATAGGGATTTTTCAGGCTAGGAAATCTTAGGAGTAGAAGGTTCGCGTTACTGAATCTGTGGGAGGATTTCTAGAAACCAAGGAAACAATCCGATACAAACCGTACTTTGGTCCTCGAGTGAGCTTCTTGGTGCAGTGTCTCAAGTCCTAACACGAAGTCGTTACGGGAGTTCTGAATGACTAACGCAGTGTGGCTGAGGGGCCTGTCACAAAGCCGACAGGGCAGAAATGAGCCACACCCCGCCGGACCCACCAGCTAGCAACGGAAACAGAGGTTGAATGTAAACAAACGCGATCGAGATAGCCAATACGGGCTGGTGTCTGCCGCACCACCACTTCAATCCTTGCTCTTCTCGACTCCGATTCTGTTGCTACACTCCCGCATTCGACGATTGAAAAACATTGCTCCCCTCGATATCTCCTTTCGACCATTCCTACTCTTCGAAGACCGACGCGATCCCAGCTCAACCTTGTGTGACCCGATGCATTCTAGCCGCGAATAATATTTCCTCCCTGCGATCGACGCGTTCGTCCTGTGCACGCCTCTTGCGCAAACTGTCCGCGCTCTGGATCGCGACCAGCCTCACTTTGCACGAACCCCGAGCTTCATAGCTATTACAAATCGCCTAGCTATAGCCTAATATGACCGAGAACCTCGCCTTTGAGGGCTTAGTCCCCAACGAATACTTCACACACGATGGCCGCCTGGGCTCTTTCCATCAGGTCTACCCTGCACCGAAGCGCCGTCAATCAGGCGCGACTAAGGGCGGCAAAAACCTCACATGGCCACATATGAAATACCTGTTGCCAGAAGACGTATGTCTGCAGTCGCGAGAGCTGGACAGAAGACGACGCGTGTGCTAACTTGCCCGCAGCTCGCGAAAGCAGGTTTCGTCTGGCGGCCGTTCCCCGAGAACCCCGACAACGTCGCATGCTTCCTGTGCAACAAATCTCTCGATGGCTGGGAAGAGGGCGATAAGCCCCTCGAGGAGCACCTGAAGCACTCCCCGGACTGCGGGTGGGCCATTGTCGCGGGTATCGAAGCCAACCTGAACGGTCTGTCCTCCGAGGACCCTGCCAGCACCCGAATGATCGCGGCCAGGAAAGCGACTTTCGATGGACGGTGGCCACATGAGGGAAAGAGGGGCTGGAAGAATAAGATCAAACAGGTCAGTCACGGCATTCCGACCAGACCTCCCTCTGCTAACCAGATTGTAGCTCGCCGAAGCAGGATGGAAATACACGCCTTCCCTCGAATACAACGACATGGCGACTTGCACCTACTGCGAGCTTGCTCTGGACGGTTGGGAACAGAACGACAAGCCCATGTACGTCCCCTAGAGTTCTGTTTCCCCAAACATCATCTGACCCAATCACAGGGACGAACACTTCAACCGATCCCCACATTGTCCGTACTTCGCCTTGGTGAATCAACACGCTTCCACGAGGAAGCCAAAGGGCAAGGCAGCCCGAGGTTCAAAGAACACATCAAGGCTATCCGTACAATCAGTCGCGACATCAGTGTCCGACATCACATCGATAACAGACGTTCCCGCTGAGTTCGACGACAGCGTCTTGACAACGACCTCCACGATGGGCAGCAAGAAGGGTACTCGCGCCAAGAAAACCACAACCGCGGCGAAAGGCAGGAAGACCAAGGCAAAGAAGGACGAGCCTGTTGAAGTTGTCGAGGATGAGGCCATGGCGGAGGAAGAGATTCCGCTACCATCAAAACCTGCCCGAGGCCGCAAGCGCACGAGCGACGAAGTCGATGATTCAGCGCTCACAGTATCTGAGGCGCCTGCACCAAAGAAACGCGGAGGACGCGGTCGCCCCAAAGCCGCAGCTGATAGCTCGACAATCGAACAATCACAACAGGACATCAGCATTGGCGATGCGCCGCCACCGGCGAAGGCACCAAAAGGCCGCAAGACTGCGCGCGCGTCTGGGACCAAGGGAACACGGAAAGCCTCGGCAACGTCACAGAGGTCAAACGCGTCGATAGTATCCTTGCGCACTGCTCCTGGCGCATTCCCCGAAGATGATGACGAGATTACCCGGCAGCTTGAGGCTGACCTTGAGCGTCCGCTGACCGACGACGAGGATATCATGCAAGATTCTGATTCCGAACGAAAGAAAGCCCCTGCGCCCAAGGCGAAGTCGAAGAAGAGCCGTTCGAGCAAGGAGTCTGCGGTCAGTGAGCCGTCAGATAACCATGAGATGTTTGACGCGGAACCATACGTGGCAGACGAAAACGATGTTGACGACGAACTGAAGCAACTGGAGGCCGAAATGACCATTGACGAGCCTGAGGTGCTAGAAGTTCCCAAAAAGGGGGGCAAGGTCGCAGCGCCCCGCAAGGTGTCTAAGCAGATCAAGGCTCAGAATGTCAAGGCCGCTAAAGTGGTCGTCGAAGAAGACGAGTTAGCGGTTTCAGCAGAGCCTAGCCGTCCTGAGGAGCCTGCTGATGTTGAAGAGGACGAGATCAGCACTGCCACGGTGATTACGACAAAGCCTGCTCGCGCAAGCACTGGTAGGAAACGCGGTCGCCCCTCAAAGGCATCATTGGCGTCGCGTGCATCTCTGGAAAACGCTAGTAAGGTTGAAGAGGTAGAGGCTATTGAGCCGCAGATTGCGGCCGCTGCTGATACGGTTGAGCCGCAACTTGAGGCTCAGCCTGAGCCTGAGCCTGAGCCTGAAGCTGAGATTGAGACTGAAGCCGAAGACGCGTCTGCGCGCCAATCTTTTGCTTCGGCACGGCAAACACCTGCGCCCGTAGAGCCTCAAGATGAGCCTGAAGAAGAACAAGAGGAGCTGGAGGAACCAGAGGAAGACCTTCCCGATGAACTTGCGGACGAGCCGGAAGAGGAGGAAGAGTCCGAGCTGGAGCAAGCAGATGAGCTTGAGCAAGAGCCAGAATCTGAGGCACCTGAGCCCACACCAAGGAGCGCACTGAAGACGAGCTCTCCGCCACCGCTATCATCTCCCGTCCTTACTTCATCTGCTCGCCGCAGTGTGCAAAATCAATCAGGGACACCGCGAATCTCTCCTGCCCAGTCGGCTCGCCAGGCAGCTGTTTCCCCTTCGCCATCTCCCCAGTCCTCAGATGCCGAGAACCAGCCTCCGTCTTCAAGACCCTCCACAACTCAGAAGCGAGTGACACATGCGCCCATCTCATCTACCCCAGCAAGACCAAACTCGCCGACTAAGCGCAAAGCTTTGGCGAGCCTCCAAAGCACTACGCCCTGGAACCCCGTTGACATCGACCTTGTCTTCGGATCCCCCGAAAAGTCGGACAAAAGGAACCCTGTAGACAGGCTCCTTCACAAAGGCACGGAGCTGACAAGCCCCGAGATGCGCATGACGGTGGAGGAGTGGATTCACCACAATGCCAACCAGGCCGAGTCGAAGCTGCGACAGGAGTGTGAGGCTATGGTTAGCAAGTTTGAGAGCGAGGGTAGCAAGGCCATGAATGTCTTGGAGGGACTGATTGTAGATTGAGTGTTTGCATAGCATAATGTCGTTTGGAGCACCATTCCGAGGTTAAGAATTGGACTATGATCATTATACAACAACAGACAAGTGTATGCGCCTTTTGACGAGCTCATTCGGCCGTTATAATTGGGTCAAGGCAACAAAGTTGAATAACGACACTTTCAACCGAGTTGGGGAAAGAGAAGGGCCACGAATTGGCTCTCTAGCATTTACACACAAAAGGAGAATGGCAAGGGGGAGCGTATTGTTCTGACAGGCAATTGTCATTATTATTACTGATTTTTAAATAATGAGGGTGTTTGATCTAATCTATGTGCATTAAGAAATCCCCTCCTGAAAATGTTGTTTGGAATGTTTCCTCATTCGTCTAATTCATGATCCTAGTGGTATCGTTTCCGGCATGTCGATGTTTCATTACTTGCTCACTTCACCCACTACTCCTTCACTTCGTTTTGATTGTGTCTTGTCTCTTACACTGTCATGCCGTCTCCGTGACGAACATGACTTAGGTGCAGTGCTGAACGCCGTCAGCGTGGGTGTGGCACTCCTGAGGAGCACTGGAAGTCGCAGCGGCAGTGGTGGTAGCGGCACCAGCAGCAGCGGTAGTCGTAGGCGTAGCATCGTGGTCGTGGTCCTCCTCCTCGAGCTCGCCAGGGCATCCGACGCCGGGGGCAGCGATATCGTAGGCCCAGACGTCAATGGCGAAGTACTGCAGGGCATCGCTGTCAACGACAGAGTAAGTCGCGTTGTTCTTTGCGAGCTCGAGGGCCTCGGCGTAGTCTTCGGCGTAGTGCTCGACGGCGCCCTCGGAGATGAGGGGCACATGGAAGACGCGGTGGAGGAGATCGGTGGCCCAGAAGGTGTTGAGCTTGGAGTTGGCAACGTTGTAGCCCAGGCCGCAGACCGAAGAAAGGGGGCGGCGGATCTCGAAGGACAGAGGGCAGATGACGGTCTCCTGGGAGGCGTTTGCGCCGCGCCAGTGGCCCGCCCAGCCGGACTGGGTGGCGCAGTTGCGGTCCGGGTCGTCGCAGCGGAAGGTCATGCCGTTCTTGTCTGCGTTGACGACGCGGTCGTACCATCCCACGGGGGTGGCGGTGGATGAGTTGCCAAAGTACTTGCGGACGTGCTCGGAGCTGTTGCCGAAGCGGAGGATGTGGTCCCGGGCGTGTGCGGCGAGCTGCTGAGTCTCGGCGAGGCCGATCTCAAGCTGGGCGCGGAGGGTCGAGTTACAGGATTGGTGGATGGGGAAGGTCTTTTGCCAGCCGGCGGACCAGTCGTAGGGGGCTTGCGGAGTGGAGGCCGGGGCCGCGGGGACGGAGACGGTCTCGGAGGTGGAAGAGGCCTGGCGGCGGGCGAGAGGGGTCGCGTCCGCGAGGGCGGAGAGCAGCAGGGCTGCGGAGGCGAGGCTGTACTGCATCTTGAGGAGTGACTTTGAAGGACTTTCTTGAGTAAGGCTTCTGGTGTGATGAGGCTCTTGTGTACGGCTTGGTGAAAAGTCTTGTCAGATGTGAGCTTGAGCTTGGACTTGGAGCTTAGGAAACAGCTTGAAGATAGGAGCTTGATATTGGAAGATGCGAGGTATGCAATGGTCTTTTATAGCTGCGGGGTGCCATGTGGATGAAGTTTTTCTTTCTCAGTTCCGTCTCCTCGGGTCTCCAATGGAACTCGAGAGGCTCTTCGAGATGTCGAGCCAAGACCTGCTAGCGCTGCCATGCTTGCTTGCTTGGGCAGGTTCGTTGCTCGTCTTGCCCACAAGTAGGCAAATCCTTCCATCCTAGCCAGGTAGTAAGGTGTGTCGGGCATGTCCAATTCCATCCTAATGCCCTCTTGCTCCGGATTCTGCGTTCATTGCTAGCCATCTTTGCCGCTTGTCGCAGTTGGATAATCCCTCCATCTTTCCACGTTCCCCTCTCGTCGTATGCTCGTCAACAAGCTTCTTTGATGAAAAAGATCCAATATTGCGCCAGTGGAGCCCATTCCGTCGGCCACGACTGCCTTCTTAGAACACTCTTGGCCATGCGTGAGGTATTAGTCGGGTGATGCCAAGGCGCGGGCAGCTCTGTGCCAAGCTCACGATCACCTTGATGTTCTTGAGGTCGATTGGACAATGGACCATAGAACGAATGGCGAAGCTTGGTTGCAAAAACTCGACTCCACGGCCAAGAAGTGCTAAGTCGTGTTGGCTCGTGAATTCGGTGACGTTGGAGCGGACTTTTACAGCTGGGAGCTGAGTCGCCCGGTGGCCATCCGGGTTCTCGGACCCCCGCTCGACTCGGAGGACATCAAGGTGTCGGAACCGGGGTCCGGCATAGACCCGCTTTTTGTTTTGTTTTTGCTCTCTTGTTTCCCGCCCCCCCGCCTCGAGTGTTCTGCCTGTCTCGTTTCCAAGTGTTGGGTTGTTTGTTCAGCTTGTGGGCTGAATGCTTCAAACTCTTGCCTAACGACTGACAAGTGCGACCCTCCAACTTCTGTTTCCCTTCTCGCTCTCCACGCTTGCTTTCCGCATGCATAGAACAAGACCAGCCACGCCATGGGTTCACGACACCACTCACATGGACCGGGGAGACTCCGAGACGGTCTGTTAGAGCTTCCAGTCACTTGGTAATACTAGTATCTTAGTGGCTACGTCGGGACATGCGCGAATAGTGTTGACGGATGTAACTCTATTGCGTAAAGTAAGCGTCGAACACCTGCAGGACCTTGCTTCCGTCGCGGGGGTTCCCGTTGTTCTGTCGTCGGTCGTGATCCAGGAGCGCGGTTTTCGCCTTCAACACTTCGTGGCTACGGCCGGTTCTTGCTTTGAGGGATTTATGAATCCCCTGGGCAGGGTAGGCAATGAGGCCGAACATTGCTAACCACGCCGCCGGGTTAGCTTCGACCGAAAACTTTTGCCAAACATGAGGGTTGTTTGCTTACCTGCTCCTGGTTTGAGCAAGAGGCCGACGGATCCTGTGGCAACTCCCTTTGCTAGACCGAGCGCACCTCCTTCCTTCGCGCCTTTGTAGGGATCAGTGAAGACACCCGTCAGTCCGTCGTAGAATCCGGTCCCGAAGGTCTAGGTCCACGTCAGCCATGATTTTGTATGATCATATTCGATAACCAAACTTACCTTGGCGGCTACAACTCCCCCGCTCTTCCAGTCTTCCACCTTGCCGTTATCTCGTACCTTGTCGCCGTACAAACCCGGAGTGTTGTGCAACCCTTCTGCGATAGCAAGAGGCATGCTCACAAGGCTGCCCTTGACTATTGATCCGGTCATGGAGGCGAATCCCTTGCCAACGGCCATTGCGGCGGCACCACTCGCTTGACCAGCCTCATGACCCGTCGCACGGGAGCGCTTGTACTCCTTCCAAGGATCGATAAAGGTACCTCCCAAAGCGACGGTGAAGTCAGTAACGATACCTAAGAACGAGGAGGCACCACCGGTGATGGGATCCCATCGCTTCACGTCGGTGTCGTATTCTTTCGTTCTCAAGGGCTTCAGGTCGGCCATCTTGATCTTTTTCGCATCGATCAGAGAAGACGCTGCTTGGTTCGAGAGTCTCATCCGCTTGGTGCCCGATTTGGACTGTTTCTCTAGCAGCCAGGCTGCGCGCTGGCCACAGACAAGGTCGCAACCGAGGTAGTTGACTGGGAAATTACGATGGAACGAGTCTGTGGCGGTATCGACGCCCCGTTCCTGTTGCATTGCGCTGGCTACTTCTTGGACCGCATTGTTTGCTTCGGGTGTGAGACAGTAGCGGATGGCCTCTACGAGCTGCTCCGTACGGAACTCCTTTTGAGGCATGGGCAAGGGCCCTGCGCCCGACTTTGCAATGACTCGGCCCCAAAACGGCTGATCACCAAAGAACGGGACGACAATGGTTGGTCTCGCGTTGATGAGGCCACAGGCCGTCGTGCCAGCTCCTCCATGGTGAACCACGGCTGACACTCGTTTGAACAGCCACTCGTGTGGGCAATCCCCAAGATAGAACACGTCGTCTGTGTTTGACTTGCCCTCGCCCAGCTTGCTCCATCCTCGCGAGATGATGACACGAACGCCACAAATGCCAGCAGCCTCGAGAATGACATCTGTGAAACGCCCCGGATCGTCGACAACAATACTGCCAAACCCGACATACAAGGGGGGCGGTCCGGCTGAAAGAAAGGCGTCCAAGTCGGCAGATGGCTTGTAGGATGGTTCGTCGCGCATGAAGAAGCCACAGACGTCAATTTCTGGACCCCAATCTGCAGGCTTGGGTACCACCGCCGGTGACCAACAGTATGTGTGCGGGATCTTGAGGAATGTTGTCACGCCTGGCCCCATACTGGCGGGAATCGGCGCGAGATGAAGGTCTTTCCTCCGCCAGCTGTTGATGACATCGCCCAGGCCCTGCCAGGTCATCAACTCAACTACACCATACGACAGCCAATTGGTCACCTGCGGCTCCAAGTCCTTGTTGCGTTGGATGTTTGCTAGCGGGTGGGGGAAAGCGCGCGTTGCCGTCCACGGCATGGTGAACATGATGTGCACCGGAATTCCGAGGGCCTGCGCGCAATGAACATGGGCGAAGCTCGGAGGGTTAGCGATGATGGCGTCAGCAACGAACGGTCGGCTGCTGATGGCGTCGGGATCGATGCAAGATCGCCAACAACCATAGAGCATTTGGCGTATCATCCGGCGTTTCTTCCCCACGTCGCCGCCCTTCAAAGACTCCATCGAGGGTATCAGACCAGGGTTCCGAACCATATACTTGGTTTCCGTCAGTGGCAAACGCGAGGGAAAGGATATTCAAGAGAGAAGCGCAAGACATACCGACATCAAGTCTGCAGGATCCCCTCCGATCGGGAAGAACTCGAGGCCAGAGTCGGTTACGAACTTGGCAAAGTTGTCATGTGTGGCGAGGCGAACTCTATGACCGTAACGGCGGAGAGCTGTGCCTAGCGCTATGAAGGGCTGAACATCACCTGATTACATGTATCTTAGCAGGCCAACCTCAGCGTCCAACAAGGAGGCTTTGGGCAATATTTTGCCGCGTGGAACTCACCACGACTGCCGACTACCTGTATCACCACATTCAGGAATGGTACGGGCTTGAGGTTGATGTTCGGCAACGCCAGACCCTCAGCTGTAGGAAAAGGGGGGAGCTGCTCCCACAGCTCCCCTGGATTCTGCGACTGGAAGTTGATGTTCACATGGCCGTCAGCTGCTTGAAGATTAGTTTCGAGTACGGAATATGCAGGAGTTGCTATTCTGACACTGGATGGCAGCCTGGCTAGACAAGAGCGGACCGGTGGAGTGTAGCTCGTAGGGAGGAGGGACGTTGCAGAGAGACTCTGCGTGTTCAGTCTCGGCAGCTGCCAAGCTTCTCTTTGAATCTATGATAGACATATTTTCCGTTATTGGCAAAGCGGCAGTTGCAGTAGGTGGCCGTAAGAGTATGACGAGAGAGGCCCGTGATCAATTTATACGACAGCCCTCAAAATCTCCGCCGGAAACGGTAGAGTTGTCGATGGATTCACTTTTGCGTAAGCGGCGCTGAAGCGGGGTTTTGTCGACATCGCCGGAACGCCGTTGGAGGCTGATGCCGGGCCGCAGCATGTCAGTGGCTCGCATAGTACGCGTGTTCGTTCTTTCACCGCGAGGCAACAGCAAAACCGATGTAAATATTCCACCGATTCGGCATTGCCGCCGTTGAAACCCCACTGCGCCGTGGTGATGTGGATAGCGGCGTGGGTTTCCGAGTTTACGGGGGGCTCGCATTGCTCGGTTCAGGCAATGCACAAGATGAAGTCAACTGAGGACCGATGTATTCGGATCCGCCTCGGGTCTCCATTTAAGAGAAAGCCACAATTCCATGAGCCACAGATTCGTCAGCCATATTGAGACGGGTGGCTCGAGCAGAGGCTCAATCTTTATCTCACGTGTTGATTGATGACTGATCATTGATGAGGATGATTCTCCTTTCCGAGGACCTCGGAGGTATTAATCCGGTTGTGCAAGAACAACTAGGTAGAAATAATGTATTTATGGCCGCACAGACTCTGGCCGGCATGACATTGACAGCATGACTAGCATGACATGACATACCCATGGTACGCCAAGTTGGCGTGTAAGACGTTAATCGACAGGGCTTCTTAAGGTTTCGCGGACCAGAACTCTAGGGAATGAGCCGCTAAATGTAATCAGACGAAGCAACGCAGGTACCACTCGGGCGGGACGAACACGTCGTTGCGAACCACTTTCACCATGGCTTCCACGTTGAATAAGGACAATCTCCCAATCTTTTATTTCTCCGCCGGCTTGATCGAATCATCACACGAGCATTCTATTCAATCTTGTTGAATCAGCAAGGCACCCTTAACATGTCTCACGAACCGACACCGACCGCCATCTTGTGGGACTGGGATCAGTCAGATCTCACAGACGTTGTGTACGACATGCGACGACTGTTGACCAGCCCGTCACATCTGACCGCTATCAGAGACGTCACATTGCGCGGTGTGAGGGCTGCGAGGGATCCCAAAACGGCGTTACTAGCAAGAAGCCTCACCATTGGCGAGAAAGCCACCCTCAAGTCGTGGATGACTGACTCCAACCTGTCGCCCGAAATATCCACTGCGCTCTTACAAGAATCAGAGATCTCGTTCGCACATGCCACCGCCATCCTATTATCGCGACTCCCAGCCCTCGAGACTATTGAAGCGCAGACCTATGACCGAAATGACCACGACGAATGGACGCAATCTCGCCCACCCGGTGATGAATTTTTGACTCTTCTGAGCCAACTAATCTCTTCAAATATTGCAACTGGCTCTTCTTTCAACAATGTGGAAACGATCAAGGTTCTAGTTCCGACCCCCGACGGAGATTCAGCAAACGAGTTCAACCACTATGTCTACGTTGAAAATATTTTGCCGTTCTTTGACCTCCCGCAAATCCGGAGCCTGGAGCTTCATCGAGTGGAAGACGGAGGAAAGCCGTTTTCCTGGCCAGCTCCCCATCCGAGCCCCTCAGTAACGACACTAGAACAAATGGTTCTAAGCAGATGCCAACTCTCCGAGGAGAATGTTGGCCAACTGCTGCGAGCTTGCCCAAATCTCAAGACTTTCCGTTGCGGATACGTCATCGACGCCGAGTACGCAACCACCTGGCTGGACCTAGAGGCCTTGAGAAGCTCGCTCGACACACTGAAGGCCTCACTCGAGGAGCTCTCCTTTACGCTGACGCTATGGACATCAACGGCCATCGATTGCGGCGAGGCCGGGCCCTGGGGGATCCGCGGCTCACTCGGATCACTCAAGGACTTTTCGCGACTCACTCGCCTCTCCATCTCTCTGCCGGTACTCCTCGGCTGGGAAACAAAAGGCCCGTCTAAGCTCGCAGATGTGCTCCCCGAGGGGCTTCAGGTATTGACCATCACCAACGAAATGTTCTTCTGGTGGCACTACCAGTGGGACGACCTTGACTGGGAAGAAGACGATCCCGTGGTTCCCATGTGGCAGTCGCTCGAAGCCAAGATTGTCGAGTATCTGAAGGGCCGCCCTCGACACTTGAAGGAGCTGAGATTGGAGATTTCAATGGTTGGCGAGGAGCAGCGAGCTGAGGAGTTGAAGGCCAACTTGATCGCTCAAGGATCAGACGCAGGAGTAAATGTCACTGTAGAGTTGAAGCCATAGATGAGGAAGGCAGTAGTGTCAAGAGCCTGCCATTGTCGAGACTTGAACCCGATAGATATTCAGCTTACAGGCCCACCGCACGTGCCTTTTCTTTCTGCGTCGATGACCGCAGCAGTGTGATTGACTCTTGAGGCTAACATCACTGAGGATATCACAACTTTAACATCACGGCATGAGTGTTTGAACTAATGAATATTTTGACTGTAGACTAAGTGATATCTTTGCATCAACGAGAACAAAGGAAAGCTCAAGTTCACTGGCCATATTTCCCATCGCACACCTACGACCTCGTCATTATCCCCACAACCCCCGCGATGAGACTAACACGGGCATCCATCACCGCCACCACAAGCATTGCAATCAGAGTGGTGCTGGAAATTGCAAACAAACACACCAAGACCACTCGCACCACCCAAGCAGTTCAAGCACTTAAGCGCAGCCGCCTGACAATTCGGCAGCACGCCGGGGATTGTCTCAGGCATAGACGGCGTGCTCGGCACAGGAACAGCACAACCTGCAGCCTCCGTCGCACCAAACTCCTTGTCGCCGACAGTTCCAGCGTTATCCTCAGCCAAACGCCACATGACGAGGTTGGCAATGACGGCGTGGCCGCCGGGACGCGGGTGGAACACTCTCTTGATTTCGTCTCCAATGAAGTCGGAGACCTCGAGGTTGTTGCGGCCCCTAAAAGCTGGGTCGGCCGCGCTGTTGTCGGCGAGGGAGATGACGAGGCTGGAGTTGAGTTTGCGCGCTTCCGTGATTTGGTCGGCGATGTACTGCTCCATTGACGGTGATGCAGCCGTGCCCTGACGGACTTCCAGCATGGGTGTATTTGTGTTGGACTTGGTGGTTTGCCTCCGCGGGAAGGAGCTCCAGATCTGTCCTGCTCTCTTGGAGAGGATGGACAAGAGACCCAGCTTGCTGCTGCGAATCTCTAGAGAGGGGTCACCAATTTCGCCAATCGTGGGGGTCGCACGAGGGAGCATCTGTTCGTTGTTGAAGGATGCGACCTCGGGCTCGGCTTCACGTCTCGCGAGTGTGGTATCGTCATTCTTGCTGGACCATTCAAAGAAGAGCAGGCCATCGCGGTTTCCGTTGGGCTCCTTGGTGGCACCCTCGCAGAAACGGCCCTGAAGCACGGAGAAGTACTGATCATAGTTGACAAACTCGAACGAAGAACCGGCTCTTCTGACGGCGGCCTCGATGACGTTGTTGACCGCGGTAGTGAGCTCGTTCATCAGAGTCCTACGCTCGGTAGTAAGCTTCTGCTTGTTGGCGCTGTTGAACCAGAAAGACCAGCTGACGTCGTCGCAGGCAGTCGTGGTGTTGTCAAAGAAGTTCGCATAGCCCGTGACATAAATCTTGCGGCCCGGGTTGATCTTGCTCTTGAGGCCCGCGTATAGCTTGTCCAGGTTGCCCGGCAGAGTATCCCGGATGAGGTTCAGGGTAGCCTGCATCTCGTCGGGGCAGTTGGCAAAGGGGTTCCATTGGAAGATGCAGGCGTTGAGGATGCTGGTCAGGCCGACGTCGTTGCCGCCGGCGCTGACGGTGATGATGTCGTAGCCAGTGCCCAGCGCGGAGACCTGGTTGGCGAGGATCTCGGGCGCGGTGGCGCCAGAGCAGGCGAGGAACTCGAAGGCCGCGGACTCGGGCATGAGCTCGTGGGAGTGCATGTAGGCTGGGTACGACTGGTCGTAACGGGCGCAGGTGGTTGAGCTGTTGGGATACGGCGAGCCGGAGCCAATACCGGCGGAGCTATGAAAGACATCTAGGTCAGAACGATGAATACTGGTCACGTCGTTGGGTATAACTCACTAAGAATCGCCGATAGCAGCCCACTTCTTCACCCATGAGAGGTCATAGGGGTCTGCGGGAGCAGGCTGGGCAGTGTCCCAACCCTGGTCACAGAAGCAGGTGCCTCTGTTAGACAGGTTAGTTACCATTGATACCACGTAATTATTTCAAGATACTTTAGCTTACCCTTCACCACACCATGCACCTCCACGATCTGTGCCACATTTTGTGAGGCAAGGCGACTGATCAGGGCAACTGAAAACGCATGTGTCTTGAACAATCTCACTAGAAATATGTCAGTAGGTAAAGATATTTAACCGCACGGAACACTTACTCGGCAAGCTTCTGGACCTTGAGACAACGATGAGGAGCAGTAGAATCTTTGAGACATTGGTCAAAGTTAGTTGTGCTGCACTGGTCGATGGCTCCAAAGACCTCTTCGGCCGTGGAATCGCTTTGAGCAACTGCGAGCCCAACAAAGAGTCCGAGACTCAACGTGTAAGCCTTCATACTCGGCTATGTATACAAAAAGGAGTGACTAAGAAATCAGAAGCACTAAGAAGCAGACTGGTACAGAATGATTGGGATGATTTGCTCAGATCCCCAAACACAAACACCTTCAACACGGCGGTGGTTGCATGACTATAACTGCTGTTGCAGCATGAGCCACTCGCGAGTTGTCTCCGCGCCAAGCGGACTGCAATGTGTGATGGATCTAGAACACCTCAAATAGCCTTAGTCTATAATCCCTTAATTAACTCTAAGCGTCTTGTCGTGGCGGTGCGTACCGGTGCTCGGGCCGAAGAGCGAGTCAGTGACAACAGGTATCGTACGGATAGTCGCCGACTGCGTACGGAATACGGAATCCATATATGAAGCGCAGGCCCTCGGCGGCCCCGGGCGTATCATGTTTCTGCTCGTTATTTCCTTTTACTTTGCTGCCCGCAACGGCGACGCGGCGGTCGTGATTGATTTAAAGTTTTACCGCCTTGCCGGCAACCGCGGCGCCAAGACGAAGGCTGTCACAACATGAGACGACACTCCTCCGCCCCAAGAGCCAAGGCCACCAAGGTGCCCGGGCATACCGTCGTTATTACCTCCTCGTACGTATAATACTATTAAGCCATAATCTTTCTGTCCATCGGCCTGCCCACACGTGGGCGGCGCCCCTCAGCGTTGTCCACAACCGCCGCGGGCGCCGACTCTAATTAGCCTTACTGTTCCTTAAACTCTATCTCCCTTAACGTACTAGATCGATCCCGTCGGGCAAGTATTTCCACCCCGACGCCGTATTGACAGTGCTATTATTGGTATGGGTTTGACTTCAACTTTTAATCAACGTCAGGCGAACTAATGGCCCTAGCCAACTCTTGCTGGGATGTTGAGAAAGCTGTCAGATTACTGCCAAGAGATAGTTTAGTTTACAAGTCAGTCACAGAGATCGGAGCAGTTGTTCGTAAGCCCATCTGACAGATAACTTAACTATGTCATGGGCAACTCAGCCCGGTTCCTCAAGATACTGTATGTTTCTGATGATGCTATAACCATCGTCGCATCATACCGTCACTCTCTTGAATTCCTCCGCGGTCTCGCGTCCACTCTTTCGTTATTCGGCACTTAGCCCTTACATTCTTTTGCCAGTCTATCACTAGGAATCATAGTCCGAGGTCTGCTATAGTCTCAAAATAATCCACGATGTGGTTCAACGCCGGCGGCAGCTGGGGAGCTAGCCTCTCATCACTCTTTTTGCTCTTCACCCTCATCCTCAACGTCGCTGCTCAGACCTTTGGAATCACTCTCGACAAATCAGCGCGCGACGATGCACAACGCTTCGTCTACTCCGCCAAGCTTACCTTTGAGCAAGACACGGGAACACTCTTCAACGACGGCCAGCTCTACGGGCTCGCTCGTGCAGCCTTCAACGAAATGCAGACCAAGTTCAACGCGGATAAAGTCCGTTTCAACAGACAGCCCGTCATGATGGCCGCCATGGCCCTTGGCAAGGACGTCTATCTCTCTTCCAACCTCAAGGGTGGCCCATTCTTGTACACGTACGCCGACTCTCGTCTTAAGCCGCAGGTTGTTGTTGCACTTGAGCGGTGCCAGACTAGCTTGCAGCAGACGGCAAGGCGTGGTGCCACCATTGATAGTCAGCACCGGACCCAGGCCAGCTGTGCCGAGGTTGCTGCTGTTCACCAGGTAAGTTCGGTTTTACCCAACGTCAACTATCGCCTGTCTATAAAATGATATTCTGACATATTGTAGTACTATTTGGATGATGCCGTGACCGAGGCCGCACGCAACGACCCTCCCCCGACACGTATCGTTGCCTACGGCAAGGCCGGCCAGGATGGCCCGATTGGACGTGAGTGGACTCTTTTGTAAAAGCACTCAAAAGTGGAAATGAAGTTACTAACTAATTTATCTGCAGCTCAAAACGCATGCGGTGGTGGTGATGTTGTACGCAACGGCGTCGTTACTTGGGGATGCAAGCAGTTCATGGCTGATGAACAAATCACTGTGCCACGGAAACCGACCAATAATCTCAACCTGAACCTGCCCAACCCTTTCCCCAAGTTTACCACAACGCAAGTCAGTGTCATGTGCCCTGGGCATAAGAAGCCTTAGAAGGTCTTATGACCCGGCCACGGGAGCGCGTTGGGGGAATTCACTGTACTTGAGGGGCCTTGACCAACAAGTATAGGAGGCGGTTGGAAGGCTTTTGAGATCAAAGAATAACAAGAGTTCAAACAAGAAACAGTTAGAATGCCATGCATCTGAATTGTGTACGAGAGTAAGCCTTGCTCTGATCACTATACCACGCTTTCATACACCACAAGAGAGATGTTCAAAGCAACCGAGCCAAATAGCTTCGGTGAGATGCATAATAGTTTCTATGTCTAGAAAATTGTGCCCGTGGAAGCTTAGGAACGTCTTGATTCCATCCCTCGCACACGCATCAACCCATATGACTGAGAGAGTTCGTGTCTCGTATTGGTATGAATATTGATCTGATCCCATTCCCAGTAATTCTTCTCCCCTTACTTGGACGACTAGTTCAGCCTCCCAGCCTCTCGGACAATTGCTTACGATGAGCCTTTACTGCGCTCTTGACTTTCCTGGGCTGGTCGGGAAGAGAGACGAGCCTATTTCCGTCTTCGAGGGACTCAGTGTGGGATCTAGCAAGACGCTCTTGCTGGAGCTTGGAGGACTCGCTTTTGTGATGCTTCTTGGGGTTGTCGGCCTTGTTTGCGGCTGCGGATTTAGCTCTGCGGAGTATAGATATTTAGTCAGCGAAATAATCTGGCAATGATACTCACGGCTAGCCAAAGCAGCCGTAGAGTGGAAGTATAGTCTTACTCGGAGGCAACCATCATCAGGCAGAAGGGTTACAGAGAAGGCTCCGCGACAAAATGACGCTTATAGACGGAGGGGGAAGGAGGGTGTTGAAATTTTGAAGAGCACTGCAAAACTTCCTTGGATCTCACGAGAAAGCTAGAAAGACGGACAGTTTCTTGCTGATTGAGTTCTACATCCAGATCTTGGATATAGGACTCCACGCGATTATTTATGGTTTTGAATTTGAGAAGAGAGGTCAAGATGACATATTCCCACATGGTATTAGCTGAGAAATACCTTCTATTGATCACCGCCGAACTAAGGCAAGGCCCCTTCCACTCCTCACTGTTTCGATGGCAACGCTTTTCCAACCGGTCAATGATGGCTAAATATGCAGTGAGGGGCCGATTGTAGAATCAGGCTGGACACCTTTCAAACGGGGTCAACGGTGATTAAATTTGTAGTGAAGGTCGATTAACAACTTAGGTCTAACACGCAACAGGGCAGCTAATGAGGTCTTCCTGAGATATGTGTTCGCAGCTGCGCGGTGAGTCAGGCTTACCGCACTTGGGCTTTGATTTGCCGTAGGTCTGAACAAGGCCTCAGGCGCACCTCTGCGCATGCTACCTTGATCTCAGTCCGCATTCGTGCGCAACGCCTCATCTGTAATATATCATTTATCCTGATGTCAGGTTTCTTAGCCACACTGCTGCACCTGGGTCTCTTGCTTGAGCTCCTAGCTAAGAACACTTGATTGAAATGCGGTGAAACCAACTCTTGGGAGATATCGCCCAAGGCTCGTTGGGTAATTAAAGGATGCAGCTTCCTGGCTATTATATGTTAAGCGAGGATAACGAGCTATATCACTTATATCCTATTAATAATTAGATAGCGTCACTATACGTGTCTGGTCTTTTTCCAGGTTTGCTCCATTTTGCTCATATCCCAGTCGCCTCTGAATAATCTCGAAATAGAGCAAACTTAGAGAAAGACTAAAGAAGGATATTATGAAGCTATTTAGTAGTTGATAGGATAACATTCAAATCTCAATTAACCATTCTTCCGACCAGGAACATCATTGACAAAGTTTCCCTGCCCAGTCTTATTCGCCTTCATCTCCAACCTCGTCTGAAGCCTCCTAGCGGCCTTCTCCGCCTTATCTAACTGTTTCTGCCTCGTCAACAAGACACTCCGCTGCTCAGCGGAAGACAAGTGGGCGAGCGCAGAGCGGTCATTGATGCTCAAGCGGGAAAGCTGCGTCTCAAAGACGACGTCGCGCTTCTCGGCGCGCGTCAGAACCTTTGTGTCGAACTTGCCTCCCGGTCCGGAGGGAGTTGTGAGTTGAAAGCTTGCTTCTGACTCGTTGATGCCCGAGGAGCCTGATCTTTCTTGAATGAGGTTGTCTGAGGTAGCCGTGTCGTTGTTTGCACCAATCTTGGTGCGAGGCCTCGATGGGCCTGGAGCAGAGCGATGAGAGAGCTGTTTCCCAGAAGGCAAACGGATTGATCCGCCTTCTTCCAAGGCATCAGCAACAGCCTTTCTGGCGTCGCCCTCTTCTCTTGTGTTCTTAACATCCTCTGAAGGTTGCTTGTAAAAGTCCCTAAACTCAGAATCCTCCGCTGTGACATCAAATCGACAGTGGCCTTTCCCAAGCATATGCTGCTGTACCGCAGCAGCCGTTCGTCGCTGTGTCCCGCACTGCAGACACTCGCGGTACCTGAAGATGACGAGATGGAGGTACTTTACCAACGTCTCAACATCGACGATGAGCTTTTCCTTATCTGGTATGAACATCCCATGCGCTTTATGCATGTGCGCGATATTGTCGTCAAGGGAGTCTGACGTCGTGGTGCAGAATAAGCACTCTTCCGGGATGAAGTCATCATCATCGTCATCCTCGGCATCGCTGAGATCGGCCTCAGAGGCAGACGATGAAGGGGAGTCGGATGCCGGTGTGGACTCGTCCTTGCCCGGAGCGGCGGCCGGTTGTGTGGAGACCGAGGCGGCGTGCTGCTCCGCTGTGAGAGGCTCTAGATCGGCCATGCGGCGCTTGAGGTTCGTGACGTGCCATTGGCTTTTTGAGTGGGCACGGCGGGTGTCGGGGTTGTCGAAGTGGACGGCGCAGGTGCCGCATGAGGTTGCCGAGAGCTTGAAGTGGGAGATGCTTGGTTGCTCCATGGTAGCGGATGTGGTGTTGGTGGTTGTGGTTGTGGTGACGCCGAGCATGAGATGCAATTGAGGGTGATGAGCGGAAGATGTGTGCTCGTTCGGTAGCGCCTTCGAAAAGATCGTTCAGGGTGGTCTAACGAATTAATCTACCCAGTGAGAAATAAAGAGCTGGTATGCTTCGGATGTGCGATTGCTTTATAAGATAAATCGTCACTTTAACGAGCTGTCAGGCGGGAATCGAAGCCATGTTGGATGGATCATCGTGGCAACGGCCGAGACTTCTCGGTCCACGGCGATCAAAGATCGCAAAGCACAATTGGCGAATCAGCAGCGTCTTACTAAACTCCAGCCCTCAAAACACCATTCATCAGCCGATGCCGTGTGCCCGCGACAAATCCCTTGACTCAAATTGTGGAGTCAGTTAGCTAGCAAGTCTCGACTGCCTGCAGCATCGCAACAATGAAAAACTGGACGAAGGATTCAAAGCCTGTGCAATTTTTGCAATTTTTCTCAAACAATTGCTGGACATCTCAGAGGCGGCGTGACTCCGACGCTGCAAAGGGTAGCGATTGGAGGAAGGGTACCAAGATGAGTCATATCCCGGGGCCGAGACCTTCCCTATTGGGACGCGTCGTCGTTGGCAATTGAATGAGCCATCATGGATCGACTCCACTGCGGTCCGAGTTACAGGGGGCTATTTGCCGTCGCCGCACCGAACTCAATTCCATGACATGACGGACTTGACCTCTGGCTGGGAAGGACTTGGTGGAAACCATATTTGGTATTGTTCTGGGGAAGATCGGTGTTCAAGACAAACCACCTGAAATAAAGGGATCCATCTGGACCCTTTGCGAGGCGTATCGCCAAGTTGAAGTCAGGACAAAAGCCTTCGTCGCTTTTTCTTTCCCTCGCCTCTTCAGGTCTGATGGTTTTGCGCATCCATAATTGTTTAACATTAGGAGAAAAGAACATTTTGTTGGGCATAAGTGAGAAGCGAAGGTTGAACATGCTGTCGCCCGGGCACCAAGGAGATGTAAGCCTAAAAGTGCAGCGATGCACTTCTCGATACATGCAGACATTTGGAAGCGAGTAACAAGACTTGAGTACGTGGATTTGTTTCATAAGTTGGTATCGAATCACTTTTCAGCCGTAGCTATCTAACCCCCTCACGCCCTTTGCTCGGAGAAATCGTCAAATGATCTCTTCCTCTACCCCTTCTCTCTAGCAACACATGACATGAATCGAACCTGCCGTAGGTCTCGTTATCCCGACCCCAAAAATGCTTAACGACCCCCGCAACTCCTCTCAATATCATCGCCGCTGTTTCTCTAGTAGCTGCGGCCGAACATGGTCCACTTCTGGGCCTTGGCCTCGCACTCGGGGTTGAGGCACTTAGTCTCGCCGGCGACGAGGCCGCTCTCGGGCTGCTCAAAGGGAATGCAGAGGGACTTCATGCCCATGCTGGGCTGCTTCTTGCCCTCGGGGAGGGTGGCGTTCTCGGGGGGCTCGCTGGTGGTGAGCTCCTTGATGCGGTCCTCGCACTTCATGCCCAAGCAGAAGGGAATGAGGACGACGTTCTTGCTGTCGAGGGCGGGGATGACTTTGTCCCACTCGGTGAGAACGAGGCGGTGCTCGCGGAAGGACTTCTCGGCCTTGTTGTACATGTCGGACTGGATGGTCTCGAGAAGCTCGGGGACCTTGGTGGAGATCTCCGCAAGGGGGAGGGAGCTCTTCTCGCCAGTGTCACGGCGGGCAGTAGCGACGACCTCGTTGGCGGCATCCTTGGGGCCGAACTCGAGTCTCAGGGGAACACCGCGGAGTTCCCACTCGTTGAACTTCCAGGCGGGAGTGTATCCGTCTCTCAGATCAGACTCGGCGCGGACACCAGCCTTGCGCAACTCGTTGCGGAGGTCGTCGACCTTGTCCTCGAGCTTCTTCCTGTCCTCAGGGCTAGTCTTGGCAGTAATACCGACGGCGATAAGGACAACCTGGGTCTTGGCGATACGAGGAGGAAGGACAAGACCCTTATCGTCACCGTGGATCATGACCATGACACCGATGACACGGGTGGAAAGACCCCAAGAGTTCTGCCAGACGTGAATCTTCTCGCCCTTCTTGTCGGGATTCTCAACTGTGATGTCGAACATCTTGGAGAAGTTCTGACCCAGGCAGTGGGAGGTGGCACCCTGGATACCACGGCCGTTGGAGGGAATGTAGCCTTCGACAGTGGTGGTGTAGTAACCACCGGCGAACTTCTCGTTCTCGGTCTTGGTGCCGCGAACGACGGGGACGGCGAGCAGCTGCTCATAGACACCAGCGTAGAGCTCGAGAATCTCGAGAACCTCCTTGCCGGCCAGCTCCTCGGTAAGATGAGCGGTGTGGCCCTCCTGCCACAAGAACTCTCTTGTGCGGAGGAAAGGGGTGGTCTGCTTGGCCTCCCAACGGACGACAGAGTTCCACTGGTTCAGGCGGAAGGGGAGATCGCGATGGCTGCGAATCCACTTGGAGTAGTAGGGGTACATGACGGCCTCGGAGGTGGGACGAACTGCGACGGGGACTTCGAGGTCCTTGTCACCACTGTGAATGTGATATCAGCAGGGGGGGCTTGGCGCAATTATCAAGGGAGAGACGACTTACGCCTTTGTGACCCAGGCCAATTCGGGGGCGAAACCCTCGACGTGGTCCTTCTCCTTCTCGAGCGACTTGGAGGAAAGGAACATGGGGAAACTGGTCTCATCGACACCCATCTCCTCGATTCTCTCAGAGAACCACTTGCGGATCACGGTCCAAATGTACATGGACGCGGGGCGCAAGATGAAGAAACCGGAGATTTCGTTGTAGTACTCGACCATCTCGGCCTTGAGAACAATCTCCTGATACCAGGCGGAGAAGTCCTCGTTCTTCTTGACCGTGATTCCCGTGATGTCCTCCTTCTTCTTGCCTCCGACAACGGGGAGGGAAGCTTGCTTGGCGGCCTTTGCAGCCTTTTCGGCAGCCATCTTTGCCTGCTTCTCGGCCTTCTTCAAGGCGCTCTTGGACGGCTCAGCGGGGGCGGTAGCGTCGGCCATGTTTTCGGTATTGACTGCAGGTCGCAGAATCGTCTCGTGAAGTCGGTTAGGGTCTCGTCTTATGGAATTGGCGACGCGGTGACCAGATCGGCCTGAGTCACTGGGAGATTTTGGGGCAGAGAAGGCGGTGCGATGCAGCGGAAAAAGTGCCCCGCACTAAAAGTGAGTCGTGTGTCGAGCTGTTGGGTGGGAGCGCAGTGAGGGGTCAATTGGGCTCCAGCCACGGGGGTCGGAAGGTGGCCCGGGCTTTCAATCAATTGTGGACCGTCCCCGGTCGTCTATCTCGGATCAAGCCACACTGGATGTCACTGCACGGCTACAGGGATTGATTATCTGAACCGACATTACAAGAGCAGGAAAGGAACTGAGAGAAGGTTATGAAACTAATGCATCATAACAGAAATATGTTGTGAGAATGCTAGTCTGATTCAATCTCTACGGGTGTCGAAACTTCGCTGTTGAGCTCCCGCTGGAGGTACCTCAAAGGCCAGGGTCATGCAGACGCGATAAGATAACGGCGCTCCAGCCACATCCCCGGTTCCTGGAACAACCCCGGCTCCGATAAAAAAGTTGCGTCGAGGGGAGACAAGGCAGGCACAGAGCACAGAAGCTTCTATTGCTATCCAGGCACTCACCGACCGAAGCTCCTTAAACCACCCCCATCCACCACCTCCAAAACCCGCGATCCAACCACAACCGCAGGCAGTGAGGCGCAAAAATGGCTTCCATGTTCGAGCAGTCAGGGAGCGGCACGCTTTTCCTCGGCGGTCAGAAGATTTCCGGCGCCGACATCAGAGACCAGAACGGTATGTCAACATTCCCCCCACCACAACGGTCAAATCGCAACGAAGCTTCATCTTGCTGACAAACATGTAGTCCTCGCGACCCAAGCTATCGCAAATGTCGTCAAGAGCTCCTTTGGCCCCAGTGGTCTGGACAAGATGATGGTGGACGATATTGGTGTATGTTATGTGGCCCTACTCCCCCCTGGACCCCGCTTACCCCCCGGCGCAGGATGTCACGGTCACGAACGACGGCGCTACTATTCTCAGCTTGTTGGATGTCGAGCACCCGGCGGGCAAGATCTTGGTCGATCTGGCACAACAACAAGATAAGGAGGTCGGCGATGGCACAACCTCTGTTGTCCTCATCGCGGCCGAGCTGCTTCGCCGAGGAAACGAGCTGATGAAGAACCGCATACACCCCACTACCATCATTACCGGTTACCGACTTTCCCTTCGCGAGGCGGTCAAGTACATGAACGAGAACATCAGCATCAAGGTCGAGAATCTCGGGCGCGAATCCCTCGTCAACATTGGCAAGACATCTATGTCCAGCAAGATTATTGGAGCCGACTCCGATTTCTTCGCCAACATGGTCGTGGATGCCATGCTGGCTGTCAAGTCGACAAACGGCCGCAACGAGACAAAATACCCCGTCAAGGCTGTCAACATTCTGAAGGCACACGGCAAGGGCTCCTTGGAGTCCCAGCTTATCAAGGGTTACGCTCTCAACTGCACAGTCGCCTCGCAGGCCATGCCGACGAGAATACAAGATGCCAAGATTGCGGTGTTGGATATGAACTTGCAAAAGGAGCGCATGAAGTTGGGTGTCCAGATCACGGTGGATGACCCGCAGCAGTTGGAGCAGATTCGCCAGAGAGAGTCGGGCATGATCTTGGAGAGAGTAGAGATGATCCTCAAGGCGGGTGCCAACGTCATCCTTACCACCAAGGGTATTGATGACATGGTTCTGAAGACCTTTGTCGAGAAGGGTGCCATGGGTGTGCGCAGATGCAAGAAGGAGGACCTCCGCAGGATCGCCAAGGCGACGGGCGCCACCATGCTCAGCACACTGTCGGACCTCAACGGTGACGAGAAGTTCGACCCCTCATACCTCGGACACGCCGAGGAGGTTGTCCAGGAGCGCATCTCCGACGACGAGTGCATCCTTGTCAAGGGCACCAAGACCCACTCCTCAGCATCCATCATCCTCCGCGGACCCAACGACTTCACCCTCGACGAGATGGAACGGTCCATCCACGACTCCCTCAACGCCGTCAAGAGAACCCTCGAGAGCGGCAGCATCGTTCCCGGTGGTGGATCCGTCGAGACGGCCCTGCACATTTACCTCGAGGAGTTTGCCGGCACCGTCGGCTCCCGCGAGCAGCTGGCCATTGGCGAGTTCGCGCAGTCTCTGCTCGTCATTCCCAAGACGCTGGCCGTCAACGCCGCCAAGGACGCATCAGAGCTCGTTGCCCAGCTGCGTTCCCGGCACGCACTGTCGCAGCGCATCCAGGAGGGCGAGGCCAACGACGACGAGAAGACGGTCGCGCGCAAGAAGGCCTACAAGAACTACGGTCTCGACCTGGTGCGCGGCAAGGTGATTGACGAGATCAAGGCCGGTGTTCTGGAGCCCACCATCAGCAAGATCAGGCAGCTGAAGAGTGCCGTGGAGGCCTGCATCAGCATCATGCGTATCGATACCCTGATCAAGTTGGACCCCGAGCAGCAGGCAGAGGACGACGGACACGGTCACTGAAGAAAGTGGGTGGTGTTTGGAAAAGTTAAAAACAAAAATGGGCCAATTGCGGGAGTGTTCAAGGTTAGACGGTTCATAGATCACTTTGCTAATGATACCTCGTCATGCCGGCCTGGATGTCCAGACCTGTGATACTTTTGGAGTCCCAGTTGAAATCAAGGTGTTGATAATGAAGCCACGTGTATGTATGAGCCTGCTAATAATATGCAAAATGGGTGTGACCATTCGGTCAGCACCAGCCAAACTTCTCGTTGAGCACCCACTCAACCTCTCCTTGGCCATACCACATGAGGCTGGCAATGCTATCATTCTCTCTTTCAATAAACTCGTGCGGAATCCCCGCCTTCTCAATCAGTCCCCTCACCCTAGGCTCAGGATTCCACATCTCGACGTTATTCACCTTCCACTCCGCCGCCTGCGCCCTCGCCAACCTCAACAACGCCTCAATAGCCCCCTGGACATATTCGTCCCCGCTCCCTTCCTCGTCCTCAATCGCAAGCCGCAGAATATGCATCGTGTTCCCCTCGGGCTTCTTTAGTCCGCCGTAGTAACCCCTCGTCCACACGGCCCAAACCCGGGATCCGTGCTCGCCTACAACACCGCCGCGGACCGTGGGCGTCTGGCCGAAGATGTGCTTGGTCATGTAGTCCTCGCGCATAAGGTGCCAGAGCATGGCGTCCAGGTCCGGGATGAGCGAGACGCGGGTTTTGGTGCTCTTCTTGGACAGCTTTGCGCGGATGAGACGCTCGTCGACGGAGCAGAGCTCTGCTAGTTCATGGTAACCTAGCGGCGCGGCCTCGACTTGCGCGGCTCCCACAGCCCCCACCGCTCCCGATTCCGATGGTGGCGGTGATGCCTGCGGTGGGAACTCGAGGTGCGTACTCTCGTACGGATGCCAGCCATGCTTCGCATAAAACTTCTTCCCAATATCAGAATACAGCACCGAGCACGCGACCTCCCCGTCCTTGATATCACCCCAGCTCTCCCCGCTCTTCATCTCGGCGCCCTGCCACCTTGCAAGCTGCGGTCCCACCATGTTCATCATGATAGACGCATACCCGTTCCCGCGGTGCGCCGGGTCCGTAAATACGGAGCCGACGGCGTGGGTGATTGCGTCGACGACGGTGCCGTCCGGTTTCGCGACGAGGACGTTTTTGCGGATACTCTCGCACGAAGACAAAATGGGGCGGGCGTCGGGGGGCAAGGTCGGGTCGGTTAGGATCCATTGGGTGATGCCGCCGTTGCGGGAGACGGGGACGGTGGTCATGTAGGATTCGCGGCGGATGTATTCTTCTAGCTCGAGGGCGGCGCCCCAGTTTGCGTAGGTTGAAGTGTAGGTCTTTAGACGCTCTGCTGGGGTTGGTTGGGTGAGGACCAGGTCTGTTTCGTGGGTTGAGCCCATGTTGTCTGTTTGTCTCTTGTGGTCTCTTGGGTGGTGGCGTGGGAATGGATTTGTGTGGATTTTGTCTTTGTTCTTCTTGTCTACGGTGTCAAGGTAGGCTAGATAGCTTCTGTCGTAAGTATTATGGTGGATGGTGTCTTGTTTGTTTCTGGTCAATCACGTCACACCACACATGAACAAACATGAGAGAGGTCAGAGTCAGGAAGGTAATTGGAGAAGGTGAGAACTTGGAGGATGACGAGAAGGAGAACGAGGAAGAGAGTCAGGTCCAGCTTCCAGAAGCTAGGGTTGGGAAAGGATAAAAAAGGGACAAAGCGCCGTCCTCTTATCAATTTCGTCGTGTTCCAGACGGCTTCAGAAAAGTACCTCGAGTTTGGCGTGTACTGGCGCGGGCGTTGCGCAAGAGAGCGTGCCCCACCTCACCTAAAAAGACGATGGAAGCGTTGGCGGGGAAGACCCAGTCAAACCCCAGGTATTCCGGGATCACAGCGCCTCGTTCGAAAGATGTGAGATACGGTATGGGTTGGAGGGGGGCGTGAGTTCAAGGGGGCTGGGCTGGGCTGGCAGAGTTGGCTAGTGTGCGAGTGAGCCGATGTACAGATAGCTCAATCGATACACAACAGAGTCCCAAAAGCACAAAAAGGACATCGAAGCCCCTCCTCTTCCTCTTGTCTTTCCCCCTTCCGTCTCACCAGACACAGGAATCAGGATACCAAAGATGGTCAGCAGGCCCGCAAGCGAAGCGGCTCATCGTGGAAAAGCCAAGTCTTACGTCACGGGGTAGCGTCTTAGCGGATGTGCTGTGAAGGTGATACAGCCATGAAAAGTACGGACGAAAGAAAAAGACAACTGTGCCTTGGAAACCTGGGACACATTTTTAGGTAATTGTTTGTGGCTACGTGCCTATTTAGTCTTCCGCCTGGGCCGGGGAGTGCGCAACGGGCAGGTGTCGCCGGCGGGGTGAGGAGGTCACGGAGGCCGGTGGAAGCCGATGGTAGGCGGGGCCGGAATTGCGCCGGTTGAACGCGGCCGTGACGCCCGCACCAGTCTTCTCTCTAGACACTTACTTTGGTATACTATGAGCTGATACCGCTAATGTTGTGAACCGGTTCGGGGCGAGGGATTCCCTTGTCTTGGAAGAGTCGGCTGACTTGGCTGATGTTCTGACATATTGCATGTGTGGCCTGTGTCATGGTGGGAAAGTTTGGTGTGTGAGGTGAGGTGTATGGTGTTGGTTGCGGTGTTCATGCGCCACCAATGAGTGTAGGGCCTACCTGGCACATAGAGCCAGAAGAGTTCCCTTTTCTCTTTTCTTGGGCCACGTCGCAATCCGAATTGTGTACCTCTCGATCTCCTACAGATACTGGGCAGTTCCTTTCTCAACAGGACTCTGTCGCTGTGTCTTGGTCTTGTTACAAGTTACATCTTCCAATGGCTACACCGATCGGCATCAACTTCTCATCCTAAAAATCCGCATCTCCCAACCTAGTCTTATCTCCCAATCTAAGTTCTTAATTAACATGCATGCACAATAGTTCCTCTCACCACGCTCCTACTGCGTACATGATAACCTCAACCAAACAAAGTCACCCCTCCACCTTCCATTCCCGTCGCCCCCCTGCTCCGTAACAACCTCACAACCTCATCATGCCCCCTTGCAGCAGCGCACTGCAACGCAGTCTGCGTCCGCCCTCCTATCCTACCCCCCCATCCAGCCCCAGCCTCGATCTCGGCCCCGGCGCCCAGCAGCGTCTCGCACACCCGCACGTGGCCCCCCTCAGCAGCAGCATGCAGCGCCCTTCCGCCCTTGAACCTGCTCCCTTCGGCGTTGACATCCGCCCCCGCACCTGCACCTCGTCCACTGAGACCACTGGCAACCCCCGCGACCCCGGCTGGCCCCGCCGTAAGGAGCATCTCGACAAGCCCCGCTCGCCCGCGGTAGCTGGCCGCCTGCAGCGCCGTGAACCCTCGATTCCGACACGCCGGCGCGTTCACCTCTGCGCCCTGCCGCTGAACCAGCATCGCCGCCAGCGTGAGAAATCCGCCCTCACACGCAGCCTGGAGCGCCGTTCGACCGGCCGTCGAGGCTGGCGACGCATTCACGTCCGCACCGTGCTCTAGCAACAGCGCGACGTTATCGTCTAACCCTGCGGCACAGGCACTCTGCAGCGCCGTCATTCCAAAGTATCGCGATGCGGGCACATTGACGTTGGCGCCGTGGTCTAGGAGTGTTTTGACGATGGCCAAGTCCGGCTTCCCCGCCGCGATCTGCAGCGCGTTCTTGGCGCCGTTGTTGCCGGGACGGTCATTGACTTCCGCGCCGGCTGCGAGGAGCGCCGAGACCACGGCACCGTGAGAGGCTTCGCAGGCGGCTTGGAGGGCTGTGCGGCCGTAGTAGCCCCGCGGCGGGGCGTTGACGTCTGCTCCTGAGGCGAGGGCAGCATGAATGGCGGGAAGGTCGCCTTCGCGGGCGGCGACTTGGAGGCGGGTCCAGCAGTTGTCTTCGTCTTGGGAGTCGGTGTCTTCTTCTGTGAGATGCGGCATTTTGCGGTGATGTTATCTACCGTAGGTAAGTAGACTGGCTCACCCCTGAGACTGTAACGAGGTGAGGAGAAGTGAGAGCAGTGAGACTTGAATGCGAGAGAATCCTTCGCCATCTCACCTTCCCTATCAGATGCGCGACGGAAATGCGGCACAATCACGCCCTCCCGCCCATCTCACTGGGTGAGGGATCTATAGACCATCACTGAA